CCTGTGGGCGGTAGTGGGGCCCACACCCATCCTGTGGGCGGTAGTGGAGCCCACACCCATCCTGTGGGCGGTAGTGGAGCCCACACCCATCCTGTGGGCGGTAGTGAACCCCACACCCATCCTGTGGGCGGTACTGGAGCCCACACCCATCCTGTGGGCGGTACTGGAGCCCACACCCATCCTGTGGGCGGTACTGGAGCCCACACCCATCCTGTGGGCGGTACTGGAGCCCACACCCATCCTGTGGGCGGTACTGGAGCCCACACCCATCCTGTGGGCGGTACTGGAGCCCACACCCATCCTGTGGGCGGTACTGGAGCCCACACCCATCCTGTGGGCGGTAGTGGGGGCCACACCCATCCTATGGGCAGTAGTGGACCCCAAATTGCAACCTTTGTATTAAACCTAATCACAGTTTCACATTAAAATAATAATAATTGAAGTGTACAGTTACATTAACTTCCTGTGTGTGTGTTGTCATCACTTCCGTCATCCTTTTTTGGTGATGAACATCATGTAGAATATTGTGGCATATTTAACATTAACCGATTATGTGCCTCTGTAATCCTTTACACCACCGCCCACGGGATGGGCGGTGGTGTAAAGATTCAAAATGATCTGCTGCCAGAAATCTTATAGCCAAATATCTCCAATTTGCTAACTGTAGATAGTAACTAAGTGATTGTAACCTATCCACCGTTGCCCACTGGATGGGGGGCGGTGTGCAGGACAAACATATCAATTGTGACACAAACTCTCCACATATGTCAGTTGCTTAACTTAGAAACTGTACTTGTGGTCGGTCTCGCTCACATTGTTAATGTGACATGTGTATTGAATTTTGTAACTAGCTCATCAAGATTGTAACTTGCTTAGATAAATGAATTGTGGAGTTCAATCCCTGAGTCCATTATGTGCCTCTGTAACCCTTTCCACTACCGCCCACAAGATGGGTATGGGGTGCATAATAAATAAACTACACTAAACTGGTGTATGGCCCTTATTACAACACAAATGTGGCCCATATATGGCCCTCAGTTTGACATATACAGTATACATTCTGTATATTGTACTGTGCTTGCTAAAGCCTCACAGTACAGTTTAGTCATAGGAAATTCCTAGATTGGAATTCACTACTAAATTTGAATAGATCCAAGTCTTTTTTTGTGTAAAATGCTGTTAAACTTGTTGTTTTAATAATATTACGGAATGATGTTTAATTTATTTGGCAATACATTACACCTCAACAAAGAGCAATACATTAGTCGGAGCTCTCAACCAACGGTGTTCACTGGGAAAAAGTTAAGAACAACAATTAACGAGAAAATTAAATTACAATTAACCCAACAATAATTAAAATTGCTATCAATTACAATTACAATAAATCCAATAACAATTAACATCGGATATACGACGAACAGTCTTTCCAGACGTTATATGATATCCTCAACAGTAGATAAAAAAGTCAGTTACATAATACTAGCACTGTATAAAACCTTATAGCTACGGGTTTTGTAGATCAGTGTACAAGAATGTAACAACTCTTGTATATATCTCAAAAAAAAAAAATAAATAAAAAAAATAAAGCGAATTCTGAAATAATAATAATAATAATACAGCTGATGCCATCTGTCGGCACAAAAGAACACTATCAACAGGCAGTAGCCATAAGATACAGCTTATGCCATCTGTTGGCATCAAATTACACTATTAACAAACTACCCTACAAAATACACCTAGCGCCATCTCTTATTTTTCCAACGCACTATAAATAGCCGAACAGCAGCCCTACACTACATATCTTCTGATATGTTATACTAAATTATACTAAGGTGTTATAATAAATATCTTCTGATATGGGTGTTGACTTCTTTATTCGTGTACCTGTTGTTTATTAATACTTAACCTGAATTTACCTGAGGGGCCACTAATACTAGTGGCCTTGAAGAGGACAGGAAGCTGGCGGCTTATCAAAGGTCCCCCATTTGCCCTGATGACGTTTTCCAGGTGTATTTTAAAACCCAGCAGAGTTTTGGCATTTACGCCATCGGCGGGTAGGCCGTTCCACGGGTTTACATCGCTATGGGTGAAAAAGCATCTCCTGTTTTCTGTCTTGAAGGCTTCTCTCTAGTTCCTTGTGGATTTTATACTAGTCAGAACAATGAGTAAACTGGGCTCTTGGTATAAATGCATTTATTCCACTAGTCTTATATCTGTCCGAGCATTCGGAGTGACCATTCATACACATTCAAATGTGTATGTATGTTAATTGTCTTTGGTTCTCACGTAGACATCTAGGAAAGGGAGTACACCATCGATGCCTAGTTTATGGGTAAAGTTGAGCACTGAGTTTCGGATAAGTAAATTCTTTAATCGCAACAGTTCCTGGAACTTTCACACATACGAATATATCATGGATGTATCTGCAGTAGATGCGAGGATTCCCTGTGGGTTTGAAGATGGTGTCTTCTAGTGTTCACATAAAGAAGTTAGCAAAGAGGACTCCTAGTAGGGACCTCATATGGCTACTCCGTCTATCTGCGTATACATGTCTCCCCATGGGAAGACTACAGGAGTAACACCCTAGATAATAACACAAGGAAGCTGCCCAGCAACTTAAATCCATGGAGATCATCACAATTCGGAGGGCAGATAAAACCGGAGCCTTCGTCCTCATTCCCGACTGATAATGTTAAAACCCACAAGCCTGGTAGCACTCTACGACCCATACACCCACGTATAATAGATTATACGTGGGCTAAACGTATAATCTAAACGACTCAACACTATATACTGACTCCATATGTACCAAATATGTACAGAAATTCTTTAACAAATCTTCAAGAGATGTGTAAATATTTAATTAAAAATGATCTGATGCCAGACGTCTTGGCCAAATATCCCCAGTTTGCTAACCGTAGATAGTAACTAAGTGATTGTTACCTATCCACCGCTGCCCACTGGATGGGGGGCGGTGTGCAGGACAAACATATCAGTTGTGACACAAACTCTCCACATATGTCAGTTGCTTAATAATACACTTTCGTACTCTCCACAAACAGGACCAAAACTTGCTCGAAGTGGAATCACCGTTTCGGGCAATCGAGCGGCAACACGGAAAAGTGTATACTCTTTTCACTGTGCTGACCTTAATTTTCTATGTACATATTTCATTTTTGTACCAATGTGTTTGCAATAGAATGTTCTAGAAGAACATATGTATAAAATGTCACACAAGGATGCGTTAGACCGGCATCAAATAAAGAAACTTCGTCGATTACACTCGTCGTGTCAACAATACAATAGTTTTACCACGAAGATACAAGACAATGCCGTTCTCCCAAATAGGCTATGTGGCTATTAAAAAAAACGTAAATTTTATGGCAAACATGTTCATACTGTCTTCAAGTCGATCGGATAAGAATTGAATTTTATAGAAATATTTGTTCATCAGACTTAAAAATAGGTCAACCGCAGATTTTCAAGTGACCCCCGGCGGACCTAATTTTGGGTCCGCCGGGGAGGAAAGTGATAATTATATTAATTAATTCAGAAACTGTACTTGTGGTCGGTCTCGAGCCCATTGTTGATGTGACGATGTGCATTGAATTTTGTAACTAGCTCATCAGGATTGTAGCTTGCTTAGATAAATGAATTGTGGGGTTCAGTCCCTGAGCCCATTATGTGCCTCTGTAACCCTTTCCACTACTGCCCACAAGCTGGGTATGGGGTGCATAATAAATGAACTAAACTAAACTAACTTGAAATCAGTTGACCAGACCACACACTAGAAGTTGAAGGGACGACGACGTTTTGCTCCGTCCTGGATCATTCTGAAGTTGATGAGAATAGATAATCGCCTGCAACTTGAAATCAGTTGTCGATTTCTTAGACATAGTGAAGACCACTAATTCAGAAGGGATCATAGAATATCTAGATGTGGAATCCCAATTTACGAACGTCCCTGTAGACCCCGCCATCAGCTTAATGTTAGCCAGAATCTCCCGTGACAATAATACTCCAAAGCAATAGTATTCCAGTCTGCCCTCTGTAGTCTTCTGGAAATTTGCACTAAGATATTCCCATTCACAATCATTTGGGGAGACATGTATACGTAGATAGACGGAGTAGTAATGGGTTTTATATTTTTACAACAACAATGAATTATTATAATGTTTCGATTATATCTGGGTGGGCCCAGATATTGAAGGCGAGAATAGTGGTGAACGCCAGCTAGCGCACACGTATAAGAGCGCCCAAAATACTTTAACACAAAAGACAAGTGGGGACAGGAGTGTTGCTTCTGACTTTGTTTTTGTTAATTACTATTACACGATAGCTGTTTACCCTTAATACATATTATTATCCAAATATTCTACTCAAAAACTAAATTAACTAAAATTAAAACAATGAATCTAGCCACGGTCTAATGTTTTGTGAGTTCAATCATGTTTGTGGACCATCAGATGAGAAGTTAACGCTTGCGGGCGTCGTTCTTATGAAGCATGGATATTACTCAACCTCACTTAATAACTATATGCCTATTACGTAGAAGATCATAACTGTTAATAGCATTATATTGTGGTCTTGATATTGAGGAATGATACATATATATATATATATACGAAACGTACTAAGTTTGTGTGGGAAATGGTATAAATATGTGAGATCCGTCGTCCTGTGTGCTTACTCAGGTTGCCAGATTGGGCTACTTGTAGCCCAATTCGATTTAGATTTTAGATTTAGATTTTTTATTCAGGTAAAAGTACATACATTGAAGATGAGTTACAAGCATAATGTTGGATTTAAAGATAGAGCTAGTACATACAATACCTAAAGCCACTAATACCCATAGCCTTTCGGCCGTTTCCGGCAATTGAAAAGACGTCTATGTATGTCGCTACTTACTACTTTTTTCGGCTACTGTTAAGATAAGCTAACCTGTGTACTCGTACTCTGAAAATGGAATCAATCGCTTAAATATTTAAGCTAGTTTTATAGTCAAATTCATGACTTTTAGTTGTTGAGCTGGCGACCTGCGGCACCTTGAATGTGGCATCCGTGTGGGGCCGAGGCGTCACTCTCCTCCCAGCCGCCGCCCCAAGCACACCTCCTCTCTACTACTCTCATTACTCTATATTACCCGGTATTTTGTGCCATTATTGTATTAATATGATCACCTTTTTCCTGTGGCGTGCGTGTCAAAATTGTAATTTGTATTTGTGACTGTGGAGATGTATTTGTACGAGTAACAGGATGGATCAGTCATTTCGTACACAAGACGGCGCAATTTGATTTTAATATATATTTGCATAATAATTTGATTTATTATAGTTACTTTCCGTATTTGTTGACTGATTGATTGATTGTTTCATGGTGAGTGGTGTACCTGAAGGCTGTGACCAGCGGTGGAGTTACTCCCTTGGAGGCTGGAGTAGACATGGTCACTCATGGGGACTGTTACTCTCACCCTGTGTCACTCTCCCTCATGCTTCACCCTGTGTCACTCCCTCATGCTTCACCCTGTGTCACTCTCCCTCTTGCTTCACCCTGTCACTCACTCATGCTTCACCCTGTGTCACTCCCTCATGCTTCACCCTGTGTCACTCTCCCTCATGCTTCACCCTGTGTCACTCTCCCTCATGCTTCACCCTGTGTCACTCTCCCTCATGCTTCACCCTGTGTCACTCTCCCTCATGCTTCACCCTGTGTCACTCTCTCTCATGGCTATGGCTGGAGAGTCCATACCCATCCTGTGGGCAGTTGTGGACCCCATAACCATCCTGTGGGCAGTTGTGGACCCCATAACCATCCTGTGGGCAGTTGTGGACCCCATAACCATCCTGTGGGCAGTTGTGGACCCCCATACCCATCCTGTGGGCAGTTGTGGACCCCATACCCATCCTGTGGGCAGTTGTGGACCCCATAACCATCCTGTGGGTGGTGGTGGACCCCATAACCATCCTGTGGGCAGTTGTGGACCCCATAACCATCCTGTGGGCAGTTGTGGACCCCATACCCATCCTGTGGGCAGTTGTGGACCCCATAACCATCCTGTGGGCAGTTGTGGACCCCATAACCATCCTGTGGGCAGTTGTGGACCCCATAACCATCCTGTGGGCAGTTGTGGACCCCATACCCATCCTGTGGGCAGTTGTGGACCCCATAACCATCCTGTGGGCAGTTGTGGACCCCATAACCATCCTGTGAGCAGTTGTGGACCCCATAACCATCCTGTGAGCAGTTGTGGACCCCATACCCATCCTGTGGGCAGTTGTGGACCCCATACCTATCCTGTGGGCAGTTGTGGACCCCATACCCATCCTGTGGGCAGTTGTGGACCCCATAACCATCCTGTGGGCAGTGGTGGACCCCATAACCATCCTGTGGGCAGTTGTGGACCCCATAACCATCCTGTGGGCAGTTGTGGACCCCATAACTATCCTGTGGGCAGTTGTGAACCCCATACCCATCCTGTGGGCAGTTGTGGACCCCATACCCATCCTGTGGGCAGTTGTGGACCCCATAACCATCCTGTGGGCAGTTGTGGACCCCATAACCATCCTGTGGGCAGTTGTGGACCCCATAACCATCCTGTGGGTGGTGGTGGACCCCATAACCATCCTGTGGGCAGTTGTGGACCCCATAACCATCGTGTGGGTGGTGGTGGACCCCATAACCATCCTGTGGGCAGTTGTGGACCCCATAACCATCCTGTGGGCAGTTGTGGACCCCATACCCATCCTGTGGGCAGTTGTGGACCCCATACCCATCCTGTGGGCAGTTGTGGACCCCATACCCATCCTGTGGGTGGTGGTGGACCCCATAACCATCCTGTGGGTGGTGGTGGACCCCATAACCATCCTGTGGGCGGTGGTGGACCCCATAACCATCCTGTGGGTGGTGGTGGACCCCATAACCATCCTGTGGGTGGTGGTGGACCCCATAACCATCCTGTGGGTGGTGGTGGACCCCATAACCATCCTGTGGGCGGTGGTGGACCCCATAACCATCCTGTGGGCGGTGGTGGACCCCATAACCATCCTGTGGGCGGTGGTGGACCCCATAACCATCCTGTGGGTGGTGGTGGACCCCATAACCATCCTGTGGGCAGTTGTGGACCCCATAACCATCCTGTGGGCAGTTGTGGACCCCATAACCATCCTGTGGGCAGTTGTGGACCCCATAACCATCCTGTGGGTGGTGGTGGACCCCATAACCATCCTGTGGGTGGTGGTGGACCCCATACCCATCCTGTGGGCAGTTGTGAACCCCATAACCATCGTGTGGGTGGTGGTGGACCCCATAACCATCCTGTGGGTGGTGGTGGACCCCATAACCATCCTGTGGGCAGTTGTGGACCCCATAACCATCCTGTGGGCAGTTGTGGACCCCATACCCATCTTGTGGGCAGTTGAGGACCCCATAACCATCCTGTGGGTGGTGGTGGACCCCATAACCATCCTGTGGGTGGTGGTGGACCCCATAACCATCCTGTGGGCGGTGGTGGACCCCATAACCATCCTGTGGGCGGTGGTGGACCCCATAACCATCCTGTGGGCGGTTGTGGACCCCATAACCATCCTGTGGGCGGTTGTGGACCCCATAACCATCCTGTGGGCAGTTGTGGACCCCATAACCATCCTGTGGGCAGTTGTGGACCCCGTAACTATCCTGAGGCAGTTGTGGACCCCATACCCATCCTCTGGGTGGTGGTAGAAAGGGTTACACATAAGGGACTGGGACTGACTCCCCAAATAGTAATGGTTAAATGTGTGTATAATTTTGCATATTCAGTAACATTCATCAACTATAATGTGGGGGTAGTCAAGCCACAGCCCCGCTCCTGTGCCAGGTAAGTTCACTACGGGCTCACCATAGCCCGTGCTACTTGGAACTTTTTGTTCCCAGTAGCTGAATCTTGAACAACAAAAAACTACAATGCATATATTACTCGTTATTAATTTACACCTTTGAACATTTCTGAAAATTGGCACAAAATTCATAGTTATAAGCAACAAAATAATTTCTGGCGCCGCGCGAGGGTGGGTCCCCGGGTTTGCCGCGCGAGGGTGGGTCCCCGGGCGTTGCATGAGGGTGGGTCCCTCGTGCTTTGGTTATGGGCTCATTTTAGAAATTGCCATAGAGTGCAGTAATTGGCATTTGTCTGTGAGGAATTATTAGTTATTAATAACGTATTTGTTCATGCTTACTCTTTACTGATAAATTATATTAAAAGTGAAATATTAATTTATTTTTATTCTTCAGCAAAATGAGTGAAATAATAGGAATCACACCTCTGCCAGGAGTGGAGTATCCAATAACTGTGCATTACTGTGGCAACTGCACTATGCCTATAGAGGTGAGTAGTGGCTCATTTTGTTGAACTGCATCTATTTTGCTTTGATTCAATTTATCTATCTTTTTCTTTTTATGTACAGTAGATCCTTATAAGCTTATGTATTGTATCCTATTTGCATAATATTAAAGTAGTGTTTGCTGGTAAGAGATTACCTAGTGGTTTCTTCTTTAATATGCATTGTGATGTTCATATGTATACCTATTGTGTGTAATTGCCTAGATGTAATTACAGGTTGAGAGCTACGCTCATGGTGTCCCGTCTTCCCAGTATTGTCATATGACACTTTGAAACTACAATGCTTGTTAATGATACAGGTCTTATTAGGAGGGACTTCCTTGCTGTTATTTTTGTAGATTAGAACTACAGTATTTTCCTTTTTCTGTATGTCTGCCAAGACACAAAGTACACAGTACACAAAGATGACTGAAAAATCAATGGAAGTGGAATGCTGAGCTCATACAGTATATACATTCTCTCGGAACCCAAGGTGAAACTTTGGCCCAACTGCTTCAATCCGTCCCCAAAGAAAGTTCATACCATCCAGTGGTCGACCCCAAAGACACATTCATAAATTTTAACATGCTGATCATTCAAAATAGGTATTTTCTCAAGTTTAAGTTAATATTGTTATATATTAGCATACTGTGCATATTTAGGCATTAGTTAGGTTAGGCATTTAAGTTCTGTTGGCGATTACAGTATTTGTATTTATAGTATTTGCTTCATTCCATTTAATGTCATCCTAAATGGGTGAGTCTTACCTTTTACATATTTTCCTATTCTCCAAAAATTATTGGCATTATCACTTATTGAGAGGCCTTCTCTTAAGCCTACTATTTTCTAAATGATTTTTGCCTCTTCTGTTGCTCCTTTCTACCCTAGATGGTATGTCTTTTTCCAAACATTCAAAAATTATTATGAACTTCTATCTACAGTGTTCTGTACTAATTTACTGCTAATTACCAGTTCTTTCTTAATGGATTGTCTAATGTCAGATCCTGACTTCCCATTTCTGTTCCTTGCTTCTAAACATAATTTGTGCGTGTGTAATTGTATTTTTTTTTTTTTTTCTATTTCATGTGATTTATGATGGATCCTACTTAAAGTACTGTGAATATTATCCTGGGTACGAGAAGTGTAAACAGTGGTTGGAGAAGAACTTGCCAGACATGTTCCGAAAGCTTATGGATGGAGGTGAGTTAGCGTGTGTAATTGAGAGCCGTGTTCATGATATCCTGTCTTCCCTATCATTTTTGTCATAAAGTTTTGAGGATTCCAATGTTTTGGAAAATGTTACACTCTTATTTAATTTTGACAATTGGACCATAAATGCCAAAAAGAATTTATGTAAATATTTTGCACATTTTGTTTTCTCGAATCCTTGGCCTCTTGTTATTATTTTCTAATATTTAATGGATTCCTCAATTTTTTCTACAATGTTATGAAACTAAATTTTTCAAACAACTGTTGTCTTAAACCTACATATGCATTTCTGAAGCAATATGCCTGGCTTGTGTGACTGGTCATTTACAAGTGAGTATTTGTAGATACTTTAAGAAAATTGCTCTTGTATTCCTGCATAAAGTGCAAAATTGATGCAGGAATATTACATTATTACATCTTTATTATTGCTCATTACATCTTTATTTCTTTGTGTATTTTATGCCTGTCAAGAGGGATGTAAAAATTAATACTGTTGTAATGTTTCTTGGCAGCCAGTGTAGGTGGAGAGGAAGGAGGGGATGAAGAAAAGAAGAGACAGAAGCGTGGTGGGAAGGGCATGGTCAAGGCCAAAAAGAAGGCTGATGAAGGTCCGCGCAAGGTTGTAGTGTTCGTAGCGCCTCGGGGCAAGAAGAGGAACACGGTCATCACTGGGCTGAAAACATTTAGTGGGTGTCTGATTTGCAGTCTAAAATGTTTAGTTTAAGTATCCCCACTGGGACATTAGCTTATTTTTGCCAATACTGTACAATATTTATTACTACTGAATCTGTAATCAATATCTGCAGAATTCCTTTAGAATTGGTATAAAACTTCCAGCACTTATGGATGATGGTACAAGAATTGTATCACACGTTTTGTGATACAAATGTATCACAAATGCATTGATAGCCCAATGCATTATTCACTTTAAAAATCCATGTAAAAGGAAATAAAGAAATGTAAAAGAAAATATTATACATTCAATGTGTGCAGTTACAAATTTGTGAAAATATGATAACCAGTGATCATTGAGCCTAGCTTAAGTGTCACACCAACCAAAACTGCTTAGTGGTTCATGATGGTGCATACACCACCCTCTCCAAATTCTGAGAAATGCCTACCTGTGGATACCATTTTTTTTATTCCTGTCATGCAATAGAAAACATAGCTGGTAGTGGTTAGTTAAGTTAGTCATCAAGTTAGACTAGTTAGTCATCAGTCATAATATTAATCCTGCATAAAGTTCCATTTTAGGATACTGCCAGTATTTTGGGCCAAGTAAATGAGTATAGCACCCTTTTCAATTGCCTTCGTTAAATATAAACAATATAAACCGTAATACCTCCTACCAGTTTTTATAACTATTGAATTTTTTATTTTTTGATGAAACTTTTCAGATATTGATCTTAAGGTGGCAGCAAAGTTTTTTGGGACAAAGTTTGCTTGTGGTTCGTCGGTGACTGGTGATGATGAAATTGTTATTCAAGGTGACATTAAAGATGACCTGTTGGACCTCATACCTGAGAAGTGGCCAGATGTAAGTTATGCCGATACTGTTGTACTCTCCTCTTTTAAATCAATATGCAAATAAGAAATATAGGTGAAATACAAATGTAAAGTGATAGGATAATGGGAAATGCAAAAATTTGAAAAGTGCAATATTTTGTATTGTAAGAGTTAGGATGTGTGGAAGAGAGATGCAAAGACTCTTTTGGGCAGGTAGGATATGTGATCATGTGAAGCACTGCACCGTATCTTTAGTTTACCTAACCCAAACACTTGGACTGGATAGTAGTGACTTCGTGTAGGTCGGCATTCAATCCCCAACTGTCAAAGTGGTTGGGCAACATTCCTCTCCCCCCATCCCATTCCATATCCTTATCCATTCCAAGTGCTATATAGTCGTAATGACTTGGTGCTTTCCCATGATGATTCCCTTCCCTCACCATTATCGCCCAAGTGTCTACACAGCACTCCTTTTATTTACATCTTGATAATATTATTTTAACTGAGCATTTCTAGATATATCAAGAACAAGTTAGTTATTTGCTTGGCAAAAATTTTTGTATTTAGAGAGTATTAAATTATGTACAGTACCTTTATTCTTGTAATACGAGTCTTATTCTGCAGATCGACGAGGATTGTGTAGAAGATGGAGGTGAACATAAACGCTGAGCTCAACGTTCGTTTTGTTCACTTGATGGTATTGCCAAATGTCTCAAATTTAAATAAAATTTTTGAAAATCATTGTTTGATTTAATATTCTAGCAATGAAGGAAGCTTGTACAAAAGTGATTACAATGTGTGCTTGTATGTTAGTTGTGTACCTAAACCAGTGCTTTTGGGTAGGGATACATAACTCTTGCCAGACAACATTTTTGGGTATCTTTTGCATCTCGAGGCCTCTCAATTATTCATGACTTGGTTTGTACTGTTTGATTTTGAAGTTGAATATAACGTGGGTTTTCTCACATCTGCTTCTTCATTCAATCCTCTTGTTCACTACTAATAAACTGCAATAATGCATTCTTTGGTTCATTTGCATTTCCTATTTTCACACTTTCTTTTTGTAAATTACTGTACTTTTCTTTTTACCAGGAAAATCAATACTTCATGTTGTCAATACTGTACTGCTTAGTGTTTTATTCTGTAGTGATAATTTTTGTTTATGCTGTACCCAAATACTGTACAGTGTACAGTATTTGAATTAAGCATAAACAAAAATTAGTGCCCAATGGACCTCTTGAGTTCTATTCCCCTAGCCCAGCCTGGAGCCGAGCTTGACTTGTAATTACTTTAACAGGCTGTTGTGTGCAGTGGCCCACATGTCCACTCCAACCCGTTTCTTTTTCTTTATTTTCCTTTTACTTCAAGGATGGCCGGTTTGCGGAATTCTCTCTCGGTACACACCTATTACAAATGCCTCTGGACTCGTCAGCAATTCAAATAAAGTAATTATCAATAGAAGGCACCAAACCGGGAAGGCTATTGATAATTAATTAATTACTTACCTCTTTGGTTGCTATATGCAACCAGACCATCACCAGAGATATCTTCACAAATGCCACCAAAATTCAGATACAGCGACAACAGAAGACTGGACATCGGCGAGGCATTGTACATAGATCAAACCAAAATATCAATATAGATTATCAATAACCAACTTGCACCAAATTACATTTTTGCCAACTTCAAGAACATACAACATACTGCCCCCAACCATCATTCAAACAGGAGATTGACAAGATGCACTAGATCTATAAGAGGTGCTTTTTCCTCCCTAAGAGCTGGATTCATCAGTTTCCCAACTACTTAATAAACTTTTCCTACTTTACATCGGTCTTGGTAGTTGCTCTGTGATTTGACGAACTGTTTCGGAAGGATGATCCTCCTAAGCATTCCCCTCGGCCAAGTGATCTTCAAAGGTCACTATATATAAAAGCCTTTATACCTATAAGGCCTGGCTTTTTATATAAACTGTACATAAATAAGTAATTCATGTTACTAATACAGTATATTATTGTTATAAAAAACAATTTAAAAATAAATGATTATTCAGCCTGTTAGGCACATTGGACCTTGCATACTAGGCCAAGCAGTGCCATCTGGCTATTAAACACTATCTTGAGATGATTTCGGGGCTTCTTTGTGTCCCCTCGACCAGGCCTCGACCTCCAGGAAGCAGCCCATGACAGCTGACTAACACCCAGGTACCTATTTACTGCTAGGTAACAGGGGCATAGGGTGAAAGAAACTCTGCCCATTGTTTCTCGCCGGCGCCTGGGATCGAACCCAGGATCACATGTCCAGCGTGCTGTCCACTCGGCCGACCGACTACTACACAGTTTTGAAACCACACTGCCATAAATCTTTACCTTTTGTTACAAGAGCGAGCACAATGCTCTCTTGGCCCGGATATTCTTTAGTGTCAAAATGATTAAATAAAATTACCACTTTGCCAATACAGCAATTGTATTCTAAATTTAATGCTTTGTACATATAAATTTTTATTACAAATATGAAACACTAGTGAGCTTTAAACAAGACCCACAATACAGTATGTTGACAGCATACAATTCTTGCATCATATTTGTTCAGTGACTAACATGTTAACCCTACCATTACAGACTAATACTATTTTGTATAAAATAGGGACTCTGAAGGAAGCAATGCTCATTATTCCAACTTCCCCAAGTTCAAATTAAGCACAACGGTTGCAGGCATTGGTGGAACTTGCATCCAGAACACCAGTCTGCTGCCCCATCACTCGCAAGTTGAATGCTGCAAGACAGTTTTGCACAAAGTGATCCTGGATCATGGAATTTAGAGTATTATGCTCCTAATGATAGGTATTAAGGAAAAACATTGTATCAACACGAGATACCTTGTTCCCTCCAAAAGTAAATGATGGCCATACCCAATCTTCCTCAAGCTCTTTAGCCACTCGCTATCTATCTTAATATACGCATTAAGATTACAGTATTTTTAAATACTGTAGGAAAACAAAAAAATTCTGAAGAATTCTATGTTGGTATGGCAATCACCACTTCTCTGCATGAAGAAAATGCAGTCAGAAAGAATAAGGGTTGACAAAGCATACAAAAGAAATGCACAAGACATGAAACCAGATTAAATGTGTGTTCTTTAGATGGACAATGTGGAGTCCAAGATTGTGACAATAATCTATTTATGGGAGAAAGGGCTCTGTAATCTACTTCTCCCGTAGTAGTGCTTCCACAGGTGACTCAACCCAATTAGTCTTCTGGAAAAAAAAAACAAATGCTTTATCTAAACAAAAATACTGGCATCTTTGAAATGAAGTGTGCAAGTCAAGTATTCAAATCCTCACAATTGTATACAAAGTACTTAGAAAATACAGTTGTCTTTAATCTGTGATTCAGATTGTGAGACAATATACAAGTAAGCTAACAGGCAGGTAAACATCCAATCAAAGACAACAAACCCAAAATTTTCAAATGAACAGTTATGAAGCCTCGTAAATTTCTACCCGAAACATGTCGTAAACAGAGCTTAAACCTTTTGTCATAAACAGCACTATATAACATTCACTGCACTTCAGGTATGCTGTCCTATATATTATTTACATGCATTGCATAAAGTTATTAACTGAGGACCAGTAATTCAACCAGCAATGAACAAAGTTATTATACATTTTCAAACGAGTATTACCCATAGCAGTCTCCGTGGTGTAGTGGTAAGACACTCGCCTGGCGTTCCGCGAGCGCTATGTCATGGGTTCGAATCCTAGCCGGGGAGGATTTACTGGGCGCAATTCCTTAACTGTAGCCTCTGTTTAACGCAACAGTAAAATGTGTACTTGGATGAAAAAACTATTCTTCGCGGCAGGGGATCGTATTCCAGGGACCATAGGATTAAGGACTTGCCCGAAACGCAACGCGTACTAGTGGCTGTACAAGAATGTAACAACTCTTCAACCCGTTCTCGCAAATTCGTAAAGTCAATATTGACTTATTAACTACGTGCATAGGTGATATACTAAACATAATAGATACCCTTAAAAAGATTCATAGAAAACACCGACCTTACCTAACCTTGTTAGTATCTTAAGATAAGCATCTTATTGCTTCGTAATTACAATTATTACTTAACCTATACCTATTATAGGTTAGGTAATAGTTGTAATTACGAAGCAATAAGATGCTTATCTTAACATACTAAGTAGGTTAGGTAAGGTCGGTGTTTTTTATGAAGCTTTTCAAGGGAAACTATTATGTTAAGTATGTCACCTATGCACATATTTAATAAGTCAATATTGACTTATTAAATTTGCGAGAACGGGTTGCAACTCTTGTATATATCTCAAAAAAAAAAAAAAAAAAAATCTTTTGGGAAATAGATTCAAAATGTGGTAAGACTATATATAGACTTAACTACACGTCTAACGTCATTCACATACCGATCCAAAAATTGTAGTCCTGTACAGTATACTGCATGTGGTAAACCCTACTGCATCCGGTTCTTCTTCGATTCTGGACCAGTAAATTTGTATGATGATTTCCTCTTGTTTCGAAATTTAACATTTTGTACAGATCCGTCGGGTGGGTCTTGAAGAACAAAAATAGTTAAATCGCAATTGTCACACTTGTTTGTTATGACAGAGGTGACACAGTTTACAGTTACTGCAGTTGGATCAAATTGACAGTAACAATTTGGACAATTTTCTGGACATGGTTGACTGGGAAAATGTACCACCAAATAGTTGCCATTAATAGGGGCTTGTACAACAATATTTTTCAAGTTACAAATCTTTAAAGTTTTCGTCTGTTTCTTATATGACTGGGCATTTGTTGAAGCTGTATCGTATCTCCCCGATTTTTTAAGACCAGCCCCAAGATACTGCAGTAGGACGGTTCCAGTTTTTCTTCCTTTTTCTGCCTCTTCACTAGTCCTAGCAAAGTGATCTTCCTGCATTGCTGATAAATTTACTGGAACAGTTGGTGACTGGTAAGTACTCCTTACTGAAGTACTGGGGGATTCAATCATTTGCTGGGTACTGCTAGGACGTCCTGGTCCAAATGAAGCAGGTGTTCGAAGTACTGTTGGTTTGTTTATAGTGGTGCTGGTAGTTGTTGGTTTATTTCCCGTCTTGCCTAATTTTCTGTCGGTGACATATTTATGGCATTTGTTAATAGCTGTCTTCCATGGTTGATACACATCAAGTGAGGATAACTTAGACACATAACACTGAATTTCCTCGACTATCTCTGAAGCTGATGGTGGACCACTTTGACCTGCACAAAATTTTTTAATCACTAATTCCTTTCTTATGTAATATGCCAGAAATTCAATGGGATCAAGGGTCCAGTTCTTAAAACTGTGTTTGCCTGTAGAACTTTTCTTGCACACAGATTTTTTAGGATCCTCCAAATCTTGGAGCATATCACATCCCACCAATCTCCTATTGCAAAATGCACACTGCAGATGACCAAAGAAGAGATGTGCTTTAAACTCAGAAATATCAACATTTGATTCGCACACATGGCATGTTGCTTCTCTTGTATCTTCACTGCCATATACATAGTTCTCCTCAAAAAAGTGTGTAGAATCATCATCATCTGAAAGGCCACTCTCTTCTATCAAGAGTTCTTCAGCCTCCTGATTGTGGCTTGAAGAGACCTCTGGAATATTACTATTTTCGGTGGCGACATGATAATCACTCCCATGAATATTCAAAGTGTCCCTACTGTTAACAATAGACACAACAGACACTTCTTGGATATCATCGTCATTTGTTGAGAGATTTTGTACATTACTCTCATCTTTACTTTCCTCTTGGGCTAAGGCAGGAAGAGGCGATTTGGGCTGAACGTTGTCAAATGGGTCATCATGTAATGGATCGGCAACTACTTTTGTACTAGTCTTTTCTCGATTACTTTCAATCTCCACAAAATGAAAGCCACCATCTGCATCTGCACCTGCTGGTACTTTAGCAGCAGTAGTATCTTCAACTTCAAGAAGGGAATGTGCTGGACTATCTTCTAATGATCTGCGTGTTGTACCAGGAGATTCAGGATCACAGTTAATTGTGGCTGCAGGTTTTCCAGCATTCAATGATGGTGACTTTACGTCAGATGAATCTTGTGATGGGGTCAAGTTTTTGGGCAGTGTAGAGTTTGCTTTATTTCTTGACTGGTCTTTCACATAGCTAGAATTAGAAGAAAGTTCAGGTTTAGGTAGATCTTCTGGTCCAATTAAAGTGCTAGAATTACCAGTTTGATCAGATGATTTGGTTTTTTTACTTAATGCCTTTTCTGACTTATCATTTGATGGTTGGTAATCATCATGTATAGGTTCTTGATTATCTGGTGACCTGGAATCATCTGTTAATGGAGGTTTTGGCTCACTGTCTAGTGAAGATGAATTATCATTAATTGGAGATTCTACCCTACTCCTACTGTCAGGTGTCTTAGGAGTGTCATTTAGTTTGGTGTTACGACGATCAACTGATGAACTGGAATCATCTGATGCAATATCTATTCGAGTATCTGATCGACCGGAACCCTTTTCCTCTGAAGTTCTGGGTACATTATCCAACAGCTCTGACTTTGAGGCCTTCTGAACAGAAGTTTTATGCAGCTTACCAAACAGGCTGGCTTTGGAATACTCTTGTAATGAAGTCTTTGACACATCATCAGAGCTGGATTTAGAACCCTCCTGCACTGAAGTTTTAGGGAAATTAGCCAGCGAGTTTGATTCAGCACTTTCTTGCACAGAATTTCTTGGCAAACTGTCTGATGAGTCCGAGTCGTTTTGTAATGAAGATTTTGGTCGAGAGTCCGATTGGCTGCATCCATCAAATGGCTTATCTTCTAGATGGCTGGGAGGTCTGGAATTTACAATTGCAGCTTTTGGATGACCGGAAGTGATTGGAACACCCCTTAATGTAGAACTTGCTTTACCTTTTGGTGAGCTTTCAGAAACGCATGAATTCTGAACATCACTTTCTAATCGTTCAGCTGAGGAGTTGTTCAGCAATTCTTGCCCTGAACGATTCTTTGACAGGTCAACAGAAGAGCTTACATTGTTGGCAGAATCTCCTTCAAATTTATCATTTGATGAATTACAACCATCACTTACTGCAGCTGCTTGTTTACTTGGCAAGTTGGTATCACCTGATAGATTGGAATCATCAACTGATACAGACCTTGAATGACCCTTCGATGAGCCAACTGGATAAGCAGGATCACTACATAAAGTTGATTCTAGCTGATCAACTGATGGATTGGAATCATCACGAACAACTGAGTCAAGTGGATCAACTGAAGGGTTTGAATCATCATGAACAGATTCTAATGGATCGACTGATGGACTGCAAACATCACGAACAACAGTGACTGGTGGTTCAATTGGTCGACTGCCAACATCATGCATAACAGAGTCTGGTGAATGAACTTGTGGGTTGGAATCATTCCGGACAACTGAATCTAGAGGATCAACTATTGGGTTAGAATCATCATGAACAATCGCATCAAGGGGATCAATTGATGGGTTAGAGTCATCGTGCAAAGCAACACCTAGTTGATCATCTGATGGGTTGGAATAATCTCTAGGAGCAGGGTTGGAATAATCACGAGGAGCAGGGTTGGAATAATCACAAGGAGCGGGGTTGGAATAATCACGGGGAGCATGGTCTAGCTGATCATCAGAAAGGTTGGAATCATCAGGAACAGCAGAGTCTAGCTGACTGTCAGAAGGGTTGGAATCATCAGGAACAGCAGAAACCAGTCGACTGTCTGACAGGCTGGAATCCTCACAGGGAGCAGTTTCTGAGTGGCTATGTGGCGAGTTGCAGTCACTGTGTAATTCAGAATGTTTTTCACGAATTAATGGTCTAGCTTCATGACGCAAAGCAGTACTTATGCGACCTGCCACTGGGCTGTAGTCATGAGAATGCCTATTTCTAGGGTGTCCCTCTGATGGGTCAGTTATACTACTACTCAAATTAGCAATATCTGAAAAGTCACACCGTGTAAAGTCATGTGAACTATTCAGAGAATGAGAAGTCTTGAGACTTAATGGTTTAGCCAAGAGACCACTTGTGGTAGCAGCAAGAGAAGCAATGTTTCTGCTAACAGAAAGTTCAAGTGGAACCATATTAACATTGTTGCTTAGATTTAAATCATCAATTGATGATCGGCTAATGGCAGGAATACCGTGAAGACCGATGGGAATATTAATGCCTGTTTCTACTTGTCTCTCATGAGACAGAAGCCCCTTGACTGATTCTGTTTCTTTATGTGAACTCTGAGAAAATGGGGGCAGTGCTGCACTATAATTAGCCACAGATGTTGTCTCTTCATTATGGCGTAGATCAAGAGATGAGTGCATTGGAATGATCACAGATTTCTTACTACTTTGCTGTAGGTCTTTCCACAATGACATTATTTCTGCCTCTTTGTGTTGCTCAGGGTTGGGAGTAATGGACCTCTGCTGATCCTCAATACTGGCCCGTTGCCTGACATGATCAAGCGGTTTGTCATCATAACTATGCTGACTCTGCTGCTGCTTATGTAAATGTTGAAAAATATGAGGATATTCCTCACTCGGTCTTGGCTGTACTAATCTTGGTTGTTGGTGCTGTCGACCAAATCCCATAGGTTGAAACTGAGCTAATCCAAGTTCTTGAGGGAGTGATAATAATCCTGGTTGCTGGTACTGTTGACCTAGGCCAGAATGATGCTGCTGTTCAAATTCTAGTTGCTGATAGTTTTGTGGAAATCTTTGTTGCTGGTACTGTTGTCCCAATCTTGGCTGCTGGTATGGTTGCCCCAACCTTGGCTCCTGGTACTGCTGTCCAGATTGCTGGTACTGTTGCTGCTGCCATGATGGAACTGGTGACATAGGCTGCATTGCTTGGTGGGGATGTCGTGTCCCTTCCATCTTTGAATTTATACGTTGAAATATCTCTGCCAATAAAACAAAGACTATATATTAATGCAGAGAACAAGGCACCATAACATAGCCGAAACTAATAATCCAACGCACATTAGATGAAAGGAGAGTGACAAGGTTTTGGTCCATTCTGAACCCTATCAAGTCATGACAAGGAAAATGGGAAGAAAGTCAATATCAGACAAGAGGGAGGATGATGTGAAAGATGAGGGGGGACAAATGAACGAATAAAGCATGAAAGCTGAGCTAGCAGAAGAACATAAGAATGAAACAAACTGTAGAGGGGCCTAATAACAGCTAAACAAAGTAAACAGAAAGGGGAAGAAAAATTAAAAAAAGTTAAAGGTGAAATAAGAGAGAACCAAAATACACATACAAAGAGATAAGAATAGAAGAGATAGACGAACATCCCAGAGGGGGTAAATTACACCATTTGTACACATTTAATCGCCTTGTTCATATCATGAGATGTACTGACTTGGGAATACCTTTCTGGATGAATGACCAAACCACACATCACAAAACAAAGAAACGACGACGTTTTGGTCCGTCCTAGACCATTATCAAGTTGTGTGGCCTGCTGCCTGACATGATCAAGTTCAAGTAAGTTTATTGAGACAATAAGATACATCTCAAAAGGATAGAGCAGCTTAGGCTATTTCTAGCCACATCACATAACTTGATAATGGTCCAAGATAACCAAAATTTTGTAATTTCTTTGTTTTCTGATGTGTCGTTTGGTCATCATATCTTCAGCCATGTTACTGTGACTCATCGTCTGCACATTTCACACATTTGACTCATTATCTGCACACATTTGCCAAAAAATATTAGAAAGTTTTCTTTTGCAAACTTCCCTTCTGACCCTTTCCACAGCAGTTGCCTAACTCCTGGTACCAATTTCCTGCTAGGTGAACACACATTAGCAGAAAAGAAACGAGCCCATCAATTTTTATCCCACCAGGGAATTGAATCCAAGGTCCCTGATTATGAGTCATGAATGAACCCAACTGTACTACGAGACCCTAAATGTATGATAGTTGCTTGCAGATATCACTCAAGACAATTAAATGCTATGCAAGCAATAACATTAATTTAAAACGCTATTCAAACTTTGGTCAATATTTCTCAAAATACTGTACTGGAGATACTCTGCTGAAAGGCACGAACTGTACTTTTGAGAATATCATACATACCTTGACTAAGATAGTGCTTAATTCTTCTCCACAATGCTCACCACCATCACCATCTTCATAAACTAAAAAAGAAAGAAAATGAATCATTATTTATAAGAATGTGCACACATTACAGCATCATCTTACAGAATTGGGCAACATAACTGAGACTATTGTTTGAGAGTTATCAACATTCACAATTTCTAAATAGGCTGAAAAAAAACAGAAGCTTTATAAGCCCATGGAATACTGTATTGTCATATGGTAAAAATATTGTAATAAGTACAATAACTATACTTATTATTATGTACTGTAATTATTATGTAATATTATTATTAATATGTAATATGTATTACATTACAGGGCCACATGTATTACAACATGTATTACATTACAGGGCCACATGATCATACAGTTAATATGTATTAAGTGTACTTATTAATATGTACTGTAATTAATATGTAATATGTACTTATTGGCAGTCCCCATGGTGTAGTGGTTAAGACACTCGCCTGGCGTTCCGCGAGGGCTTTGTCCTGGGTTCGTATCCTGGCCGGGGAAGATTTACTAGGCACAAATCCTTAACTGTAACCTCTGTTTAACTCAACAGTGAAATGGGTACCTGGTTGTTAAACGATTTTTTGCGGGGTCGTATTCCAGAGAACATAGGATTAAGGACTTGCCCGAAGGGACTCATAGAGTAAGGGACTCATTGTAAACTTATGTGCTTTCTGGAGGCATTTGTCAGATGCTTTTTTTTTTTTAGGACAAGAAAAAACATTGCTTCAGCTGTTTTTTTCTAATGTTGCTTTCATCTACGATAATCATTAATACTGTAGTAGGAAGCCATGTTAAGTGTGCTACCATTTATACTGTACACTAATATTTCCTCGCACTCGCACTCCATGGACTAATTTCACCAAGCGAAATTTTCAATTCAACTGATCACATGCAGAACAACACCCAGGATAACAAGTCTGTAAAAAGATTTCATCACATCCAGCATATTTCCCATGTCTCAGCCAGGAAACCTCATTTTCCAAGGAAGGTCTATATTTTAGTGAGCAAAAACTACTACAACTTGATGTAAAAATGAACCATAGAATTAGGTTTTAAATATCTTCAATAGCTTTCCCAAGGCTCCAACTATTTCTTGTAATGTTGTACCCATCTATGAAAATTACACATTACTGTACAGTACTGTAGTAATAACAATAGGTATGGGTGATAGGAGATCTGTATTTAACTACACCATAAGGGGAAGGCAATTACAAGAAACAATAAGAGAAAAAGCCTTGGAAATAGACATAATCCCAACACTAGCACCAGAAGATCATATGAACAGGGTAACATCAGCAGCATATGGGAACTTAGCAAACATAAGCATGTCATTTAAAAATCTAAGCAACGAGGCTTGCAAATCCATACACACTGCCAATATGAGACCATTACTTGAGTTACTCGAGTATGCAGCACCAGCATGGATCCCACACTTTCTAAAGTATAAACAGAAACTAGAGAATGCTCAGAGGTTTGCAACTAGATTAGTAAGCAAACTGAGAGCCCTTAGCTATTAGGACCAGTTGAGAGAATTCACCCTTCACAACTTTAGTGGAAAGAAACAGAGGGGATATGATAACTACATACAAGATCTTGAGAGGAATAGACAAAGTGTATAAAGTAAGCTTATTTAAATTAAAAAGAGGTAGGACAAGGGACATCAGTGGAGGTTGTATATGCAATTGAATTAAAGATATGTAAGGAAGTTCTCGGTCACATTACAGGTGGTCAGCAAGTGGGATGCACTGAAGGACGAGTTTTTTTTAAGGCAATTCCATCTACAAAAAAAAAAAAGGATGAAAATATTAATGTTGAGAGAGGAAATTAGCATACCTATACCGGGTATGCTAATTTATGCTCACTCCTATACAAGGCTAGGAGGTGGGGCATAAAGATCTAGATCTCACTATGCTGTAGCCACTGATAGGTAAGCACCTGAAATGGAATACAGCATGTAGCAAATACCATTATTTCAGAGCAAATTGCAGGAAGTAGTCTAAATGAAGGCATACACAAATGACCTCTTATGGATGTAAAATTTGGACCAACTAGAAAAAAAAATCTTTAGACGTTACTGTATTTTCACAGGTTAGGAACATGATGCATAGAAAGGCTGTGCAGAGAAATAGAAATAATCGAGCTAAAGCTACAAGAATCACTTGAAAGCCAGAAGCAGAGCGCAAAAGGCCATCATTGAAATAGAGAGAAACCCAAAATACTTTCTCTCTTCAAAATCTAGGGCAAATATTTTGTCTAGTATTATACCCTTGCATGAGAGAGATGGCCCTTTCACAAATAACAGCAAAGAAATGAGTGAAATACTTAGGATACAATGCAATTCTATTTTCAGAGAATCCTTAATACACTGCAGATCAATATTTCCAAACAAATTCCTCATGAATGTCACACCAACATTGAACCATATATCAGATATCACCCCTAACCCCACTGGACTTTTAAGTAGCCATAGACAGTATGCCTACACACATTGCACCAGGCCCAGATTCCTGGAATTCTATATTTATCAAGAATTGAAAAAAACAAAACACGAACAGACATTAAATATTACTTGGAGACGGAGCCTAGATACAGTACTGGTGTTATCCCCGACACAATCAAAACTCACCACCAAGTTCTTATAGCTCTGCAGTTTAAATCACAGAAACTATTAAATTTGAAACCATTAATGAACTAATGACAGGACATTTACATGCATAGTTAGGCTATTAACATATTGCTTGTATGACAGTTTATAAACTCTAAATTAACATATGGTAACCAACTGCAACAGTGCAACATATCATCAACTAGCAGGCGAGGCTAAATGGGCGCGGGTTGAAAGTTGGGCAACTCATTGTGACATTTTTTTTTACATCTGGAAGCGTGGACCATATCAGAGTGTGCAATATGCTCTCATATGCTATGAGACAATCTTTGGTCCTTACTTGGGTTATGGTCAAATCATACATAAGATGGTTTAACAAAGCTTGTTTTCTGATTGTCAAAACTCTATACTGTACAGTACATATATCGTTAGGTTAGGAAGTGCTAGCTTAAGTTAGGCTGGATTAGGCTCAGTTGGGAATGGGTGTGCAAGATTAGGTAGGTTTTAAAATCTGCTGGCAAGCTGTCTTGTGTATGCTGTGACTTGTATCCCTTTGTCTAAACAATACTGTGAGTACATTATATACGTTTAGAGTTCACTGCGCTGCTAGGATACAGGCCCATGAAATGCTGTGAATTTTGGATATCAATTAAAAAATGATAAGTGGGGCTAACACAGTTCCGGATACAGTATCCTTCATGCAAATAGTAGTACAGTACAGTAGTACAGTGCAAGTAGTACAGTACACCATGGTTCTGCACCCAAACACCACAGCATCCCAGATCAAACATTCACAATTCTTAGGTTAGGTAAGGATTTTTCATAATTCAGTCAATTATTGACCAACTGCTGAGAAAATGCTGTGTTCTCTGATAGGATATGCTTTCCAAAGCTGTGTTGAAGGTACAAAGGTCATTTCATATGGCAATTTACTATAGATCTTAGACCTGATCTAACCCATGATATCAGTTAACAGATGCAAAATATATAATCTATAACATGACAAAATATGAATTTAATGACTAGCTACAAAACAATTGCTAAGTATATAGCCATACTCCTACACAACATCAAATACTCACAGCCTTGATATTTGCCATTATACCATATATACTGTACTCTAAATATTTATTATAAAATATGCCTATTAGAGAAAAGCACATGATTTTCAATTACCATCTTCATCCTGACACACATTAAACTCAATCATAATGCACTCATCCACACACAAAGTATTGGTCATTGGTTTAAGTAGGTTTTGTTGTTGTGACCCACCCACACACACACACACACACACACACACACACACACACACACACACACACACACACACACACACACACACACACACTTAAAGTAAATTTAAACTTAAAGTAAATGAAGTTAAAGTAAATTTAAACATAAATGACTACAATAGGTTAGGCAAGGAAATTCAACAGGAGAAACAGCTTTTGTCAGCACAGATGGAGGAAGTTACACAGGGAATAGAACAGTGCAAGAAAGATATGCAACTCACTTATGCACAAGTGGCCAAGGAGAAGGAAAAAATAGAAGAAGCAGTAAAGGAAGTCAAACACTGCAGCAACCAAGATAAAACAAACATTAGGCTAGAAGTGAGGAAAGAATTGGCATCTAACCCGAAGTTGGTGCAAAACACAGTTGATCGGAGTAAGTCCCTGATCATTTTTGGCTGCAAAGAAAAGGCGATAACATCTAGGTCAGAAAGAGCTGTAGAAGAAGCTAAAGTAGTAGATAAAATTGTTGGCCTCGTGGAAGGTCTTACAAACAGAGAGAATGTGTGCGACTACAGGAGAATAGGCAGGTACGTAAAAGGGAAAGATCGACCTTTGAGGATCACCCTAAACGGTGCCAAACAGATGGAAGAAGTACTAAGGAATGCTAGAAAATTGCAAAGGGATGAGGATGGGAAAGGGTGGTCATTAAGACGAGATCTTTCAAAAGAAGATAGAGAGAAGCTGAAACTGAACCTCGCCGAGGCAAAACATTTAAATGAGAGCAGGAATGAAGAAGAAATAAATTCTTTTTTCTACAAAGTGATAGGGGTAGGCAAACCAGTAAAGTGGTACATAAAGGCAAACCAACAAAATCAATAGAGAGAGGGGGAGTGAAGAATAAGGAGAGGGGGAACAAGTTCCTGAAGATTGCATACACCAACATAGATGGAGTGAGATCGAAGATACTGGAGTTAAGTGATGTAATACAGCTGCAGACACCAGACATTGTTGCACTCACGGAGACAAAACTTGAAGATGTAATTTTAAATGAGGTCATATTCCCGAGGGGCTACTCAATTTGGAGACGGGACAGAAAAATTAGGAAAGGCGGTGGCGTTGCTGTGCTGGTAAAAGAACACCTAAAGGTGAAGGAAATAATGACTGCCAATCCACAAGAAGTTGACATAATAGCACTAGAGATCTGCTATGAGGATGATAAACTAATGATGATAAATGCATATAGTCCACCGCCAAGCAGCACATGGTCAAAGGAGGAGCTAGATAGTAAACGTGAAGGTCTTATAACAATAATGAGAGAGATTATAGCGAGAGCGGATAACGATAGATCACGACTGTTGATAGTCGGTGACTTCAACTTGAAATCCATAGACTGGGAAGCATATGAAGCTAAAACAGAAGATTTTTGGACCTGTAAATTTGTAGACCTCATCCTGGAAACATTCTTGTATCAACATGTTAAACAAGCTACGAGGATGAGGGAAGGGGACGTTCCCTCCATGCTAGATTTGATATTTACCAGGAAGGAGGAAGAGATATTTGACATTCAGTACCTTCCTCCCTTGGGTAAAAGTGACCATGTCTTTTTGGGAATAAAGTATGCAATGCGTTATAAGCTGGAAGAAAATAAGGAGGTTGAAGCAGTTGAAAAACCAGACTTCAGGAGAGGACATTATGGTGACCTTAGAAATTTTTTTAGTGAGTATAATTGGACAGACTTGATGCTAGGCAAGGAAGTGAATGAGATGTATGTCAAGTTTTGTGAAATATATGATAAAGGCACAAAAAAATTTATACCAAAACAGAGATGCAGAACTAGGAAACAGGATTGGTTCAATAGAAATTGCGAGAGGGCTAGAGACCGAAAGACACAAAAATGGAATCAATACAGGAAGAGGCCGAACCCCCAAACATACCAGCGATACAAAGATGCGAGAAACAACTACACGGCAGTGAGGAGAGAGGCAGAAAGAAATTTTGAAAAAGGGATTGCGGACAAATGTAAAACAGAACCAGGTCTATTCTATAAATTCATAAACAACAAATTGCAGGTAAAGGATAATATTCAGAGGTTGAAAATGGGAAATAGATTCACGGAAGATGAAAAGGAAATGTGTGAAACACTAAACGAAAAGTTCCAAAGTGTGTTTGTACAAAATGAAATCTTTAGGGAACCAGACACAATAAGAATTCCAGAGAACAACATAGAGCGGATAGAGGTGTCTAGAGAAGAAGTGGAAAATATGCTAAAGGAGCTCGGGAGGAACAAAGCAGCTGGCCCAGATGGCGTTTCACCATGGGTTCTGAGAGAATGTGCATCTGAGCTCAGCATTCCACTTCACCTGATCTTTCAGGCATCCCTGTGTACAGGAATCGTAGCAGACGTGTGGAAACAGGCTAACATAGTTCCAATCTACAAAAGTGGCAGCAGGGAAGACCCCCTCAATTATAGACCTGTATCATTGACAAGTGTAATAGTGAAAGTATTGGAAAAGCTAATCAAAACTAAATGGGTAGAACACCTGGAGAGAAATGATATAATATCAGACAGACAGTATGGTTTTCGATCAGGAAGATCCTGTGTATCGAATTTACTCAGTTTCTATGATCGGGCCACAGAGATATTACAGGAAAGAGATGGCTGGGTTGACTGCATCTATCTGGACCTAAAAAAGGCTTTCGACAGAGTTCCACATAAGAGGTTGTTCTGGAAACTGGAAAATATTGGAGGGGTGACAGGTAAGCTTCTATCATGGATGAAAAATTTTCTGACTGATAGAAAAATGAGGGCAGTAATCAGAGGCAATGTATCGGAATGGAGAAATGTCACAAGTGGAGTACCACAGGGTTCAGTTCTTGCACCAGTGATGTTTATTGTGTACATAAATGATCTACCAGTTGGTATACAGAATTATATGAACATGTTTGCTGATGATGCTAAGATAATAGGAAGGATAAGAAATTTAGATGATTGTCATATCCTTCAAGAAGACCTGGACAAAATAAGTATATGGAGCACCACTTGGCAAATGGAATTTAATGTTAATAAATGTCATGTTATGGAATGTGGAATAGGAGAACATAGACCCCACACAACCTATATATTATGTGAGAAATCTTTAAAGAATTCTGATAAAGAAAGAGATCTAGGAGTGGTTCTAGATAGAAAACTATCACCTGAGGACCACATTAAGAATATTGTGCAAGGAGCCTATGCAATGCTTTCTAACTTCAGAATTGCATTTAAATACATGGATGGCGATATACTGAGGAAATTGTTCATGACTTTTGTTAGGCCAAAGCTAGAATATGCAGCTGTTGTGTGGTGCCCATATCTTAAGAAGCACATCAACAAACTGGAAAAGGTGCAAAGACATGCTACTAAGTGGCTCCCAGAACTGAAGGGCAAGAGCTACGAGGAGAGGTTAGAAGCATTAAACATGCCAAAACTAGAAGACAGAAGAAAAAGAGGTGATATGATCACTACGTACAAAATAGTAACAGGAATTGATAAAATCGACAGGGAAGACTTCCTGAGACCTGGAACTTCAAGAACAAGAGGCCATAGATTTAAACTAGCTAAACACAGATGCCGAAGAAATATAAGAAAATTCACCTTCGCAAATAGAGTGGTAGACGGTTGGAACAAGTTAAGTGAGAAGGTGGTGGAGGCCAAGACCGTCAGTAGTTTCAAAGCGTTATATGACAAAGAGTGCTGGGAAGACGGGACACCACGAGCGTAGCTCTCATCCTGTAACTACACTTAGGTAATTACACTTAGGTAATTACACACACACACACACACACCAGTTGTGTGTGTGTGTTCTTTCTAAATTCTACCAGTTGGTATACAGAATTATATGAACATGTTTGCTGATGATGCTAAGATAATAGGAAGGATAAGAAATTTAGATGATTGTCATGCCCTTCAAGAAGACCTGGACAAAATAAGTATATGGAGCACCACTTGGCAAATGGAATTTAATGTTAATAAATGTCATGTTATGGAATGTGGAATAGGAGAACATAGACCCCACACAACCTATATATTATGTGAGAAATCTTTAAAGAATTCTGATAAAGAAAGAGATCTAGGGGTTATCTTGAGGTTATCTTGAGATGATTTCGGGTTTTTTCAGTGTCCCCGCGGCCCGGTCCTCGACCAGGCCTCCACCCCCAGGAAGCAGCCCGTGACAGCTGACTAACACCCAGGTACCTATTTTACTGCTAAGTAACAGGGGCATAGGGTGAAAGAAACTCTACCCATTGTTTCTCGCCGGCGCCTGGGATCGAACCCAGGACCACAGGATCACAAGTCCCGCGTGCTGTCCGCTCAGCCGACCGGCTCCCCAACCGGGGTGGTTCTAGATAGAAAACTATCACCTGAGGACCACATAAAGAATATTGTGCAAGGAGCCTATGCTATGCTTTCTAACTTCAGAATTGCATTTAATTACATGGATGGCGATATACTAAAGAAATTGTTCATGACTTTTGTTAGGCCAAAGCTAGAATATGCAGCTGTTGTGTGGTGCCCATATCTTAAGAAGCACATCAACAAACTGGAAAAGGTGCAAAGACATGCTACTAAGTGGCTCCCAGAACTGAAGGGTAAGAGCTACGAGGAGAGGTTAGAAGCATTAAACATGCCAAAACTAGAAGACAGAAGAAAAAGAGGTGATATGATCGCTACATACAAAATAGTAACAGGAATTGATAAAATCGACAGGGAAGATTTCCTGAGACCTGGCACTTCAAGAACAAGAGGTCATAGATTTAAACTAGCTAAACACAGATGCCGAAGAAATATAAGAAAATTCACCTTCGCAAATAGAGTGGTAGACGGTTGGAACAAGTTAAGTGAGAAAGTGGTGGAGGCCAAGACCGTCAGTAGTTTCAAAGCGTTATATGACAAAGAGTGCTGGGAAGACGGGACACCACGAGCATAGCTCTCATCCTGTAACTACACTTAGGTAATTACACTTAGGTAATTACACACACACACACACACACACAACTAGGTGAGTACACACACACACACACACACATACGTGAAAAGGACGAAGACATCTCAAAATTAATATAATTAGGTGTAGGAGGAGAGTAGAAGGGACACAGGCCAGCCAGGGCGGCTGGGCTCTCCTGTGATAACCTTGCACTTGGAAATACCAGAACCACACCTCAAATTGGTGTGTGTGTTAGTGTATGTTGGGGAGTGTGTGTGTTAGTGTGTGTGGGGGAGTGTGTGTGTGACAAGGGTGAGGAAGGGCTGGGGCGTCGCCTGCAGGAGGCCGGGGCCGGGCACCACAGTAGCCTCCACACCAGGCACCAACTCCACACTAACTCACCGCCCACCACGCCTCGCTCCACACTCCACACCTCGCCGCCTACGAATGTTTGTGTGGTGGAGGCTGCTAGGAGTTGTGTAGAGGAGGCGAGAAGTGCACAAGTGCGGCAACTCGGCTGAATTACGCGTTAAGAGACGCCCAAAGAGCAGGGCTTAAGCCAGGTGGTCCTGCGCGCGCCTCTTCTGTTTGTAAACAAACTGGTGAAGACGGCACAAAGGACGCCCAGCCGCCCCCTAGGCCTCCCTAGGCCGGCCTAGGCCTGCCCAGCCATCCTCACACTCACCCTAATGCATTATTACAACCTTCACTATTTTAATAGTGGGAGAGTAGAGAGAGAGAGAGAGCGGCTGTGATAACGCCAGGCCGGGGCGCCTCTCCTCACAACTCATCTCCCTCAACCAATTATGCTGCACCACAACACTAATATATACTACCACCTTTCTCTTGTCACTTTACTAACTTGTTAATTAACATATATTATTGTTCCCATATTTACTTGTACCACAGATGACCTCATTCATCAAAATATTAACATTGATCAATAACAAATATATTTATTAGCAAGGCCCACCTTTTACTATTAATTCGTAATCTAATTAGTAATTTACCTATTAATTACTATTTATTTCCTTCACCAACTATTTGTTGTAGGATAATATAATAATTTTAATTTACAGGTGATTTATATTTGTACACATATAACGCACGTAACATACGTAATACATACATCAAAATGTTTAATTTACTTTAGAAGATAATACGGGGTAATTTCCGGTGTATACAAGAGAGAAAGTAAGAGTGAGAGTGCTGGGAGAAGGAATATATTAGGCACGTGGGCAGGCGGGCCAGGAAAGCCTCGCTGGCTCGAACTCTGGCACCGTCATGGTGGACGGCCAAAATGGCGTCACATATTGCCCCTCCACATTCTTCACTCTCGCTACCCGCACCTTCCCCCTCCTCCTCCACTCAATATTGTCGTTATTATCATGGTCATATTAAAATATGGTGTTGTTGACGCCGATGGTGATCATTGGTCACAATGTATGTATATATAATTCATGATATATAGTGATCATGATGATAATCATATATGTATATATATATATATATATATATATATATATATATATATATATATATATATATATATATATATATATATATATATATATATATATATATATATATATATATGAAGACCCTACTGAAGATGTATTATTAAATACGAAAGTACTTAAGGAAATTCCTGTTTTTTTTATTATTTATTTATATATATATTTTTCTTTCAATTCAGTTTCAATTCTTCCTCCGTGGTCTGACAGTGTCAGATAATCAATTTTTCCTCTATTATGTATATTATGTATACTACATATAGTTTTCTAACACGCGCACACACACATTACCAGGAGGCAGCTGTCTAACTCCAGATACCTGTTTACTGCTAGGTGAATAGGGGCATCTGGATGAAAGGAACTTTGCCCATTTATTTTCACCACCGCCTGGAATCGAACCCAGGCCCTTGGGACTACAACCTCCTAGCGCTATCCACTCAGCAGTGAGGCCCCTGTGTGTGTATATGTGTGTGCGTGTGTACGTAATTACCTAAGTGTATTTACAGGATGAGAACTACGCTCGTGGTGTCCCGTCTTCCCAGTACTCTTTGTCATATAATGCTTTGAAATTACTGACGGTTTTGGTCTCCACCACCTTCTCACTACCTTGTTCCAACCGTCTACCACTGTTTGCGAAAGTGAATTTTCTTATATTTTTCGACAACTTTATTCAGTTACTTTAAATCTATGACCTCTTGTTCTTGAAGTTCCAGCTCAGGAATTCTTCCCTATCAATTTTATCGATTCCTGTTACTATTTTGTACGTAGTGATCATATCGCCTCTTTTTCTACTATCTTCTAGTTTTGGCATATTTTAATGTGTGTTTACTTGAATTTTCCTAAGGACCACTGTTTCTCTAGTGGCCTCGACGGGGATAAGAAGCCGGCGACTTGTCAAAGGTCCTCCCATTTGTCCTGATGATTTTTTGTAGCTGTATTTCAAAATTCAACAGTTTTGGCATTTACGGCGTGGGCGGGTAGGCGGTTCCATGGGTTAATAATAACCCTGTGGGTGAAAAAGGCTCTTCTGTTCTTCAATCCTACACTGTGGCTTGTTGAGCTTGGAACCGTTGCTCCTTGTTTGTGTTACATCTGACCTTCTGAAGAAGTTGTCCAGATCAACATCCTCCAAACTGTTCATTATTTTAAAAGTTCTGACGAGACCCGCCCTGTCATGCTGCAGTGTTGTTAGCCCTGTGGCCCTCAACCATTCCTGGCACGAGTGATATAGTTCAGGAATGACCTTAGTTGTCTGGTGTTGACCTTTCTCCAAAGCAGCTATGTCTTTGTGAAGATCAGATCTTAATGCTTGGATACAATGATTCAAGTAAGGACGTACCAAAGCTGTTGAAGTACAGTTGAATAACTACCTTCTTTTCCTTTAAATCAAAGGTACGCTTGATTACACCCCGGGTTTGGTTAGTTTTTTGTTTTTGTTTTAGGATTTAGGGTAATTTGGTGAGATCTACATCAATAGATGGTGCAAACCTCTATAGAGATACAAACCACACAAGCCTAGCAGCCGTACCCTCTGTACGCCTGCTGACAATACTGAATGACCCATAGATAGCTCTTTAAGAGCATATGCTTTTAGCTAACTCATGATGTCTATCATACAGAGAACAATATAAGATGGGATCCATCACTGATGATTGTATTATATGTGTGTGTGCCTTGCATCAATACGAGTGCTACATCGTCAGCCAATTTAGAGGTAAAAAGTGTGGCCGCAGTGGTACTGTTTGCTCCCTGTGGGGCCGGAACACAATTCCTCCTTCAATCGATGCAGTACACCGGCCGGTCCCTGCATCCCTCCCTCCTGGTGGGGAGGTGAGCCGCCCTCAACGCTACACGCCCCTCTTTCTGTCACTACCACCACTATCACCTCCGTGACAACCACCACCTTCACTACCACCACCGTCACTACTACCACCATCACTATCTCCAGAGGCACACATGAACAGGACAACATCTGCACCATTTGAGACACAGGCAAATATATGAACGTTTTGAAACCTAAATAAAATACCCTTAAAAGGCACTCTACAAAACATTTGTCAGACCAACACTGGGATATGCAGCACCACCATGGAATCCGCACCCTGTGAAACATAAAGCAAAATTTTAAAAGGTACACAAGTTTGCAACAAAATTGGTGCCAAAGCAAAGAGGGTTAGGCTATGATAGTAGGCTAATGAAAAAATAGCTAACTAAACTCTGGGAATACCTTTGACTTTAAAGAAAAGCAGGTAGTTATTCAACTGTATAAATCTCTGGTGCTTCTGGTGCCATAAATCCAAATCTGTATAAATCACTTGGATTATTGTATCTAAGCATGGAGATATATCTTAAGAAGGACATAGCTGATCTGGAGAAAGGTATACCTTTCTTTCTTCGTTGCTCGGAAACCGAGCAACGAGAGTCATTCCTGAACTATATCACTCTCGTACCAGGAATGGTTGAGGGCCACAGGGCTAACAACACTGCAGCATGACAGGGCGGGTCTCGTCGAAACCTTTAAAATAATGAACAATTTGGAGGATGTTGATCTGGACAACTTCTTCAGAAGGTCAGATGTAACACAAACAAGGAGCAACGGTTCCAAGCTCAACAAGCCACAGTGAAGGACTGAAAAACAGGTGAGGCTTTTTCACCCACAGGGTTATTATTAACCCGTGGAACCGCCTACCCGCCCACGCCGTAAATGCCAAAACTGTTGAATTTTAAAATCCAGCTGGAAAAATTCATCAGTACAAATGTGGGAACCTTTGACAAGCTCCCGGCTTCCTGTCCTCGTCGAGGCGTCTAGAGGGTGAGGTAGGTCAGCCGTGGGAGAGGTAGGGGTGAGGTAGGTCAGCCGTGGGAGAGGTAGAACAGCCGTGGGAGAGGTAAGACGGCGGTGTGTGAGGTAGGACGAAGGTAAGGTACGATGAAAAGATACATTGTAGCAAGATTTTATATCAACATTATATGACTCTGGGACACAGTGGTCGCTGGTAGTGTTTGCCATCAATGCTACTCTTTAAGGCACAATGGTCGCTGGTGGTGTTTGCCATCAATGCTAATCTCTGCGCCAAGGGCTGCTTGTAGCCCCAATTGAAAAGCCATCTATATATGTCGCTACTTACTACACTTTCCGGCTTCTGTTAAAATAAGGTGGCCTGTGAAGTCTATAAAGGGAATCAATCGCTAAAAAAAACAATTTGGCTAGTTTTATAGTCAAATTGATGAGTTATAGTTGTATAAGTGGCGACTAGCGGCAAGGTGAGGGTGTTGTGTGGAGTAAACAGGAGAGTGGGAGGCTGAGGCGGCTGTCTTCCCTCCATCCTTGTGTCATCTTGCAGCAACCCTCCTCTCTAACTACCTACACTAAGACTACCAACACACGGGTTTGGTACTAAAGTAAGGCATTACAGTATGTGTATGTTCCTGGAGGTTAATGTTTCCACAGTTTGTCACAAGTAACAATGCAATGTTTACCGCTGCTGGTAGCCCTATAGGGGGGCCGCTGAAGGCCACATATACAAGAGACTCACTCAGATATAAGTTATATCATGCGCAAATATGTTTTGCCAACATATTTTATATCCTACCTAAGCCATACCCAAAGCAACATAACCTAACTCAAGCCAAACCTAATTAGGCCAACTTAACCAATCCTGTCACCATCTAAGTTAATACTGCCTAACCTGACTATTTGGTTTTGACATTTGGACAACGTTTTGTAGACATGTTTCTTTACTATTTAACCACACTTTGGCTTATATTGAGGCCGCTGCAGGGTAGGCCTATTGTGAGGGGGCTCCTGCAGGATTTTCCTGGGGGGGGGGGGTCCTACTGCACAGTAGCATTATCTGTTTAGTACCACAGAGTTTAGTTTAGTTTTTTACTTCCCTTTTTCTAGGGATTTTGTTGGTTTGCCTTTTTGTAGCATTTCACAGGTTTACCTATCACCTTGTAGAAGAAATAATTAGTTTCTTCTTTGTTCCTGCACTCATTTAGATGTTTTGCCTCTACGAGGTTCAGTTAATCTCTGTCTTACTTGGAAAGAGTTTGTCTTAATGTCCATAATTCCCTTCCTAATCACTTTGTAGTTTCTTAACATTCCTGATTACTTCTTTCATCGGTTTAACTCCATTTAGAATGATCCTCAAGGGTCAATCTTACTTTTTTGTACCTGCCAAATCTCCTGTAAGACCTTCCACTAGCCCAACAATTTTATCAACTATTTTTGCTTCTTCTGTGGCTCTTTCTGACCAAGACGTTATTTCCTTTTCCTTGCAACCAAAAATTACTAGGGACTTTGATTGTCTGTATTTTGCACCAGCTTCAGGCTTGATGCCAGTTCCTCTCTGAATTCCACTCTAGTGTCTGTGTTTTTCTGATTGCTACAGTTTGTGGCTTCCTTTACTGCTGGTTCCATTACTGTATATCTTTCTCCCTATTGGGAGAATGATATACAGTAATAGAATGATATATGTGGTGGTCTCTTGTGCATAGCAAGTTGCAAGTGATCATTATTATATATTATCTCAGTTTAAATTAAATTTTCTTTATAAACATCATAATACTGTATATTGAAGTTTTGTTTGTTTCAGATCTATCTTCAGTCATAAAGAAGAGGAACAACATGACTTGCATTTGCATTTTTGATGGTCAAGTGGCATCTGTTCATGACAGCTTGTGAATGTTGTTAACAATTTAGGAGATACAGAATGCTGTTGATTACCAAGATAAGGACTGGAAGAACATAGGGCAAAGGATTTGAAAATTGAAGTGTGTTCAGTATATATCTGCTGCAGTGCATATAAAAGGTGAAGATAATTTGGTCTTTTAGTAAAGATGTTAATATATGTTATGTACTTGTAATATGACCCACTGCATAATTCTCATGAGTACTGGTAGCAAGGTATTTTTTTATGTAGGACTGAATCAATGGCATCGCAGTCTCTCACACGCTGCCATTTCTCCGTGGGGAGATACAAAATTTATAACTAAAGAATTTACTAATTCTACCAGGGTCTCCTAAAGGGCCATCTGTTACCATGTAAAACTTGAAGTGTGATACCAGTTGATCATTTCAGAAGTACTGGTTAGATTAGTAGATTTTTGTGTTACTGTATATATCTAATGTCTTGTCATGAAGGAGTGATGGTGGGTGGTTCTGGCACATCTTCCACCTTATGTCTTGTCATGGAGTGATGGTGTGTGGGTCTAGTACAGATTATAATAATTTTCAAGATAATTGCATTTCATGTGCTAACATTCATTTGTTACTGTCATTGAGTTTTGTTACTGTCATTGAGTTTTGTTACTGTCATTTGAGTAAGGTCTCATGGTTGAGGAGCAGGTAAGAGAAGAAAATTACCAAAGTTTCACTTTGGACACAAATTTCATGGCTGTGCCTTGTGCTGCTGCAGCATGTGCTACCCATGGTTGCTCTCTCCATACAGAGGCCCTCATACCCAGGATGGGTGCCCACAAGTTTTTCAAAGATGGTGTCTGTTTATACTGGAGGTATTATTGCATGTACCGAATGTACATGCGAGAGTTGTGCAGTACTTAAAATCGACCCTCATTGACTTGTAAAGTGGGGGTCAGAAATGGTGCAGCTGTCCGTGGTAGATGTTAACATTTCTAGGGTTAAGCTTGTCTTATGCACTGTGCAAACATTCAGAGAATTGTTTATGCCATTAATGTATTTCAGTCACCTAATTACTGTACTTACTTGTAGATTTTAACCATGAATAATTATCACTAATATTACTGTTTCAGACACAGCTGATCTTCAGCAGCACTAAGGTCAAGTGGAGCAGTAAGGCAAATCTTATTCCAAGAATTGTCATACAATACAGTATAATGGAAGAAGGAAATGCATTCCCGTGTGAGGATTGTAATCAACAGTTCTCTTTTCAGTGGGAATATAGGAGACATATGTTGGAACACACATGTTATAGAATCTTTGCATGTGAGGTATGTGACAAGGTATTTACAAATTCTTGGGTTCTTAGCATACATATGCTATTGCATAGTGGCAGGAAGAAGTTTAAGTGTGGAAAATGTAAAGAACTTTTTACATCAAGAACAAGTCTTGGAAAACACATGCTTGTGCACACAGGCAATGATAAAAGTTTTGTGTGTGAAGAATGCAATGAACGGTTCAGCTGTAAGAGCCATCTCAAGAAGCACATGGAAGCACATTTAAAAAAATATAAATGTGAAAAATGTGACAGGCAATTTAGACGAGAAAATGCCTTCAAGATGCACGCGTGCTTTCCAACTAGAAAGGTTAATTGTGAGGTCTTATCTGAGGAGACACGTATGTCCAGTGTAGTGTCTGAAGATGGAGATGAAAGTAATGAGAAGCTTTTTGAATGTAATGAATGTGGAGAAGTATTCACTGATAAGAAGTACATTAGGGAACATGTACTTGTTCATTTTCATGATGGAAATTTTGAATGCAATGAATGTGGAAAATTATTCAGCAGTAAGGAGCATATGAAGCAACATAAGTTGACTCATAATAGTAAACAAAAAATTCCATGTAAAGTGTGCGGAAAACTCTTCACTCATAAAAAATACGTAAAGGCACACATGGCTGTTCATGGCAAGATAAACAAATATTATGGAAAGATTGGCAAAGGAATAATTTCAAGAAAAAGTTCTCAGGGTACTTCATACTCAAAAAAATAAATTGCGTGTGAAGTTTGGAATAAGTTACTAGTGACATAAAACATCATGTATATAAAGAACAATTAAGGACACTTAAGACAAGCTGTATCACACAGGATTCAGGTGACATACAACCGGGAGAGCGTAGCAGGAGCCAACAACTGTGATAAATACCACTTTAGTTACTCATTTGCTGATGCAAATTGGATCTTGTAAAGTTGCAAGCTTAGATCAGTTGGTGTTGTAAGATATGTGAGTAAGACTGCAGTCATGAAAAATAGGCAACAGAAAACAGTGAAGATGATGATTGATGTTTTAAGCAAACAGATTTTAGGTACAGTTTTCATTAAATGCAGTTGTTTGGATATTGTGAAGCTGGTGAGGTTCTTAGACAAGGAGTTTAGGAGTAGATAAGTACAAGGAGAAGGAATATGTTTGCTTAGAGCTTTAATCTAAAATATAGCCTATAGTTAGAACAGAATAGTTGGCAGTACAGTGGTGCAAAGGAATTCATGTGGAAGTGAATGAGATTAAGAATGGACTGTGTGAGGAATTGTAAAGGAAATACAAGATGCTTGAGGAAGACTGTTGGGAATATGAGAAATGTAGAGTAATCTGGTGCATGAAACAAGAAAAATTAGAGGGTCCAACATTATTTGAGTTAATCTTAACACCAGGCTGGAATGTTCACGAACAAAATGGTATGTTTATACTCAAATGTACAATCGTGTCTCAAATGAAATTTGGTTCAGTTGAAATCAAGATGAAATGAAAGGATCAACAGTTAATTGAGCTTTTATCTGGGTTACGTAGGTTATATGTCTGGATTAAGAAGGAAGTACTGTACAGATACAGTAGCTAGTTGGGATTTGTGGTGCCAATAAACATAAAAATATAAACCAAAAAAATTCATATTCTAGTACAGTATGTTAGAAATATTTTTGTATGTAATTTATGTATCAAAATGTGCAAATATGTGTTCTCAAATTTTGCTAGTAATTAATTGACACAATTCCTGTGACTGCTAATAGAGCAATTTGTGCAATGTAAGCACTGGTTACAAAAAATACAGTAAGATTTAATGCAGCCAGAGGCCTACATGTAGGAATAGCAATGCCAAGTCTTACGTATGATTGGAAGATGATGTGCTATAAATATAAAAATGAATAGAAGTGGATAACTTAAGAGTCATGTGTGGTGTTAGGATAGTATATAGAATAAGAAATGAAACTGCCATGGATAGATGTGCAATGCTAAAATTAATAAACTGCAAGATTGAAGAGAGTATTCTGAGGTGGTTTGAGCATGTTGAACGAATGATAGATAGGTGAACAGTGCATTTGAGAGTTTGTGGGTAAAGCGAGAGAAATACCTGGAAGGAGATGGGCAGACACAGTGAACAAGTGTGGCCAACACACGAGATATGGGTGCAAAATGTTTACGAGAAGTGACCTTTCCCCGCTAATCTCCATGATGGCTATGTTGTCACAGTGATGGTCCTTGGGTGCTTTGTTTGAGCTTAGTAGGCTCTATTGGCGAGTGCCTTCGAGTGCCTGCTGGGGGAGAAGCAGGACCAAAACTGTATGTAGTTTTGACATGCATATGTTTGACATGGAGACCCATATGGTTCTCATTTCACTTCAATTGAAAGTTGAACCTTCTCAGTGGCTGTGGCTCATGGAAGGGCAACGTACTTCTTTGGTGAAAAGAAGGATAAAATTTTAAGTTCAGTGGTTTTCCACTGAATCAGTCTGCTAGTCTTGCAAGAGGGCCTTGCTGGACTTGAGTCCAATGGGTCGTTACATATCAATTGCCTGCAAACTGAATTCTCCAAGACCCCTTACCTTACTCTTTGTCTTGCTGAATTCCTCCTGGGGTGCAGTTAGGTAATCATTCCTCCCTAGTATTGTTTAAATTTGAATATGGATGCCCTGCATATTTGTCAGCTTCACCTTTGACTCTTCATTATCTTGATACTATATATTATATTGGCTTGTACCTTAGCACAGGAGCCTTTTATTCTTCCCCAACCTATAAGCCTATGTGTAGAAACTGGTGTTCGATTGTTATACGACTGCCACAGTTAGTATTCCCTCCAATACTTTTGTGAACCTTCCAAAGCTCTCATTCATACTTGTACAGCACCTTGACTGCTATACCCCATTGACACCTCTACTCCCTTTGCAGCCTCATGGTACATGTACTGTAATATCTGGTTAGTGGCTTCTTTCTGTGTACATTCACAATGTGTCCCATCATATTGCACCTATTTTATCTCATGCGTGGGGTTTGTTAGATTTGATAAAGTGCTAACATGTACAGTGAAGGCTTCTACTCCTCGTACTGCCCTGAAATGTTTTTTTCTTAAACATCTTCACTAACATTAGGACTATACTGTTTACTGATGGTTGAAATCTGCTATGGCATTAGCTTTTCCATTACTTTTCCTGATTAAATCTTTGTGTTGCCTCCCCTCAGTGACAGGTATTTTTTGCAGCAGAACTTAGTGAAATTTTTTATTGCAAAGACAATTACAATTCATGCACCAATATTCTTTTTTTTAATGTGGTAGAGACTTGCAGTGCTCTCATGGCCCTAGAGTTTTAACCCTTCACATCTCATGGTGATTGAAATCCAATATTGGTTGTACCTAATCTTTAGCAGATATACAGGAGCTAAGTTTTGCTGTATTCTAAATACTAAAGAGGCCATTCATGTCTGTCCTAACTTCCAGAAGTGAGTTTCTTACTTTGATATCTATCCTATCATTATGACATTCGCAACTGTTAGAGAGAGAGAGGGTTTACTTCTGATTTTTTTTCTTAGAAAATTATCTACAATTAAATGTAACTTAATCCTGTGACCTTCCTCTTATCACTAACAGGAAATGGGAGACATCTCTGGCTAGGTTGTGTAATGATCACAAACACTTTATGAAAGAGACCTACACCTTGCTGTTAGAACTGCATTGTCCCGCTGACGGTCGTTCACCTCCTCGTAGAATGTCCTGATTTTCAGAATGATTGGAAATCTTATTTTCCCCAATGTTCACAATAATGCAGACGATGAGTCACAATAACGTGGCTGAAGATCTGATGACCAAACTGTGTGTCAGAAGATGGGAGAAACGTCGTTTCTCCATTTTCTGATGTGTGGTTTGGTCATATCTATAGCATTTCACAAGGAGGACCGGACACTTAGACCTATGAAGTGATGGGGGGAGTGTTGCCGTTTATGATTACTGGAGTGTGGTAGTCCTTTATCTATGATGCTATATGTCGTACAATACTATATTGTGAATGATAAATGATTGAATGATATTTTTAATTATATATTATTTTATACTTGTATCTCTGCTTATTTTACTATCATACTGTATTTGTGTTCATCATTTGACTTAGGGAGGCATCAACTCAGAGTGGGGAAAACACAGGGTATTGATAATGTATGTGTAAAAATAGCAGAAAACAACAAATATTTTGCAATGGAAGGCTATGAAACTAATTAATTAGGATAATTAACCCCTGCACTGTGCACCTGTTTTGGGTAAAAATTTCATGTTGCAGTTAAGGATATTTTTGTTGTTTTTATAAATATTTAAGTAATGTTAATGTCTAAATGTTTCCAAACTCAACCATTTTCATTTCAAATCACAATGATGAAAACATTAACAAACAAAATATGGCCTAATTAAAAAAAAAATCATCCAAGCGCCTTAAAGCGCTCTGCGCAGTTAAGTGGCTAAGACAACATTGTACAGTTCGGTTATAATATGGTATTCTAGGTTTTTCTGCCATTGTTTTTTGCTGTAGAGAGCCGAGTATTAAAAATGGTACAGTATGTGCTGTACTTCTATTTACAATGCTATAGCGAAGGTGGATGCCGTGTGCAATGCATCTGAGGTCATGGGAAATCAAACATGGTGGCTACACATATATCAAATACCTGTTTTTGTGCTTTCTTCTGAAACATTACATTTATATTATTCTGTTTCCACACAGTACAGTCCTCAATGTACCTGTATTTAAGTAATACAAGGAAGTACTGTATATACAAATGGTAATCATTTGTGTATGTAGACCTGGTATTATTTTACCTAGAGCTAAGGTTGGAGCAAAGTTTGGGAACAATAGCTATTTTCTGTACCGTGGAAACATGAGCAGTGAGAAAATACCACTAGCCAGGAACAGCAACTGTTATGCTCTCTGAACACTCATTATTTAAGAAACATTGTCAGTATTTTCAGGCATTTGTCAAGGCCTGTGCTAAGATTATTATTTCAATTCTGTGGAAATGCAGCTTGAGGTTATGTGCAGTGTATAAAAAGAATTTGATAGAGCAATGACTAAACTGTGTACAGTATTAAGGAATTATTGTCACAGTTGGCTCATTACCAAGATATGTTCTGGTGGTACGTAGTTAATTTTCTGCTGTGTTCAAAATTATGACCCAGAATAATCACTGAATAATACAGATGTATATGTAATTGTAATGATGTACTCTATATGTAATTGTAATGTTTGTAAGACAAAATTATGAATGTACAGTATGAAAAAATACACAAAAAAAAATAAAATTGCTTATACTTAAGACTCCTGACTGAAATGATTTACCACAAAATTTAGTATATATGTATATATTGTAGCAGTTATTATTAAGAAACTTTGAGATGACATCTTTCAAGTGACTTTCTTTTCCTCAAACTATTGCATTGTATTGTATAGTACCGGATATCAAGTGTTATTAAATTACTACTAGAAGTAACAGCATCTACTGGACACAACATTGGCATCTGGCAAACACCCAGGTATTCAATCTTTTATAATATGTGGTGGTAATATAACATTCTAATTCAGTACAGTTTAGTGTAGGGTAAAATGGATAAGGTTGCACCTGCCCTGGGATGTAAATGTAAACTCTTCCAGCTTGAATTTCACACAGCTGTACAGTATGTGATTACTTTTTTAAATGGGGACATTTGATAGAAAGTTAATGAAAGACAAACCAAAGTGAAAATTAAAAGTAGGAGTGATAAAAAATAAGGAAGAATCTTGCAAACAAAAACATAACTGGTCCTATTTTCTGCTTGTTACAACTTGTAATAAAGTTGTTACATCTTGGTATGACGTTTTTACGACGTATAAGAATGTGGTTATAACTTGCTATGTTGGTTCTTACAACTTGATGGCTGTTAAAACTTGTTCAAATGTTGTAGCAATATCATAGTCTCGTCGTGTGTTTGGCAGGAAAGAAAGGCATGTAAGTACTGTATTGGGAGAAATCACTAAGCCATTACAGCTGTACTGTAACATTTGAAAGGGATAAGGATTTAGGAAAGGAATGGTGTCCAACCACTTGGATGGTTGGGGATTAAATGCCGACCTGTAAGAAGCAAGGCCAACTCACAAAGTGGTTGTGCTTATAATTAAATGGCAAAGATAACTTGCAATTGCATTTATTTTGTGATGTAGAAGTGAAAATTATATTATTTTTTTGGGTATAGTTGAGAGAGTGGGATATACTATATCAAAAAGCTACAGAATAATTGTGATTAGTTATTTACAAGGGTCTCGGGAAACTTCTGAAATGTTATACATAGCATCCTGGGAATTTACAACAAAGGCTGTACAGTATAGTACAGTATATCTAAATACAGTACATGTATATGGGCAGTGAGTCAAATGTTATGAAACACATTCTGAATAGATGATTAACAAGTGCAGTTTACTGAAAGAAAACATTGTGGAAGTCACCTTCAAAGCCTGATACGGCACATCCAAGAACTCTAGTGTACTCTCATTACCCCACCCAATGTTTACTAGTGCAGATGGTATAACAAATAACTTAGGGAAGCTACATGAGGATAGAGATGCAAATTAAAAATTATTGCAATTACAGAAAAACTTATAATGAACACAATAATTAGATCAGTGAGAAGATTATTCAGCTACATGATAATTTTACAAATTGTGACCTCTTGCTAAAGTAACATAAATCATAACATTGTGGTTCCTATTTATGTTACTATAACTTTTACTAATTTAAATATCTTAATATCCACATTGTTCCTCCTTGGTTAACATATTAATCCTGAAGCCTTTAACTTATCCATCATTTAAAATTACCTATTGATAGGACGACTTTAGTGACAACATAACTCGGGTGTGTGCACACTGTGTTTGAGGTAAGGCACTTCCAAAGCGTGTTCTACCTGAACATTATAGGCTGCTTAATTATCAAAGGTAATACACAAAAATTATTTGATTATAAAAATTTGTACTTTATTATACTAAAACTGTTCTATAATCAGTTATTTCCATAACATTTTCCATTTTGCAATACCATTAATTTTCTTTTTTACATCACGTATGAAGAATTATTTTACTTACAGGTTTGGCCGATTTTGGAACGTCTTTCCTTAACTTTGCATTTCTATTCTCGAAAACAATGCTTGGAGTAGACTCGTCCATTTGATCACTTGTAATATATATGGTCAGGTAGCAATATACACAAACATAGGTTACGATAAAAGTTTTTACATTTACAGTACACTTTGAGGGACAAATGGTGGTGTAGCACTCTGGACAGCACTCTGGGCATGGCTGTGTGGGCAGCCTCACCACCAGGAACCTTCCATCAATAGGCGTTGCTATAATACAAGGCTCATTCAATCTGGACGATTTCCGAAGGTAACTTGGAGGTTTTGGCAAGAGACCGGCGAGACTTTTATTCTCCGAATCCACATCCTCGCCAGAAATACTACTGTTCCCTGCACTAGGTTCATTTTGTGAGGTCGGGTCAATAACCGACTTTGCCTTTGATGCATATTCTTTGCACTTTAGTAATGCAGACCTCCAGGGTTGATATGGCAAAAGGACAGATAATTGTGAAACATATTGTTCAATTTCTCTGTCTAACTCTTCACGTGTCACTGTAGCATGCACATCTTCACAAAACTTTCTGTAGAGCAGGTCTTTCTCTACATAATGATTTAAAAACTGAATAGGGTCATGTGACCATTTTGACAAATCATGCTTTTGACAAGTATGAACTGAACACTTATTGTGTGTATAATTAGTATTCATCATATCACAGCTTACAATTTCTACAGGGCAAGATGAACATGAAAGTGTCCCAAAATACAAGTGAGCTGTAATTTCATTTCCATTCACAATACTGTCACAGACATAACACTGAACCTCAATGTCTTTCATCAGATCATCAGAAAGTTGTATTTCATTCAGAGGAGCATCCTTAGAGGCAGTATCAATCCTGAATTTGTCTATATCACTATCATGTTGAATAATGGTTGGTGTGGAGGGCATGGTGGGTGTGGAGGGCATGGTTGGTGTGGAGGGCATGGTTGGTGTGGAGGGCATGGTTGGTGTGGAGAGCATGGTGGGTGTGGAGGGCATGGTAGGTGTGGAGGGCATGGTGGGTGTGGAGGGCATGGTTGGTGTGGAGGGCATGGTTGGTGTGGAGGGCATGATAGGTGTGGAGGGCATGGTAGGTGTGGAGAGCATGATAGGTGTGGAGAGCATGGTGGGTGTGGAGGGCATGGTGGGTGTGGAGGGCATGGTGGGTGTGGAGGGCATGGTAGGTGTGGAGAGCATGGTGGGTGTGGAGGGCATGGTAGGTGTGGAGAGCATGGTGGGTGTGGAGGGCATGGTAGGTGTGGAGAGCATGGTGGGTGTGGAGGGCATGATAGGTGTGGAGAGCATGGTGGGTGTGGAGGGCATGGTAGGTGTGGAGAGCATGGTAGGTGTGGAGAGCATGGTGGGTGTGGAGAGCATGGTAGGTGTGGAGGATGCGCTGATTAATGAAGGTAATATATAAGTGGAATGTGAGAGTGATGAAGAGAGCATGTTTGAGTTATGAATGTGTGTATGATCCAAAGATAGACTTGGCAGATTGGATGATTGTATTTTCATCAGTTTGCGTGTGTTTCTCTCTGGTCTAGAAGACATGTCATCTATGTCCCTATCTTCTGTGAAGTTAATTCTATTTTCAAGTTGCCTAAACATAATGTCAGAATTATTTTCTATGATTCCTTGACGTGAAGAACTCTGTGCTTTACAAACATCTTCATCTATTATTTTACCTTTTGTAGGCTTAAGTGTTGTAGAGAGGTCTAAAGGAGGCTTATAACCCAAGAGCTTTGCTAATTCACTGTGACTTTCCACATACTCTGTTGGAGAAGCATTGCAAACTGCAGCTTGACACGGCTGTACAACAACTGAAGCCGAGGTCAAGTCTGACTGTTTTCCTAAATGCACTTTTCTTTTTCTAAATGCACCTTGCGAACTACTACTGGCATGTGATTCTGCATTACTAATGAGGCAATTAGCAGAATTTCCTTTAGAACAAATCTTGCCAGATATGTTGTTTGATGGAGGTGATGGAGGGGATGGAGGTGGAGTGAGGTTTAAACTTGAATTTTTGCTTAAACAGCTTACAGATGGTTGAACAGCATCCATAGTATGATGATTTGATGAAGTGACGTCATGAGTCTTTTGCTGTGTAACTTGGGTCAAGTTACTGCTGGTATTAATCTGGTGTGATTCCTGCATGGAATTATCCTGCCCTAAACATGGTTTAGGCACACTTTCTGATACATGTTTTCCTTTATAATGAAGTGGATATACAATATATTTGATCTGATGAGTTCTCTTAGAAGATTCAGTTTTATCTCCTAATCCTTTGTGTGATCTCATCACTAATGTTGACCAATAAGGATTCAAATTCTTGTTAAAATCTTTACATTTCTGAATCTGTTGAGTATGACTATATGATTGCAAGTGGTTTCTCTCTTGAAGTTGCTGTTGCATTGTCCACTGATAAGAGGGTAATTCGTTAGAACCAATTCGATTTTGAGAGGTTGTCTGTACGTTTGAATTAGGTGGTACCATATGGCACGAAATAATTTCTACTTCTGCTGAAGATGCTTCACAACTATTAGTAGGCTGCCTAGCATGTGGTTGTATTTTATCCTGAACTGGTTGCTGTCTAATTTTGTTTAGTGGCAAGTGCCCAGCTTGGGAATTTTGCAATTGGCTGTCTTCTACAACATGTTGTTGAACTCTGACATTCTGATGTGGAGGGATGTTTTGAGTTGATTGTTTAGCTGTAATTTGAGAGCTAATTGAAGAGTCAAGGTGGAAGGATTGGTGCCCCATATTTTGATGAAATTGATGAGAGACATTAGTCTGAGTGATGGGATTATTAATTTGTGAACTATGGCACTGGGCCACTTGTCTAACTGATCTTGAAATATTACCGGATTGCTGTGGGCTTCTTTCCGTGATGTATTGCTGAAGGCTACGTGCCATATATGTCTCCCAAATAGCCAGACGTTTCTGCATTACTGTCTGTGGTTGGTTGCCCTGTTGTTGCTTAGCAGATGAAAACTGTGTGTTGGCTACTGGCTCAACAATCGGCTGCTGGTGCTCCTGTACATGCTGCAAGTTACTCACATGTGACACTCTTGTTGATGAATGCAGTTGTTGACTTGCCCCTTGATGACTTTGAGGATGCTGCTTTATCAGAGACAAATTTGGCCAGGGTTTTAACTGTTTATTAGTAGTGGATCGTGACTGGTTCAATAATGGACCTGTCTGAGTCCCTGCGACATTGTAATTTCCAGAGTTAGGCCACGCATTAGGTGTTACTGTGTTTTGTTTATAAGCTTCCAGTGATAATTGATTTTGGCCTACATATTTTTGCATATTCTGATCTTTGTTAATAGGGAAGACAGTTGGGTGATTATGGCTCATACTTTCCATCTTGTTATATCAGTAGTCTCCTTTTTTCCCTGCTAGGAGTACCTTATCTTGTGGTTGTTATGGATATCAATGTCCCTGCAACCCAGTTTCTGGAAAGTTTTAAATAAATAACTCAAAATTTAATACGGAAAGGAATTGAAATTAGTAATGAAAATGCAATTGCTAACGTAAAGAGTAAGGGGGTAAGGGTAATTATCAGGAGAAGGCACTAAGCAATTATAACTATATAGCACATGGGAGGGATGGGAGGATAAGGATTTATGATAGGATGAAGGAAAGGAATGGTGCCCAGCCACTTGGACAGGTGGAGATTGAATGCCAATCTGCAAGGAGAGAGACCATCACTCTACCGTCAAGTGCAAGTGGTTGGAAGCAAAGATCAAAGATGGTGTAATGAAACTATAGCAAGTATAATATACATACTCCATACTCTCATTAGCTTATGTGAAGATAATGAGATGGCTTTGTTAATCCTACATAACCTATCTCTAAGTTATCACATTTCCCAAGTGTACAACTACATAATTAGTTAATAATATTTCCCACCTGCTAGAGGATGGTCAGGTGAGGTGAAAGCTGATAATATAACCAGTCAACAGGGAATCATTATCGGTCTAAACTCCAAAGAGTGGTTCAGTACAGATACTTGAGAGATACCACACTTTCAACATTCACCAAAAACAATGCAACACTCAATGTGTCCAGTTCCCACCTTCACAAGATGCTTCAGCCTCAACACAGAGGGGGGGGGAGGGGGGGGGTATGAACCAGTTCAACCCAGACAAGCTGATCCTGTCTGAGTTGAACTAATTTAAGGGAGATCTGGAGAATCCCATTTTCGGACTGGTGAAAAATCCACCTAAGGGAAAGGGCGTCTCAACTACACACGAAGATTCATTCTATTATATCACTTTACATTTATATGTACATTTATTGTACATTAAATTTAAATTAAATGATAAATTACTTTATACAGTAATTAAAAACAGTCTGCATTCCCAACGAGTTTCCTTACAAACTACAAAAAATACAATACACTACATAATTAACCAAATATTTTAATAGCAACTTCAGAGTAAGGAAAATTATAACTAAATGTTGAGCAAGTATTTTGGGAAGCAAGGTGCTTACATTTTTCATAATGTGTTGTTCCACATCACCTACGAGAGGAGTGATCTTAGCCAGGTCTTTGTCACTGCTACAATTCAGCTCTGGGATAATGCTTGACCAATCTCAGGAATCTGTAAAAAGATAAATTGGAAATATTATCCACTTTGAAAACTTTGCCTTCAAATCAATGTAGGCAAGGCCTATGAATATACTGTTTGGTATCACTGTAACCTAAGTATAATAGTTAAAAGATCTGGAAATTTATGTATATTGCACAAATGCCTGCTTAACATTATCTATGGGTGTGTGAAGTCTACATTAAAGTGAGTTTAAGGGCTTCATTATTGTTGAGTGGTGGATGGATGAATATGCTTGGATCTTGTTAGGTTGTACAGTACAGTACCATTATTTATTGGTAACATGCTTAAGTAATTATCAAAAGAAGGCACCAGCTGGGAAGACCATGTCCCATCATTCAAAAGGTGCTAAATTTCACTCAGTATGCCAATACGAGAATGAAAGGACAAGGCGAGCCATATCAAAGGTATAGAATTCAACAAGGATTCTTCCGAGGGACATCAAGAAAGCAAGCCATTCAATCGTCCTGAAAATCTTAACAGTCTACAAAGATGTGAACACAATATGGGACACTGCAGTTTGGACAATATGGAGCAGGGTGGCATTCCATTAAGCACATGCAACTTAAGCATGTGTGGCAATGCTTAGTCCAGCCAGAGCCATTCCCCACTGTTTATTATGGTGGTAGAAAGAAGGCCAAGGGAATAGGTTATCTACACGAGTGCACAGTTTACCTGTAATGTCAGACCAATGACCATACCAACAGTTGTGGATTAAGGTATAAATGACTGGGTAAATTTCTGAGTAATCAGTGTCTTGGAAAATGGAACAAGTGTGCAGAGATCCTCCTTAGCAGTAGTGTCCTCCTTTTAGTATTAACTACACTAATATCACACTTGCCTGGTTACCCCACCCGGAGAGTATTCAGAAATAAAGTTTATATGGGTTATCTGGAATAACAGAACAAACAGAAGAGGCACCTGGAGGAATTCAGAACAAAAGCTATAAGAAATCTCACCCAGGATCCTGAAAGCAGGAGCAATCTCCTTGCAATTCTCATCAAATCAACATTAGAAATTAATGAATTGCCAGATACAGTATATATTTTTAGTATATTTCTCCTTTAGTATTAAGTGTTACCCTATTAAACTTTTAAATGAATTGCCTAATTATGTTAAATTATGCCAAAAATGTTCTGCAAATTAGTGACTTCATATATTTTACATTGTGTACCTATGAATACTCTACTATCATGCTTCAAATTTCGGTCTGGACAGAAATGGTTGGGCACATTTCCTTTCACCTAATTCACCTAGCAGAAAGTAGGTACTCAGGAGTTAGTCAACTTGTAGGGGCCGTACGTATCACACCTTGTATGTATGTATGTATGTACTTTACCTGAATAAACATTTGATTTTTTTTATTTAATTTGAATTTGAAATAAAAATTATTATAGCATGAAAACTAATGTGGCTCCTATATACAAGAAATGCAATGTAAATAAATAGGGTCCTAAATTGTGGAAGAACCCCTCAAACGCAATAAGATCCTGTAGATCCTTTACCAATTCAAAAAGTCATAATTCATATTTCATAAGTTTATTCTCAAGAATGTGTACACAAAGAACATAAGCAGAATGGACAATTGTGGGGACAGGAGTTACACATACAAATGAAGCCACTATTATACAAAGTGTTTTGTGCAAAACTTAAAATTACAGTATTGAGATAAAAAATGATTAACAGGCATAAAAAGGGGTAAACATTTAATACATTAAGTATTGCATTATGGGATCTGAGGTTCTAATAACAATACTACAGTTTTTAACATTAATAACAAAGAAAATACAAAGTTGTAATTTAGTAAAGCTACTAGAACATAACTGAGTAAAGTGGTAAAATTTAATGGTTTAATGGGGAAAAAGATAAAGAACTACCTGACTGACATAGTGCTGCTTACATATCTACAATCAACTGTACAACTCTCCGGTGCGCCTCCACCTGGATTATTGCATCCAGGTATGGAAACCTGCTCCAAAGCAGATCTGTCTTTCTGAAGATGAGGTCTCCATAAGAACATAAGAACAAAGGCAACTGCAGAAGGCCTATTGGCCCATACGAGGCAGCTCCTATTTATAACCACCCAATCCCACTCATATATACATGTCCAACCCACGCTTGAAACAATCGAGGGACCCCATCTCCACCACGTTACGCGGTAATTGGTTCCACAAATCAACAACCCTGTTACCAAACCAGTATTTACCCAATACTTCCATGGTTGGTTACAATAACCCAAGTGGTGGTGCACCAGAGAGTTACACAGTTGTGTAACTGTTCCGAATAATACTGAAATCTGACCCAAGTGTCAGTTGGGTTAACCCATGTATAGGATTCCAAAAATTTGCAACCATGCTTAAGGCTGGAATTTTCTCCCCTGATTCCATGTATGACTAACCATCCTGTGAAATGGGGATAGTAGATGAACCTATAGATAGTTCTTGATCTACACTGTGTAATATCTCATAGAATAGGGTAGCAGCACATTGTTGTGTATACCTAATTTTGCTTAAAAAAAACTGAAATGAAAGCAAAGAAATGTGTATTTTATCAAATTACTTATGTGTTTGTTCTGGGAGGATGGAGTCCTCACACCACCAATCAAGTGTGTAATTTACATGTATATATATGCTTATTAACCTAAAAGTGCTAAAAAGGAGAGGCAAAAATAGTGATATAGATGGTAAAGTGACTACATTTCAAGGAATATTTCTTATGCAAAAGCTAAAATATGGTTAAATAAAAAATACTTAACAATTGCCAGTATTCGGACACCTGGGCAACGTTGACTAGTCAAGGGCCAAATACAGGTCAAACAATACTGATAAATTATGTAATTCATATTGGTGTTATACAGTATACAGTATTTCAGTAGATTTAAAAAGAGAGACTGTTTTCAAACATAGAAAAGCATTAAATTAAATATTAAATTAAATGCAATTAAATTAAAATAAAAAGTATTAAATAAAATGATGGAATTAAGCAAAAATATATTATTATTATTATTATTATAATTGGGTCAAATTACCTAAAGCCACAGGTGTGACTTGGATCGTCGACTTAAGTGGCGTCACCCGCCACTTAAGTTACGTATAATTTCGTTATGCAATTATATTATTTCAGAGTAAAAGTATGTTTTTCATATCCTACATCCATCAGCAACATTATAGGGAGTAAATATATCATAGGTCTTCACTACTGAACGTAATGGTAGGAAGCTTTAGGGCGGTAGCGTGGGTAACCACAGGAAGCAGTCTCCCATTCCTACGGTCACCTCGCCCTAATATTTCCCTCTTACACGGCTACACACTTCTCCTGCTGATCCATCTCTGGGTGGATGACGCCTGCCTACCAAGGGTATCCACACCAACAACGAAACACGACACTTTCTCCCGTACTGCTAATGTTTTTAGTGGTACAAGTTACCGTTGCCAGCCGCTTAACCTTCATATGCCCCGCCTCACGCTCCTTTCTTGAACTTCCCAGTGCGGCTCGCTTATCACCCCAAACCTTCCTACCATTAAGCAAGTAATGGAGAAATACGATATATTTACTCACTATAATGTTGGTATTGAATGTACAACATGAAAAAACATTCGTTTACTTTAGATAATATAATATAATAACGAAATTTCATCCATCTAATTACTGAAAGCTACAAGTGTCGCTTGGAGCGTCGACTTTGTGGCGTCACCTGCTACATTGTTTCGTTTAATTTCGTTATAAAATGATATGTCAGAGTAAAAATATTGTGTTTTCCATGTTCTACATTCAGCACCAACATTATAGTGAGTAAATATATCATATTTCTTCATTACTTACGTAATACTACGAAGCTTTTGGTAATTAGATGGAGGGTTGCCAATCACTACCAGACTGCACCCACCAATATTAAGCTGTCTCCTCTTCCTCACTGGTATATTTATCTAATAGAAATATGCTTATATGCTTTCATATATAGAACTACATCGAGACTTGTCAAACCACCAAGAGAATATACTATACCTAGCATTGTAATCTCCCAATTCGGATTCAGATTGGCAGGGGTCATACGGCCTAGCCCGTTGCTGCCCTTAGAACAACAATTCAAAATTCAAAATAATTTTTTTTTATTCAGGAAAAGTATATACATAGATGATTTACAAACATAATGTTGGATTTATAGATAGAGCTAGTACATACGATACCTAAAGCCACTAATACGCATAGCGTTTCGGCCAGTTATAATTATAATTACTAATTAATTATAAAGTGGGAGGCCGATTGGTTTTACGGGCTATTCATGCCCGTGCCACCTGTTGGGTGGCTTAATCTTTATCAATCAATCGGTTGGCGTCGCCCTCCTTCAACAAGTATTGTTGGAATTACACACACAGGGGCCTCGCGGCTGAGTGGACAGCGCTCGGGAGTTGTAGTCCTAATGGTAAGCAAGGGTTCGATCCCTGACGGAGGCGGGATCAAATGGGCAGTTTCTTTCACCCTGATGCTCCTGTTCACTTAGCAGTGAATAGGTAACTGGGAGTTATGACAGCTGCTACGGGCTGCTTTCTGGATGTGATGCTAATGCTAATTAGCATCAAAAGATGCTAATTACTGTTATTCACATTATCATTTCTAGTTTAGCTGTAATACTTTATATATCTAGGGTGTATAATTTACTATTAACTATATTACTTATAAATAAGTAATCATTTCCCCCCAGCATGGGTTTGAGTAGGCCTACCCAGGGAAGCACCAGGTGGAGCTGAAGGTCAACTGGTCAAGGTCACGGCCCTTAGCAACACGTGGGGGGGTCGAGGCGGCCGTAATGACCAGACCATCTTATCACCTAATCCCTCCCATTTTATACCCACTCTACCCACACGTTAAATATACCCCACGTTAGTACTAAAACTTAAAGCACAGTAATAGACATTTTTTAGGCCTCTGCTTCGATATAGGTTAGGAGGGTTGATGGGGTTCGTACGTCTGGTTAAGCAATCAGGTGCATTTGTTTGCGTACTGTCAAAGCTAAGGAATACTCGTGAATGAAAACATTTATCACTTCATTTATTATCTCCTTTTCTGATTCAATAATCACTTGTTAATTTAGATTTCTTTCAATTACAAGACTTCAGCTAACTCACTTGTCCATATATACAGCAGCATTCAATAAACTTCACAGGCTTCTTCTCCTTGACATACCAAGTACATTAGTATATCAGGTTGCATGTCTCTATTATGTTACAATTCAAAAAACCAAAGTTGATGGAGTAGAAGGGAGAGACGTGGACCAGCCACACCCACGGTGAGCGTGGCCAGGTGGTAACTACCAGACCCGCGACGCCTACCTTGCTCTCTCTACCCTACACTGCTGCCACATTTGGGTTTTGAGAAAGCTGCCAGATACGTCTATATCCCAGGCGTATTCTGGCCACTATAACATCACATTGCCGGGTTCTTGTTCTATTAGTCCCATATGTGAATGCCTCCTCACGATATGTCCATGGAGGACAGAAGAAAATGTATATATGCTGGTTAGCATTGTAAATGTGTGGCCGTCTGTGGTAGAAAAATAATAATAAAAAAAAAAACTGCTGCCACATCCTTACACCTCACTCACTTAACTATAATATATAACCATAAGTGATTTACATGAAAGTACATACATTCATACATCAATTTGACGCATGGTGTGCATATTCTGAGGGGTGAGAATCACGATATCATTGGCAAGAGTGATATATGGGGGCAGGAGGATATCACACCCCTTCACAAAAGGGGTGTGAAAAGGGGGTCCTCAGTGTCTATGGCGGCAGCATACCACACATTGCCCGAAACCCAATAATTGTTACTGGCTTTGCAAGAATGTAAGAACACCAGTGTTATGTACTCTCACAGACCTATTGTACCTTCTTGTATTTAGATAAATAAAATAAGCTCAAGATGTACTATTTATTTATGATGGTATCAAATATGGCAGCATCAGAGGAATTTGTTGATCTGCACAATGTGATCATTGCGGCATCAATCAATCATATACAGGTTAAGATCTCGTAGGACAAGCGAGAGAGAAAGCGTGACACAGAACATAAGAACAAAGGTAACCACAGAAGGCCTATCGGCCCATACGAGGCAGCTCCTATTTATAACCTCCCAACCCAACTCAATATACATGTCCAACCCACGCTTGAAACAATCGAGGGACCCCACCACCACCACACCACGTTGCAACTGGTTCCACAAATCAACAACCCTGTTACCGAACCAGTGTTTACACAGCTGCGCGACAATTACGAGGCGTGGCTGGCTGGACTGGGGAGGGGGGCTCACTGGCTGGGCTGGGAGGGGCGTTGACCTGTACGGCGCTGACCCTGGAGGGTAGACTACAGTCTTCTGTCTTCGATAGTGACGGTGACGATATAGAATGGTTAAAAACGAGCAAAATTAGGTCTCTATCCCCCTAAGGAGGAGGAGGAGGGGGGGAAGTGGTGGTTTTCACTTCCTGCCTTGTGTTCAGCCTTCTGGCCGAGTCTCTTTAGGTGGATCACTTCTTTATTGTCCAGCTCCTTGTGTCTGTGGCATGAGTTTGGCAGATACTGGTGTCAGCTAGTTGATGTTTTGTATGATATCGGGGACTGACTTGTCAAAAGATGAGTGTGCTGATTGATTTATGAAGATTAAGGCACCAAAGAGGTGGCACGGGCATGAGTAGCCCATAAAGTGTGCTGACACTGATGTCACTGAAGACGGGAGGCATCTCCAGTCACGCAGGGTGCAGTCGCACCTCCACTGATCTCCAGTATCATCTATTGATACTGGTAATGGCTCAAAAGGGCCACCACTTACGGGCTATTCATGCCCGTGCCACCTTTTGGGTGGCTTAATCTTTATCAATCTATCAATCATGTCACTGAAGCCATAATTGTATTATGGCTGCCCTGCCTACTCCTCTGCTTCTCCTTTGATCCTTCGTGATTTTTAAACCCTGCCTGGGTTCAGCCTTAGTTTCGGTGCTTTTCATTTGTCCCTTACCCAGAACTTGTACACTGAAACTGGTGTCTTTGTCACTACAGAATCGTCGGGATCATTACTGTCTATGCTACCTCGTGTGGTCTCTGTAACATTCTTGTGAACAAATCCACAAGGGCCGACCCCTCACAGTGTTCAAGAGAGAACTGGATAAGCACCTCCAAAGGATACCTGATCAACCAGGCTGTGACTCATACGTCAGGCTGCGAGCAGCCGCGTCCAACAGCCTGGTTGATCAGTCCGGCAACCAGGAGGCCTGGTCGACGACCGGGCCGCGGGGACGCTAAGCCCCGGAAGCACCTCAAGGTAGGGCCGTGATGAGGGTTCGAACCCATGTCACGGCCCTTGTGGATTTGTTCATTTGATGTATCACACTATTGTGATTTGTGTGTGTATTGATGGGCAAATAGGTAGAACATCTGGTTGACAGAGCCCAGGTGCATGTGGGAATTGTGTAAAACCCTTGTTTGTGTCTCAGATAGGGTGCGGGATCCGTGTGAGGGCAGTAGCACTCCTGGTCGCAATTCTTTTGACTATAATATTCTTAGAATATTATAATTTGATACACTGTGAAGTACAAAACTTTATGGCGTATAATTCATGAGACATGCAATACACATCATTCTACATAACAATGCTCAGTCAAAAAGCCACCTATGTCAGAAAAGGTAGGATGTACTCTGTCCCAGACTTTGGTAGAAAAGAACAAAATTCTGAAATGGCCATAATTACAAACATCTTTGATTTACTGAAACATTAGATCAAAATTTATTTAATTACAATTTTAATTTACAGATATACATCTTTGAAATTTGCACATTTGTTTTGCATCTTACACATTATCATGCCATGAAATAAACAATGCTCTAAGAATACAATCCACATTGAAGGTGTTCATTTGTCTCATCATTAAGAAGCATGAAAATATAAATATTGTGTCCATAACAGACACAGCTTACCTAACCACATGATCAATCAAATGAGAAATTACATATCTGGTACTGTAATGATGTGGTCATTGGCATCCAAGACACTAGTGGAATAATGATGGAAACTGGCTCAAAACATGCCAGTTCTCATGTTGTTATAATGAAATGACCAAGGCCATCGTTGGATAAGCTGTTCGAGCTGTCTGTTGTGTACAGGAAGACAGGAGAGTGGGATTAAGTGGGCTATGAACCACACTAGATAAAACTAATCATCAAGACTGAAATCACTGTCGTCATCATCATATTTGATTGAAGAATCTTTGATGCCAGGAGGGACAAGTGACTTGTCCATCAGCATGCCATGTCTAAAAAAAGAAATGTTAGATGATAGATTAATGACAAAAATGAAATACAGTACAAAAATAAAGGATTACCAGATTAGTTCAGGAGTGAATGGTGAAGAACAACTTTACAACTTTTTTCTTAATAATCTGGTCTCAAAAGTTAATCATAATCCAGTGAATAAGTACCAACAAATATAGTTTAATCACAGCATGATAACTAAAGTCCGGTTTTATACATGTACATAGGGTCTTGTAATACAGCTGGCTTTGTTCCCAACTCACATTCGGGGATACCAGTTCCGATTCTTAGGCAGGACAGAAATAGTTGGACATGTTTCCTTTCACCTAATGGGTCTGTTCACATAGCAGTAAATAGGTACCTGGGAGTTAAGAACTGTTTTGGGGTGAGAAGTTTGAGCTTGGAGGGGACCTCGATACATGCCTGAAGTACATATATACACAGGCTTCCTGTTCCCCAACAAAATGCATTTACAGTATTTTATAATAATAATTAATTTATTGTCAGGAACAGAAAGCCTGTGTATATGCAGGCCAACCTCGTTTAACACTGCCCCAGTTAATGTCATTTAGTATTTACATCATTAGAAAAATATGTAAATAAATTTAACATCAGACAGGCAAACAGTCCTGTTTTGTCAAGTTCCTAAGAAAGGACAGAGAAAAGACTGTGGAAGCCTATGGCCCTTATAGAAAACAAAGTACTGTATAAGATGGTTAGGGCAAGGAAGATGAACATAAAGAAGAGAAGAATGATGATGATCATGATGAGAAAGATGATGATGAGATAACATGTGATCCAGATGACCCCCATACCCATGCTTGAGTCAGATAAATAATCCAACAATGCCCACACCACTTACCCGAGAAACAATCATTTATGTCTAGTCCTATATCTGTTATGTAACGTTTTATAATTAACATTTGCAATTAAATCATGCCTTGTTTCATTTCATAATTTTTTGAGTATCATAATGTTGGGGTGAAAAAATAATCGATCATCATCTTTCCCAATATCCTAGGAATGTAACCCTTACTTTTAACACTAGGCCTATGAGGTTTTTGGTTTCACTTAGCATCATTTTAGTTAAAGTTGCAGTGTTCAGGATACTAATTCCAACATTAAATGAGGTTCGATAATATATATATATGTATACCCTAGACTTGTATAGAGGTTACCCTCATAAGTTGAACTACTTAGGATGCAACCATACAACAGTTGCTTAACTCATGGGTAACTATTTACTGCTAGGGAAACAGAGGTGTTAGGCAAAAGGAAACGTGCCTAACCATTTCTGTGTCAAATGGAAATCGAACCCCCGGGATCCCTGATTGAGAGTCCAGAATGAAGCCAACTGCACTTACAATTTCATTTAAATCTTTTGATTAAGAAACAAGTTTGAAAAATGCAATATACATATTTTAATTGGCTTAGTAGTCTATAGAAAGTCAAGTGTTGAATGTAATAAAAGTTCTTATTTTAGGTGACTTCATTTACTTACCGTGGCATTGGCTCTGATACCACAGAGACGCACAAAACTAGCAGGCAGAGTGAACATGGTAATAGGTCACATAGCTAAGATTGACTAGACACCTCCAATTAAACCAGAGAAGAAGTGGTCATCTTTGAACACTAAGAAATGTGAGTATTGAGAAAGTAGAGGTCATGGACCAAAGAGAGAACTGGAAAAAACTGGGATACTGCCCAAAGAAATAGTTACTACAATTAACCTCTTGTTCAACTCTAATTCATGAATGACTGTATGAACGATAGGTTAAATGGCTAAGAAGACTCAAACACACAAGGTGGAATGCCCAAGCCTGCCAAAATATCCCCCACCACACAAGTCACTTGAACTTTCCCTAAAAGGACTGATTGAGAGAAACCCTTCAGCTACTAATATGAAGTGAACATCAGAATGGCATTGACCTTAGAGGAAGAATGAACCAAAAGCTCGGCTCTAGATGGAATTAAAGGTGCACCAGAAACCACATCCCAGCCTGGAGCTTGAGGAAAACGCTGCCAAGAGTGGCCTGCTACAGGGACCAGAGAAGCAGCGCTCAGGCAAAACAATTGTGAAAATGATTAGAAGGAAGATCTTGCCATTCCTACCTTCTAGGGTGATGGACAGCAGTCCACCACCCCAGAAGGTAACAGAAACAATGAAAAAAGGAAGCTAATAGTGAGGGTGACCACGCAAACTTAAGGAGATGATCGAAAACTGCATTTCGATATACACCATATTCAGAATAGAAATTGTCACATCATGAAGAAGCAGAGCAAAATGTTTTGACAAGGAATCTGAAACAAGTGCCAATCACAAACAAGGAAAACAAAATAAGGGAATGAACTTTCACACACATTTGAACTGAGAATTCTTCTGGGATCGCACAAAAACTTAAGTTGTCTGCTAAACGAGTACAAGTCTTGTGGTCTACATCAACTAAAGCCATAAAAATAAAACAGATACAATTACATGACTAAGGAATAGGCTCAAAATTTGAAATATTATGCTTCAGAAAGAGTTCATATCCACCATTATTCCACAGAAAAAAAAAAACTACTGTACTATTTAACCTGCCAACATTTATATACTGTACAAGTATTAAACTGTGGCCCAACCACCTCCAGACCAACACAGCTGAACAGAGTATTTATGTCATAGTAAATGATAATCTCTCAATGACTCAAAATATTTGAGAATGAAAAAATTAATAATCACTATATTCGAACATATAGTAGTTATACAGTGGATTGTTTTCTGTAATTTCAATGAACTACTTACTCAATCAGGAAAGATTCAACATCAGTGGCATAGAAATCATCTCCAAACTCATCAGTCAGTCGCACAAAGTTGCCCATCATCTGGCCTCCTTTGTAAATGAGAAGAGCTGGCAAGCCTGTCACTTTCTAAAATAGAAAAATACAGTATTCTATTATCTGGTACATAAGGTGTAAAATTTTACTGACAAAATCCATATCACATTGCACTTTTTAAACTTACAATTAATAAAAAGCATTCAACAGACTTCTGAAAACTTAACAAAATACAATGGATCCTCCAAAATCTGGATTATATTCAAGGCATATCAGGATTCATGTGAAGTTCATATTTCCTTTTCTTGGGGGGAACCCCTTGTGGCACTCTGATACAGAGGCTGATACAGTGCCATACTACTAGGTGCCATCAGTCACAAGAGTTCTTATTGGCCTACCAGAGACCCGCGAGCCAGAACCTGGCCTCCCTCAGAGGCTCGGAGTAGAAGCAGGGCAAAGGGCAAGAATGGCCCTTGCCCTTCGGGTAAACAAGTTGTCTTAGCCTGTCTGGATTGGTGCTAGGGGGATCTCGGTTTGCACTGCTGTCCCTTTTCAGAGTTTCTTTTCAATTTGCAATTTCTGCATCAGTGTAACAACTTCAAGGAGCCACTGGCGCTCACCCAGAAATTGGCATTTCATACATTCAATGATGGCATTTTGGCAATTTATCACCAAATTTTCTGAAGTAATGAGAGGTCTGACAAGTTTAGTAAAACTAAACAAGTTAAATGTATTATTGTCTTTATTATTGAACTGAATGACAGTTCAATAATATTTACAATTAAAATACAGTTCCATGAACAGGAAAATAAGATAAAAATGATCTGATGGAAGATACTTTGTGGTAAACCAGCCATCTGGCTTTCACTGTATCCCTCCTCTGGAATCTGGATTTATACAACAAACTCAAGATTCAGATAGGAGATCTGGTGAGAGGATTTGATCTGTTGTTTAGTGGTATCTATTATATGGAGATCTGGACTTTGAAGAGCTTACTATACATCCAAACAAATACTAAACATTAACCAAACAATATTTACAAATTAAATCTAATTTAAATTAATAACTAACTATTTCAGACTAAAATTGTATTACATTTTAAAAACCTTTAACTAGAAATATTCATAAAAAATACACCTCAAACTTACAAAGTGACTACTGACACCAGCGGCAGATGCTGGCAATTTGCAGAACTTTACATGAAGATACTCTTGCGCCAAACACGTCAAGCAGCCATTCATTGCTTCACATCCCATAGCATCCTGAGATGATTAATCATAATCCAATTAGCAAAGTAAAATGTATATATAGTAAATTAGACAGATTTGTGATTTTACTAATCAGTTAATATGATTATCAGTTCTCTAATAAATTCTACCTAAGTGTATTGTACTTGTTAACCAGTAACCACGATGATGATTCTCTTTTTCAATTAAATAACTCATTTACATAATCAAATGCAGCATTTGAGTCACAGTTCTGTGTCTGGTTTCTCTTTCTCTGTTTACAGCAAGCCTATGAACAGTAGTAGAGTATGTATGTTCATTCTTTTCCTAATCCTCCCCCTTTCTGTTAAGAAAAGTACTCTTGTTTCTCTCTTCCTCCGAGCCCTACACTTTAGTGACCCTCAGTTTCTTGATTCTGAAATATTTTTTCACCTTGGTTACCCCATACATTTTATCAACTGTGCCTATTCTCAAGCTAAAAGAAATTTATTTTATCCCAAACCTGTTTCTGACAATAGTAACACTGTTGTGCCTTCCCTTTATATCTGAACTTAAAAATCTCACTAATACCCTTCGTCCTTGATGTATAACTCGCCTTTCAACAAATTAGCACATTTCGTAGTAATCTGGTTCACACTTCTGCACCTGTTTCCAATGCTGCTGGTGTCTACTCTATATGTAAACAATGCGAGACTAGGCTTCTGATAATCTCTTATGAGGTTATTACATACACCAGAAATGCTTAAGGATTCGTAATTGTGCATGAAGATACGTACTGTAGTTATATATATGTGTGTGTGTGTGTATATAGCGTAATACAGTAACAGCAAAAACTGTCTTTTATTGTTCTAATATACTATACTGTATGTGTGACTAACACGTGCACCATATTTTTGAGCATAGCTATCTATATTCCACACATTTGGAATATCATTCACTTTAATTATACCCAAACAAGCAAATCTCTGATGAATATTTCAGCTGCTTTTCCAAGAGAGTTTCAAGATATGACAAGACATCCAAGACTTGGAAAGAGAAAGAACCAAAAGTTGTGTATAACCTGTCCTCAAGTACTACAGTTATTCCTGAACGTCTCCCAACCTACCTGGTCATAAATATGCACAATGACAGTGACTCCCACATCTTCTTTGTCAATGGCATCCAAAAATGTTTCTCCATTCTCCAGTGTAATCAAATGACCAAACTGTGCTCTGACAAAACAAAACAAAACAAAATTTACGGGATGTTGTAAACCTTGACTTAATAATATGAAATCAATGTTCACTCTCAATATCATAGATATCCATACTACTGTATTACATGTAAAATAAACAATGATATAGATTGAAACATAACATAAATTAAAGAGCAAATGTAATTTTCACTTGCAGCCGTTCACAACCCATGTCAATAATCTCCGAACACATCACAAGATTTTAATTATTATATTTATCTGCAATATTCTTGTCCCGTTGGTATCCTGGTACCGCGAATATAAACTCAGCCTGTACATGCTAACATTCTGACAGAATGAACTAATATTGAGCTATGAAAAACTAATTAGTACATATTTTTTCAAGCATAAATGTGTTTCATATTGTTGAGTGTCTGAAAGTAATACAGTATATAATACTGGGTGTCTGAGAAGTTTTCTCTGCAATATGATGATAATGTTAAAAGATTCAAGAGCCTTACTTATTTGATGTGGTAATCATCATTTCCTCCATCCTCTTAGAGATGTATTGCCGAAGAAACTCTTCACTTATTAGTCCATCGACATCATTCTCCTCCTCCTCCTCTTTCCTCTGCTTCTCTTTCTCTTTTTCATCATCAAGCTGACCAGTGAAGGAAAATTCAATTAAGGTGAGTCTGCATATTGAAATGGAATAAAACCTTTAAGTTTCACATAAAAAGTCATTTGGCAGTAATCATGAGAAATGATATTTAGGTTGAGACAAGAGCATAAGGGGCATAACTGGCCGACCCCTCACAGTGTTCAAGAGAGAACTGGATAAGCACCTCCAAAGGATACCTGATCTACCAGGCTGTGACTCATACGTCAGGCTGCGAGCAGCCGCGTCCAACAGCCTGGTTGATCAGTCCAGCAACCAGGAGGCCTGGTCGACGACTGGGCCGCGGGGACGCTAAGCCCCGGAAGCACCTCAAGGTAAGAGCCTTACAAGTGTTATTACAATATCCAAACCAGGGAACACACGTGACTATTCCTAAAGTCCCTAAATCAATCATACAATAGCTCTCCAATAATGACAAATACTATTTAAGTACTGTACTGTATACAAAAAACAAACAAAAAACCTATGTAATAATGACTACATCAGGCTGCTCTTTTTATTGGCAGATGATACAGAATATTGCCATGTTGCCAGTTGGATGGCAGGGCATAGTCAACCTAGATGACGGGGGGCCAGTCACCCTAGATGACGGGGGCCAGACACCCTACATGACGGGGGGGGCCAGTCAACCTAGACGATAGGGGTCCAGGCAACCTAGATGAAAGGGGTCCTGGCAACCTAGATGATGGAGGCCAGTCAATCCAGACAAGATTAAAAATTCTGGAAGATGCAGACCAATGGTGTATAATAATACAATCTCATGGATTTCATTAATTCATGCACTATTTATAAAGTATAGTACTGTATTATCATTATACAGCTTTAATTGATACATACCATAGCTAAACTCAAAGCCACAAACTGCCACACAGATTTATGTTTGCAATAATTAATAAGTTATTCCAAATTATGTAAAATTTTGCAATTAAATATTGGTCTTACATGTGATCTGCAGGTAAGAGAAAGCTTCTTCGCCAAGAGAACACGCTCTCGCTCCTGCTCCATTCTTTTTTCCGACTCCAGTTGCTTGAACCGTTGCCAGTCCTTCAGTACACCCTTTGGTCCAGTCTGCAATAATAAATGTCATAATTACCATACAGTACACTGTCTACAGTTTAAGACTGCTAACTCAAATTCAGATGATCCAAATCACTTGTTGGCATACATAATATCAGATCTGGATTATGTTCAACACCTGATCTGCAAGAGCCAGGCTGGTGTCGCCCTGCCAATGCAGCGGTATTGTTCTGCATAACTACGCAATTATATGTTGCATATTAATTTGTTAATTAAACCTGAACAGTGCATTTCTCTCATAAAGGATTATTTTAATATTTTAGAATTAGAAATTATGATAATATTTCCCACAATTTTTTTTTTACATTATTTGGGGGGAGGGGGCCATTCTGCAGAACATTTCAGGTTTCAGTCTCTTTGAACTCAACAATAGTCTGCATTGGTTTACTGACTTTCAGGATGCTTTCCTGGTGGGGGTGGCAGAGTGTCACTGTACCCATCAGGGGGGCCAGTCTCTGGTCCCCCTGGTCCTTGGAGTGCCAAACAGAGCTCCATGGCTGTTGCAACCTAGTAGTTGGGGGCCATCTCAGCAAGATATCTTTAGAGTCACAAGGGAGTCCCTCAAACATAACATGTTTTCCTGTAAATTCTCTCACAAAACCAACATACTGTACTGTATTCCACACTTACATTCGTAGATGCTCCTTCCCAACCTCTAATCTCAGACTGAGGGGAAGGCAAATCAGCTTCCTTCCCAGGGCTTGAGTCTTTATCCTTATCATCATCATCATCGTCACCATCTTCATCCTCAGAGCTACTGCAATAGTAATGCAGCTTCTCGCCTAATAGTCTGTCATCTAATGTTGTCATGGTCACCAATAGAAGAGCAAGTCTGTAAGATGACAATGATAATATAGCTGAGGCTGCATCTTAATACCAAATATGAATATTAATTCTAGCAAAAAATCTGTTTATCAATTATAATTGAACTGTGGCAGAGAAGGATTTATCTGAAAATCATATAAGACATGGCAGAAGTACAGCACTATACAGTACTAATGAAATGAGCAATTACTTTAAACAATTGGTCATCTAGTAAATAACACAGAATATCTATAGCCAAGTGAGACCCAAAACACACCATCCCTCAAAGTACTGCTTGTCTTTAATAATAACAAGCTTTAAGTCTTAGAAAAGTACCTTTATGAACACTATTCTGCTGGTCCTAGAGGTCACACATCCAGCATGCCTTAGTGTATTGATGGGTTTATTCTAAAGCTTTTTAGGCTTTTAGGCCAAAAGTCAGGCTTTTGACACTATTAACAACAATAACCTCCTTAAATTACAACACTATGGAGTTGGAGGTCACTCTCTCCAATACCTACATCTTACCTCAGTGACAGGCACCAGTATGTCTCTGTGAATGATTCCAATTCTCCCACCTTGCCCATTAACATTGGTGTTCCACAGGACAATATACTTGGCCCTCTCCTCTTTCTCATTTGCATTAACCTTTAGACAGCGGTTATCATTTGTTGATTCACAGGGTAATGCAGTTATCATCATATGAAGATTTAACAAATTATTGTCTGTGTTTTACATGTATGATGCAAATATGGATATAATAGGTCTATGTGGATACAATGGAGTTTACCGTGACTCATGAAAAATCCTGCTTACAGTTCATGGTACAAATGTAGTTATCGCCATGAATGTTACTAGGGAAATGTGGTCATCATTATGTGATGATTTAAACCATTATTGTCTGGGGTTTTACATGTGTAATGCAAATATGGATATAAGTGCTCTCTGTAGATGTTAATAAAGAAGAACAAGTGATAAAACAATCACCTGATTTACCCAAGGGCCACTAACCCTAGTGGCCTCGATGAGGACAGGAAGCCGGCGGCTTGTCCAAGGTCCCCCCCATTTGCCTTATGATCTTTTCCAGGCAGATTTTAAAACTTACCACAGTTCTGGCGTTTACGGCTTCAGCGGATAGGAATTCTATGAGTTTATAGCTCTGTGGGTGAAAAAGCATCTCCTGTTCTCAGTCTTAGCTTGTTGAGCTTGAAGTGAAACATCAGAGAATAAAATAGCAAGTGTTAGGTAAATCGAGCACCAGGAATTGTGCCCGACAAGTGTCAGACGCAGACTTACAGAATGACTCTACCCAGTGAAACAATAAATATTAACTTATTTTCATGTTTTTCTTTTATTCTACTGTACATTACGTTAGTAATGAATAAATATGATATAGTTACTCATTATAATGTTGGTGCTGAATATACAACACAAAAAAACATAATTTTAATCTGAAAAGTATCTTTTTATAAAGAAATTAGATGAAAATAAAGAGCTGGTGATGTCAAATCAAGTCGATGATCCAAGCGTTGGTTAGGTTAGGTTAGGTTAGGTTAGGTTAGGTTTGGTTTGGTTTGGTTAGGTTAGGTTAGGTTGGGTTAGGTCAACCTAACCTATCATATTTATTCATTACTAATGTATTGCCAGGAATCTTTGTGAAGCTTGTGTAGCTTGTGGTAATTAGACGGACCCGTAAGGCTTCCATCAAATACTACATTACCTACCTCTAGGAAGCGTATTAAGGTCTAGCATTACAGTTCAGAGTTTTATATATACAGTACACTTGAGAGGATGTTCAGTGACTTAATATCTAACATATCCAAAGATTTAAGTAAAGGGGCCAGAGTGTTGTCTGGGGCTTGTTTGTTATTAGGGTCCGTAATAATAAACATTTATAATAATAATTTGTAATAACAAACAAGCCCCAGACAACACTCTGGCCCCTTTACTTAAATCTTTGGATATGTTAGATATTAAGTCACTGAACATCCTCTCAAGTGTACTGTATATATAAAACTCTGAACTGTAATGCTAGACCTTAATACGCTTCCTAGAGGAAGGTAATGTAGTATTTGATGGAAGCCTTACTGCCTGTATTCATATACCTATATATTTAGTACATATACATGAACTTATAACCCCCATATAGCATATTGTACTGAAGAATACATGGGTCTAAAACTGGAGTGTGTTAGTCACCTTGAAGTAGAGGTGTGTGAGGGGCCGCGGAGGGCGAGGCTCATTGATTGTTATGGTGGGTGAGGCCCGGAGACCCCCCCGCTACCATCTAATAAATAATAAATGTTTATTCAGGTAAAGTACATACATACAAGAGGTTCTACAAAAATTGATCGATTTATAGATAGAGCTAGTACATACAATGCCTAAAGCCACTATTACGCAAAGCGTTTCGGGCAGGAAAAACATTAAAGACTAAAACTTAATACTTCTTCTATTAAATTAAATTAAATTTTTTATTCAGGTAAGGTACATACATACAAGGTAAGATACAAAGTTGATCTGCCTGCTACCCTTGTTCTACCTCTCGTGGTATAATTTAACTGTTCTGATAGACGAATATTTTGTCGAATCTGGCCTTAAAAGTTCTGGATGGAGACGGCTTCCACAACTTCCTGTAGAGATTACGGGCTATTTCATGCCCGCCACACCTATTGTACTTAATCTTCATTAATCAATCAGACCTTCAGACCATTCAACTTGCTGACTACCTGTATAGGGACCGAGTATTTAATAATTAATTTCATTCCTTTCTAATTTCCTTACATTCCTTCTGCAGGGCTTCATAACATTGTGATACTGTCTATTCTTTATACACAACTTGTAAATCAAAACAAAGTGATGCTTTGAACAACTTTATTTGGAATTATTCACAAAATATGATATTTTGTGACTATATTGTTGGTTGAATCTTGAAGTACGTCCGTACACCTCCGCCTGGAGCTGCCAGCTAACACAACACACTTTTATTTATTTATTTATTTATATACAAGAAGGTACATTGGGTTTATGAGTACATAGCATTGATGTTTTTACATTCTTGTAAAGCCACCAGCACGCATAGCGTTTCGGGTAGGTCCTTAATCTAACAGATTATTTTAAGTAGGTAATTTCTAGCAAAAATTAAAAAACAAATTAACAGGTTCGCCCCTAAATCAACACAACAAATTAACAGGTAAATTGTAGTAGTTATTGGCCTTTAGCTGACGATACTACCGTCTGGTAATCTTCTGCGACGGCACACATTTTGTTGCCTGAGGTCACAGGGTAGTGATAGACATTTGTGTTCCCGTTGTGAAGGTCCTTCGGGCGGGTAGGTGGCGTGCCCACGGGGCTCCTGCTGGCTACCACTCTGTTGCAGGTCACTGGAACACCCTGCAGTTTTACCCGTTTGAGGTTTAAATATTAGGTGACGTACATGCTTTACCTGTTTGGCTACTACCCTGTTGGCTACCCGCTACTGTAAGGCACAACAGTTTTTATTTTCCCACCAAGTGGCAACATATATTCTCTGAGATTATTTCCCCCAGGTGCCCGGGCGCTGTGCTCTCGCTGCCCCTGATCCTTCACCAACAACAACAACATGTCTATACCAGACAAGTCTTGGCAGCCTCCCTTTGTTGTCCTGGAAACCTCGTGAGTATCAACTCCAGACAAAACCTCTATTTTTATAATTTCCAAGTGTTTAGACTTTAGGCATGCTAAGTGTAGGGAACTATCAGAAGGCGCCAAGTTATGACTGTACGGTATAGCACTGGGAAGGGGTCAGGATAAAGATTTGGGATGGGACTAGGGGTAAAGATGCTGCCCAACCACTTGGACGGTCGGGGATTGAACACTGACCTGCATGAAGCGAGGCCGTCGCTCTACCGTCCAGCCCAAGTGGTTGGGCTAAGTGAGCCTTCATTTTTTTTTAATGTAAAGGTTAGGGTAGGATTCCTAGGTTGCTGGAAAGCTTGTTGCGATTTTCACATGTTTAGTTATGGTATTGCTGCAACATACTTTTCTTCAACAGCCTAGATTATAGAGTTGGGCACACTAGGAGTCTGAATACATGAATACACAAGTTTTTATGTATTCATATATGGTCTTTGAACAGGAGGGATTCCAACGTTGACTTAGCCGAGAGACATTGCAGGACTCTTAGTGTGCCCTTCGAATGTGGCAGGCATTTGGCACTTGATCCATGGGTCACTGGAAGATCTTAATGGGTTTTTACTGACCAAACTTGGTTTTTTTAGTGTTTGGCAAGGAGGGCTTTAGGTTGCTAGAATTTTGTTATAGTCTGTCTTAAATACCTTGACTAAGGCATAGTTGCTTTCCTCTGTCAGGTGACAATTTTTTGTTGGAAATTATTTCCTAAAACAATTGGCTAGATAAAATATTCAGTAAATCATGCTCCTTCCACATAAGCTTGTCCATTTGCTTCCATGTAAGCATTTTGTGTGAAATATAGGTAGTAATTTTGAATAATTTATAAATTGCATGGTGCTATATATAAAAATTGCAACCTTGTTCTTGAGTATTACACAGAGATGGAAAGAATTTATTAAGCAAATGTTCAGCGAGCCAGAATATGTGCTTACCTTGCACATGTTCACTCTTTTGAGTGAACCACCCCACTCACATTAGACATACTGTACCTGTATCCACATTTAATACTTAAAAATGATTTACTATATACTTACCTTCAGTAATCCCCAATTAAAAAATGCTAATTATTTTCTAATATTTTTCTTTAGAATAGAGTACTTGTATATATGTATGTTTGCAGAATGGGAGAGGTCACTCTTGAGCTTTATTGGAAACACGCTCCAAACACTTGCCGGAATTTTGCCGAGTTATCGCGTCGTGGGTATTACAATGGCTGCAAATTCCATCGAATTATCAGAGACTTTATGATACAAGGTAATAAAACTTAACTTTTATATTTGATTTAGAGAAACACTGAATGAAGAATTTGTTTGTGCCTAAGTGTAATATTTTGTACGAGTTTTCTCGAATTGAGCAGGCCAGATTCTGGTCTTGGTCTCTAGTAGGCTTTCATTCTGCATTAGAGCCTTGTGTTGTAATGTGATATATACCAGCCAGGGATATCTTTCTTGATCAAACCAAATGATATCTAATTTTCACTGTTTAACACTTCAAAATTAACTTTTAAAAATATTGGTACCAAATATTTTTTTTTATCAAACTTATGTCCGCAGGTGGTGATCCAACAGGCACTGGACGAGGTGGTGCTTCAATATATGGTAAGCACTTCAATGATGAGATCCACGATGAACTAAAACATACTGGGGCTGGCTTACTGTCTATGGCTAATGCAGGACCTAACACTAATGGATCACAGTTCTTTGTCACCCTTGCTCCTACACAGTGGCTTGATGGGAAGCATGCTATATTTGGTAAGTACTGTAATATTGTCAGAATGATTATTATTGTCTAGCATAATTCAGAGAGTTTAGCACAATGTAGTACATTGGTGCTACATTGTGTACCGATGTACGGGGTACTGTGGGGTGCATCCTTTGTTGTCCCATGGCGGCTCTTCACTGCTATCTGCATGTCTCCGGTTCTCTCGGTGGACGCCTTATTGGTCGAATATATTTTCTTGCTTCCCTGTTCCGAGACTCGCAGTTCCTCGGTTGTCAGCAGTGTCATAAAGTCTAACTAGCCAGTGGTCTACCCTCAGATCCATAATGTTTGCAAATAAGCAACTTTGACCTCCATCTTCTCTTGCATGTCATGGGCTGATGTTCAGGATCAGTAGTTTGGGTATTCAAACAGGGTGCTAGTGGCCCGGTATTTGGTTAAAATTCCTGGGGCCCAGTTGGTAGGGTGTGACTTGGGGCCATGTTGCCAGGCCTAGTTTCTTTTCTTCGTCATAAGTGCCTGCTGCCTTGCCTCCTTCCTGGTACGTCCTACTGGCTTTAGTCTCTGGTGGACTAAACAGAACTGTGACTAATGTGACCTTTATAGTATTAAGCAATCTGAGGAAGATAGCTTCAGGAAGCCACTCAAGTTTCTCTAGAAATTGGAGTTTTATTACATTCAATGCTTGGTTTTTATCTTACTTTTTCACTTGCCAAGGCTGTTCATTTTCTTCTTGCATTATTGTTTCTTGGTGTAAATATGAAAATGATTAAAATCATTTTAATAATGAATGTAATGAAATGAAAGGCTTTCTGTTGAAGCCTCAGTAACTCCCTGAAGTCATCTTGCTGAGATGGCTTCAGCAATATTAGTCCTGTTTTAATTCTAATAAGATTAGAATCTTAAGATTTGATTACATGTACAGTATTTTTTGTGAGGAATTTCTATTATATTCTTGTGATGGTACAGGTCGTGTGTCAGCTGGAATGCAGGTGGTAAAGAGAATGGGCCTGGCTGAAACAGATAACAATGATCGGCCAGTGGATCCAGTTAAGATCAAACGTGCGTATGTTAAGATGCATTAAACTCATAATTTTTAGAAATGTTTTATTTTGTCCTACTAATCAGTTGATGTAATGAACTATGTATTTACCTGAATTTAATAGGCGGCCACCATCCCTAGTGGCCATAACAGAAAGAAAGTTAATGGCTTGTAAAATGCCACTTCCCCATCATGCAGGAAAAACTAGTATCAATAATTTATTCATATTTGGAAAAAGAAATGACCAAGAAAGGATTTTATTTTTTGGTATCTTAAAAATTGTGTACATTATGTGAAAAGCTCCTTTCTGAGGGGTGTGGCTTCCTGAAGCTACAATAATGATAGTGCCAAACAGTTAGGTGCTCTAGGTCGCAGAATTCTTTTTGGCCTACCGGAGACCATGAGCCAGAACCTGACTCGTCTAAAAAGGTGCAGAGAGCAGTGGCACCAAATCAAATTGTCAATTAATATTAATCATGTCTGCCACCACTGGGGAAGCACCCACAGTCAGTGAAACAAAACAGACCACTGCTGGGTATAAAAAAAGATTGATGCCTCAAGATCTCCAAAAGAACTTCCCAACAATGAAAACGATTGAAAATTCATGAAACTAGTGCAAGAGTGTTCACCCTCACCTCGCCCCTTCATGTGGACTGGGGAAGGAGGGAGGCAGACTGGGTCAGCCAGCTGCTCCACCCTCAGTTCATTGCTGGTGATGGACAGTGTGTGTGATGCCCCCCTCTCACTCTGGCTCCCATGTTCTGCTTCAGCTAAGCAGTAGTTTTAGCCTTTGAGGCCATTCAAACACATGTTTGTACTGTGTGCACCAGGAGTATAGGGTGCTTGGAGCTGCATGTATACAGGGATTTCTTCCCTGTGTGCTCCCTAGAATTGCCTTTGCCAGGATTCTCTTCCCTGAAGAGTTCAGGGGATCGCTTCCTTAGAGGGCTTCCTCGAGAATGGCTTGTGGTGGTTCTTGCCCTGGGGTCATTTCATTTCATTCACCCACTTCTGTCAATGAAGAATGTCATTCTTCTGATGACATTCAGGATTATCAGGCAGCGACCGCTTTATACTTGAGGTTTTCAGTTTTACAGAGATCTAGGTTGTGTGGCCGGTTGGATGCCCCCAGTTGGTGTTTTTAGTCATTACACATAGCACTTTAAGGTGCTTGACTTGTGGTGTGCATAGCACCTTATAGATCGTAGATCAAATGATTACAAATTCCCACGTATACACAGGGCTCACATTTGCTTCATTAGGCCTCCAGCAACTATACATCATCTTGAGAAAAAATTCAAAGATACCTGTCCTTGTAGGCCCTTAGTAAAAAGATGACTGTGTCTGGCATATAATCATCATCCCGTATCTGAACATGCAGGGTGGTAATACTAGGGGCCATTAAACTTTTAATAACAGCAAATGAGTGATTACCATTTACTGTATTTATTTACAGACAAAATGTGTGCTATGTGAAATTATAAGTTATGCATACATATATGTATATATTAGAATGAATAAATACATGGTGTGCATATATTTATACATATATCTGTACTTACATATTGTATATTTTCACACATAATGAACACCGTCTTTGACGCATCAGTATGTGTTGAAAAACTAAATCAATATCTGATCAACCAGGCTGTGACTCGTACATCAGGCTTCAAGCAGCCCCATCAAATAACCTGGTTGATTAGATCAACAACCAGGAGGCCTGGTGAGAGACTGGGCCATGGGAACATTGATCCTTGGTATCAATAACAGGTAGGTTACGTTTTGACAATACACACTTAACTTGTGGACATTTACAGCAACATCGCCCTGCTCCTCATTGTCCCATTTACAGTCGTGCACCTCTTTGTGGAATGTCCCGCTTTCCTGTCTTTTGAGGTCATTCAAAATCTTTGGTGAATCCGATACCTTTGATAACGCTCGCCTTATGTGCGTTTGTTCTTGTAATGGCATTGTCAGTGATATTTAGCGCCTTTTACATATCCAGCGACACTGATGGTATTACATATTGCCCTCTTTTGATAATTACTTATTTATATCATAGGTGTAAAACCCAAACAATAATAATTAAAAACAACACACGACAATATCCGTATTACCCCGAGCATCAACTCATGACGATAACCACTCGTCAATGGTTAAAAAAAACTTGTGCAAGTGTGTTCTTCCCAGGCCTATTGATTTGGCTAGGACAAAACTAGCACAAACAGTTAATTATTTTGAATTTTGTATTTCATAGGTGTGTATCAGATAAGTTATGTAAGGCAATGGTGTCATCAGTGCCAATAAAACCATTATATACACTACAAAATTTATTTGCAATATATTAATGTGTATTATTACATAATGAGAAATTCTTTACATGCCATACGAGAAATGACGGCATCAAGAAGATTGCTCACGTCCAGGTCAGCATCAGTTACCTTGTAAAGCTGCTTAATTTTGGCACTGTTTGTTAGATTCAACATCTCCGTAAGTGCTGTTTGCTGCAAGTAAATATGGACAAAATTAAATAAGCTGACTTTGGTTAATAAAAAAAAACTACTGACATCTTTAGTGACTTGCACTGCCCTCATTTTTTTTTGTTTAAAAAGCTACTGGGTATTTACAGTTTCTCTAGGTTAAATTGCTATTGTATCACTTGTTTTATTTAGTTAATTTTTTTCTTTTCCTTGACTGGATATATCCTTGCACATACTACTGCTATTCTATTCACCATGTTTGTTTTGTATGTAATACAATACCAAATACACTCAGCATTGATGTCACAATGTAAAAATTGTTCTTCATTGGTAGTAAATGTTATTTTCCAATCCCTTATGCTTATAAAAGCAGCATTTTTCAACCTAGTATCCTTGAAATAATTCCAGGTCCTCCTTTAGATAAACACACATGGATTCCATTGTTAATTGCAGTAAGGGCAAAGACAGAAATGATCTCGACACTGGTTATGTGAGAAAAATGAACACAAATGACTCGAATACATTTCCGTATGATTAGAATTAGCCCATTTACACTGTCTCTTGTGGAACCCCTAGTTACCTTAGGGTTTATCAGAACCCCAGTTGAAAATTGCTGCTCTAAAGTATAGAAAATGGTTATTCCCCTTTAAACTTTACGAGGAATAAGAATGAACAATATTCAAGCAATTCATCAAGCAAGCTGAGAAACTCCAAGAGGCCAAGTTGAAATGTCTGTTGTCAATAAATTACTATATTTGAGTACTGTATGTATACTGTATAAAGATCCTCCCTATATAAATTTTTGTTTATTGCTGTGGAAATATGAATTATGTTGGTTATGGTTTAAAAATTACAAACGGTATGTACTGTACAGTATGTCTAATTCGCAGGAAAGTGGGGCCCTATATGATGCAGATTAGTGAGAACAGACAGTATACTGTACTGTATAGTTAATCCAAACTTGGAATCTTTGTTAGGGCTTGATTGGTTTATAATTGAAGCATGCCTAAAGTATTACATTCCCTGAGGGGGGGAACTGGATTACTAGTAACAAGTGCTTATATAGATGACCACATACTTTCCTGATATCTTGGGACTGTGACCTGACAAATAACTTGTTGCATCCAATAAAGTGGTTAATTATCCTTAAGCGAAAAAATTGATGCTTTGATGGGGGAAAATTCACTTATTCTATGTTGTACTCAAGAATATGAGAAGTTTTGGGTACTCATGAGTCAACCCGTTCTCGCAAATTTAATAAGTCAATATTGACTTATTAAATATGTGCATAGGTGATATACTAAACATAATAGATACCCTCAAAAAGATTCATAAAAACACCGACCTTACCTAACCTACTTAGTATGTTAAGATAAGCATCTTATTGCTTCGTAATTACAATTATTACCTAACCTATAATAGGTATAGGTTAAGTAATAATTGTAATTACGAAGCAATAAGATGCTTATCTTAAGATACTAACAAGGTTAGGTAAGGTCGGTGTTTTCTATGAATCTTTTTAAGGGTATCTATTATGTTTAGTATATCACCTATGCACGTAGTTAATAAGTCAATATTGACTTTACGAATTTGCGAGAACGGGTTGCATGAGTATCAGTTGCCAACTTCTACACAAGTGTAGTTACAGGATGAGAGCTATGCTGGTGATGTCTTGTCTTCCCAATCTTCTGCCATTTTGTACATAGTGATCATATCGTCTTTTTTTTTCTTCCGTCTTCTAGCTTTGATATATTCAACATCTGTAGCCTCTCCTCGGTGCTCTTGTTTTTCAGTTCAAAATGTTTGCACCATACAACTGCTGCATATTCCAATTTTGGTCTCACAAATGTCATGAGTAATTTCTTTAATAATTTGCCATGCACATACCCACTTTCAGCACCCATGCACATGTAATTGGATGTGTGGGGTGCGAGTGTTGGTGCAGGTCTTAAAGTTATGAATGTCAGGACTATTTTACCACACATTTTTATTCAGACTGTGCTCACCACACTAGTTTATCACTAATTTTATTTGGACAGACTCGAAACAAATAATTAGTATATCTGGGCAAGTACTGTCTGGAAAGCATATGATCATTTGTATATGTCTTCAGACAAATATTTTTTAAAGTCTTCAAACCCTGCCTTAAATTTGACACTGGAATGGTGTAATAATTTCACAACAAACTATCTTGACTATAGTGAATATTAAATAATGTTTATAACATTCATGATATTTATTAATATTGTCCACTGTCTTTTGCTGTGGGATGCATTTTATAGCTACAATATTTACCTGTCCTTTTATCTGACCATTTAGTTTTTGTAATTTTTCTCCCGATTCCTGGTCGAGCACCACAGCCAGGATCTCTGTGTCACTGTCGCCCAAGCCAAAGTTCTTCAACGAATCTGTAATCTGAAATAAGGTTGCATTAACATTTTGGCAACATTAATGGCTTCTTTTCTGGAGCAAATGTTTACCTGGAATAAATTATTTAGTTGTGTGCATTACTGTATTTAAATTTAAAATCTTTGCTAAAAGATATACAGTGGTACCTATACGAATTACGGATTTAATTCGTTCCCAGAGACGTCCCTGTGTGTACACAAACATCCACTCATGTCCCTTACTTGCTACCCATTCCCCTACTCCCCATCATTCTCCACATGGCGCTAACTACCAGTAACTCCTTCGTAATTACCCTACATTAACAGTGTGGCGAGTTATCATTTTCCCCATAATTTTTGTGTGACTTTAGCACTTGTAGCGAGTAGATTATCCCAATAATATACTCGCTCCAAATGCATTGTTAATATTCCTGTCAACCTTTGGAGATGAATGAGGTGAGGCGTTGCCCGGGCAACACGGTGAGGAGTTGCCCGAGCATATAAGCAGCAGAATAGCAAACATTCACCAGAGTCTACTTTCAAGTGTGGTCTAGAGCAGACACTTGCGAGATACTGTACCGACGCTCAGTGCGCTCAACTCACACCAAAGTATCACCTGTGTACTTTTGTATATTCTACCAAATATATATATATAGTATCTTAGTGTCTGTGTTTATTGTCACCATACTTTACGTAACAAAAGAACCGTTACACACTCTATTACACAAAATAATAATAATTATTATTATTCGAGATAGTAAGCAGCATAAGGGATTAAAGAACTTGCAAATATAACATAAGAAATTTACAATTCATTGCACTGTGATTATAAAGTCACTTATGGAATATTTATGCACATGATAACCTAAAACAGTACATGTACTCTACTTACATTTTTTGAGGGTGACAAATTAAAGATAATTTCAGCAAAGACTGAGCGAGTTACCATCTTTTTAGCAGCTAAAGATCGAACAGCTTTGTTGGCAGCAACCAAAACTTGAAACGGGTCAACTAACTGCAAGGAAATATTTTTTAATAAGAACATCAGTCCTGATAAATCCCTTTCCTTCCACTGTATGTACAGTAAGCAGGAAATGGGATAAGAATGAGGCATTGTTTTAGTATAGACATAATCTGTTACTCACCATTTCAGGTTTTATCAGACTAGCTTCCACTTGACCCTTCATAATCAGCTGACGCACATCTGCTGCATTCTTCACATTATTGTACAGTAAGATGTGGCATCTAGTCTGTTCTTCATCTTCTAATTTGACTATCAGGCTCATTTTATGTTCTTCCTCAGCCTGCAAAAGAAATATATTTACCTAATGTATTCTCCCCTAGTAAGCCTTATCCAACATTACAGACAGACAGAATTTGAGTTAATCTTAACATATTCAAAATACACTTTATGGCTCTATTTTTTATCAAGTTTTATCAAATTTTCTACAATATCATTTTTTGACAAGGGAAAATCTTGTGGCACTATATGCCACCTTCCAAAACACATATTTAGTTATAGACTAGCATACCCCCAAAAATGCACATACAATATTATCTGTTATCCTACTCTGCTGGGACTAAGAGTATTACAGGTACAGTGATTAACAGAAATGATACTATATTAAAGAATTGAATAGAATACTGTAGTATATTAAATTAGAAATTATGTTAGGGAAGCAACATGTGTGGTGCTTGTTTGAAGATTTCTTCCCAGTCAATGACTTGCTGAGAAAGCTGAGCATAATTAAGGTGCAAATAGACCACAGATTATACATATACCGTACTCACCAACCACCTAACATACAGACCACATATTACACATGTACTGTATTCACCTAGTTGTGTTTGTGGGGATTGAGCTCTGCTCTTTTGGCCCGCCTCTCAACTGTCAATCAATCAACTGTTACTAACTACTAACTGATTTTTTTTCCCACACGCGCTCCCCTGCCCCCCTCAAGGAAGCAGCCCGTAGCAGCTGTCTAACTCCCAGGTACCCATTTACTGCTAGGTAACAGGGGCATCAGGGTAAAAGAAACTGCCCATTTGTCTCTGTATCGAACCCGGGCCAGGGGATTACGCGTCCCGCGAGCTGTCCACTCAGCTACCAGACCCCTTAACTATGTCCTCACCAACGGCGTAACATACAAACCACATATTACACATGTACTCACCAACAACAAACCACATATTACACATGTACTCACCAACAACAAACCACATATTACACATGTACTCACCAACAACAAACCACATATTACACATGTACTCACCAACAACAAACCACATATTACACATGTACTCACCAACAACAAACCACATATTACACATGTACTCACCAACAACAAACCACATATTACACATGTACTCACCAACAACAAACCACATATTACACATGTACTCACCAACAACAAACCACATATTACACATGTACTCACCAACAACAAACCACATATTACACATGTACTCACCAACAACAAACCACATATTACACATGTACTCACCAACAACAAACCACATATTACACATGTACTCACCAACAACAAACCACATATTACACATGTACTCACCAACAACAAACCACATATTACACATGTACTCACCAACAACAAACCACATATTACACATGTACTCACCAACAACGTAACACGTGTGTTGTGTGTGAATAATCACGAGAAAAACAGTGTTGGGCCCTGGTGGAGGTGGTCGGGGGCTGGTCACACAATACCCAACACGAGTCCACAATACAAGTTTCCTCTATAAAAATCGTACATATTGTTAGGTTAATATGTTTTAGCTTAGGTTGAGTTATGTTTGCTTAGTTTGGGTTAAGTTGAGTGAGGTTAGAGGTTTTAAAGGCGGGTGGGGAGCCGTGTTGTGTACGAGGTGGCTGTTGTTGACACACACAATCATTCATACACTCCATTCATTCATACACTCCATACTTTCCTCCACTATTCATCCATCATACTTCATATCTTCAACGGCATCACCTCTACCAATTATGTTATAAACGTAAATAAATATAGAATGGTACCATATATATATATATAAATGCTTAAACAGTAAACATAAATATAGTTGCATTTGCCCGAAACGCTATACTTGCGTACTAGTGGCTTTATGTATTGTATGTACTACCTCTATCTTTAAATCTAACAGAATGTTTGTACTGTAACGCTGCAACTATGTATGTACTGTTCCTAAATAAATTGTTATTATTATTATTATTATTATTATTATTATTAATATTATTATTATAGTGTATAATCCGGCGATTCGATTGTTATTTTACATATTTAGCGGGAAATGGAATATGATAAGTTCCACTATATCTTAAATAAAACATATCATCTGATATACAAATTTAAGAATGAAAACGGATTGATTGAATAGAGTATAGAGTATAGGGTAGAGTATGTGAGTATTGACTAGCATAGAGTACTAGCGGTGTGGTCGGGGCCGGAGAGCAAGCGACCCCCACAACCAACCATGGGCACGCCGCAGCCTTCCTTCATATTTCCTCTCGTTATCGGCACCTTCACCGCCGTCTCCTACGTCTTCTTCGTCGTCGTCTACACGGTCCAGCCCACACCTTTCATCGATGAAGTTTTCCACATCCCCCAGGCTCAGAAGTACTGTGAGGGCAGGTTCGATGAGGTGCGTTGACGCTGTTTCCCATTCTTGTTTTAGTGAAGCAACTTGATGGATATTGATGCATTGGCAGTGTAGCTCAGAGTAGTGATTACTATCTGCCTCCTCTGCCTGCCACTACTAGTCACACCCTCGGTCACGGTTGTTCATTCATGGAATGTTCAATTACAGTATTTGACTATTTTAATACTCTGGAGAGCACATGAGCAGTCTTCTGATTTTTACAGTGCATCTTAAGCTTTACCTTACTTGTTTTCCCCAGATCAGGATCTACTAATTCCTTTACAATCAGGTCCTCAGATATTGCTGGGTGAACAATAGTGAACAGTTATTATGTAGATATTTTGCAACACAACCATACTGGTATGGTTAGTAACAAACCTGTACAAGTTCGATCCCAGGCGCTGGCGAGAAACAATGGGCAGAGTTTCTTGCACCCTGATGCCACTATTACCTAGAAGTAAATTGGTACCTGGGAGTTAGTCAGCTGTCACGGGCTGCTTCCTGGGGGGTGGAGGCCTGGTCGAGGACCGGGCCGCGGGACACTAATGCCCCGAAATCATCTCAAGATAACCTCAAGTTCAAACAACATCCCTTGTTCAACAAGTTGGGCTCGCCCCATACAGTATAGATCATTCAAGCAAGCTCACATTGTATATTATAAATGATAGGAGACACAGTAAATAACTTATTAATTTTCTGACACAAATAGAGACAGTACAATACATTACTCTGATGATTTTCATTATTTACAGTGGGACCCCAAGATAACAACATTACCTGGCCTCTACTTATTTTCTATTGGCTTAAATGGACCAGTGTCTTGGGTGCTTGGGCGGCAACTATGTGATGTGTTTTCACTACGTGTTACAAACCTTGTTGCTGCAGCATTCATGTTGTCAACTATACATAAGCTGCTGATACACTTGCACAAAGACAAGGTAGGTCACTGCTGGGAGGACTTAATTTGGAGCATTACCATACCTAGAATTTTCCATTTACAGTACAGAGTGAAATCTTCAATCTTTTGCACCAAAGATGTAGATATAATGTCTAGCTTAATGGCCTATTGAAAACTTAATCGAAAATCCATTTGCTTTTAAGTCTATGAACCAGAATAGAGACTGATACATAGGCAAGGTAAAGTGTTGACTCGCCATAAGGTGTTATATATCTATTAGGTAATTCTAAAGACTATAGACTTCCTCTTCATGTATTTTTTCTGATATTTGCATGTTAATTATAGATAGACAGTTGGAGGCTGATGTTGAGTGCACTGAATCTCTCCTTGCTTCCTGTGCTGTACTGGTTTACTTTCTTATACTACACGGATGTGTTGTCCACACTAGTTGTGCTGGTGATGGTTCTCCTCCACCTCCACCATGCACCCACCACTGCTGCTGCCATGGGTTCGTATTTTCCAAATTCTAATGCTAATTTTAAGAAATGGAAAACTGTTATATTAAACACCCAGAGTATCTGAATTAATAATAGTTGTGAATTCTTTGTTTCCTAAATTCTAAGAAATTGTATCTTATTGTTTCAAGAAAACAAGTGAAGAGATTGAGACTATGATACAACATCATTTAGGTGTGGTGGCAGTCATGATGCGGCAGACGAACATCATCTGGGTGGGATTTCTGTGCGTGTTGATGGCTGCTGATATCCTAGGATCAAGAATGCTTAAATCCCCTATAAATACATTGGCTGATACAAAGGTAACAGTAATATTAATAAGATCCTTTCTTGAATTTGGGTAACCTTATTCAAAACGGTGTCTGAATTTTCCCCCATAAAGGGCCCTTTGGGCTGATGAGCACTGAAAATCGATGAAAAACAAAATTAAGGATTTGAGTTTATTCTTATTTTTATTTTATTTTATTTATTTTATTTATTTATATACAAGAAGGTACATTGGGTTTGTGAGAATACATAGCATAGTACAGTAATTACACTCTTGTAAAGCCACTAGTACGCGCAGCATTTCGGGCAGGTCTTCTAAAAATACGTCATCATTTTGATACTGTATCACACTCCAATAATAATGAAGGCAATATGATGATTGTCGGTGTACATTTTATCATTTTCCCTAAAAAAAAAATGTATTTTATGCATGCTGTTTTCTATGAAAGTAAATTTACACACATTTTTATTTATTATATTCTGCAATGTAAGTTTTGTTTCATAACAGTTGCTCTATTGTTAATTTATAAACATTGATTCATTTTTACTTCATTTTATATAATGCCATAATTTTTGTATTTAAATAGTTTTTTAATTAAATTTTTTAATTACAAAATAATTAAATAACACCTGTTTTAATTAATGTTTAGCATTTTATCTGACATTAAGTTTTGTTGCAGGCATTAATGAAGAAACTAAAGAAAACTGCTACAAAACCCTATCGCTTGGCAGAAGTGTTGGCAGATGTAGTGGCCGACTGTTTCAGCTACGGACTGGTGCTGGTGGGCTTCCTTGTGTTTGTGACGTATAACGGCAGCATTGTGGTGGGTGATCGGTCTGCTCATGAGGCAACTGTCCATCTCCCTCAACTTGGTTACTTCTGCCTTTTCTTTCTTATCTTCTCCCTGCCATATGCTCCAAACCACGTGCGTCCCTTCATAAAGTTGTGTCGCCGGCATCTAGCATTTGCTGTAGCTGTGCTTGTGGTTGGAGTAATGGTCGTTCACTCCAACACTTTGGTTCACCCTTACCTCCTTGCTGACAACAGACATTTGACATTTTACTTATGGAACAAACTTTATGGTAGGCTTTCTGTTATCAGATACATCATGGTTCCAGTTTACATGTTTGGTGCATATATGATACATGCATTCATCCAGCAACGCAGTTTTGTGTTCAAAGCTCTGTTTGTAGCATGCCTGGTTGCGTCGGTAGTACCTCACAAATTGCTCGAGTTTCGATACTTCATCATCCCATTTCTCCTGGTTCGCATGCAGCACGTATCGAAAAACTGGTGGCAGCTGTGGATAGAAACCCTATATTTCTTGCTTATCAATTGTTTAACTCTCTATCTGTTTGTCAGCAAGACTTTCCTGTGGGAAGATAGTTCAGAGCTCCAGAGGATCATCTGGTAGTCAGCCAGGTGGGTTACCTAACAATGTTATGAAATACTGTAATGTGTTAGCTTGAGGTTTGACATTTTTGTTATTATTGGTGAACAGTTTTAAAGTTTACTCATCATCCCATTGGCTAAAAAAAAAAAATGTATAAAAACATAAAGCTCTGTTGCTGTTTTATATTTGCATTTATTATTATTTATTGTATATGATAGTAATTATAGATGTGGCATTTTGAAGCTTAGGTTGGCAAAGAAATTTATTACCAAGTTTTTGCTTATACAGGTATTGTGGTTTTCTTTATATATTTTTGGCTTTTACGGTTTATGAAAGCAGGGATGAACTTGGTGTTCCAGGAACTAATCTTATACTTCACTAAGTAATTATCGTTTGAAAATAAGCTTCTAAAGTGTGACACAATCTGTTTATCAAGTGCTCTGACTGCTTAAATCCATATTTGTTCTAGCCACAGTATTATTACCCCACAGTGAGAAGAGCAAACATATGAGTGTTTATCAATGTCCAAATTATTACACATACGAGCAAAAATATTGGTCTATGTCTTGGACACGCGAGTGTAACTCTTCAGAATGTAGTTTCTCTGCCACTTTAATTGCACTGTATTTTCAAACTAAATTGATATTTATGACATTTTTGCTAACAAAATGTATACAAGGGTAATGAAGTGTAGTGTGTGTGTGTGTGTGTGTGTGTGTGTGTGTGTGTGTGTGTGTGAGGTGCTGTTTAACTTAATTGTGAATAGACCGTGGTATTTTCTTGTGGTTATTGGATGCACTTTGTTTAGCCTGGTTGTTATTGCAGGCCAAAACCACTACTGTATAGTCATGTGTGTAATTGCCTTATTGAGATATAAAAAAAAAAAGTTTATATTGTTCATCAAGAGTAACTACTCATCGGTAATTCTCGATGAATTACTGTACCATGTATAGGTCGCAAATGTCTTAAAAGGTAACTTGTGCATGTCCCTGTTGATGTATTACCTGAGGGGTCAAGCTGTACAAAGTGTGGTGTTTGATGGCACAATTTAGTTTTCCTTTTATAATTTTTTTTATATTGGAAATAACCAAAGCAATACTTCAAAAGCTGGTGTGTAAGAAACAAATATCCCTCCATGTACCACTGTATCCTCTACTCGTGTTTATTTTCCCTAAAACGGAAGATTCGTATACAATTTATTAAATTTTCTATATCTTAAAACTTTGGTATTCATCACGCCTCTAGTGTAGCAGGTTTGTAGTGGAGTAAGGTATGTGGGAGGCACGGTGTAAACAGCAGACCATGTGACTGCATGCTGTACAATGATTACTGCCCATGCTAAATAAAATAGAAAATATAATTTGCTATCATTCTAAATTAATTTCTCTTGCATAAATTTTGTTCATTACAGGTTGTTTTAGCAATGGGCAAATTGTTAAATTTGCCCATTTATTTATTTATTAATTTATTGTCAAAATTTAACTTGCCGTCCATTTTTAGGGATTTTTTAATGCTGGTTGTTTATGTTACATTCAAGAATTCTTACATTTGTATTAAAGGTCAGTAAGTATACCAAAGAAATAATGATGTTACAGCATACAGTAGTAACATAGGGAATAATTACCATTTTAAACAGCTCTTATTTTGTCTCCTGTCAGTATGTATATTTGGGTGCAATACTTACAACTAATCTTTGAAAAAGTTGAGATCAGTACTCCCTCAAAAATCTAAATTATATTGTTCAAACCTTATTTAGATTTGTGTCAAATGCAGGTTTCTGAAATAATTATTGTTTTGAGGCAATTATAACCAGTTTTGTCAGTTTCTCACAGCAAATTACATACTGTAGTGCATATTTCGACATATTCAGATATACAAATAATATATAAGCAGTGATTTTGTGTGGATATAATTAATAATTATGCATGAAAAATATAAAATATTAAATTGTTCACTTACCTTTTGTAGCACTGGCTGGTCTTGATTATCCAGAGGTACTATTAGGGGCCTCGTAGCCTGGTGGATAGCGCGCAGGACTCGTAATTCTGTGGCGCGGGTTCGATTCCCGCACGAGGCAGAAACAAATGGGCAAAGTTTCTTTCACCCTGAATGCCCCTGTTACCTAGCAGTAAATAGGTACCTGGGTGTTAGTCAGCTGTCACGGGCTGCTTCCTGGGGGTGGAGACCTGGTCAAGGACCGGGCCGCGGGGACACTAAAGCCCCGAAATCAACTCAAGATAACCTCAAGATAACTATGTCATGCCAGCTGGTAAACTTCCACTCTTACCCTGAATTGATCTTGAAGTTCCCAGTGCAACTGGTTATTAATGCCATTCTTTCAGCAACAGATTGTTACCGTGCTCCATCAATAGCCAGCACAAGGTTGCAATGTTGTGAATTCCATGATAAAGAGCTAGGTGTGCTCTCAGCACGAGGGTAACTGCTGACTGAGCAGTCTGGGTTGCCTCTCATGGCAATAATGTCTACACAGGTGCATAAAAGTAACACTACATAACTTGAGGATTTGGTTCGTGTATTGGAACAAAGTGCAAAAAAACAAAAATGGGGGGGGGGAGGGATTTGGAAGGCCATTTATAAGTTGGGGACTCCTTGTATTGTATAATTGAAGAACGGGTTCATGAGGATAAGTAAACTGTCTAGTTTTCCTTAAAGTACAAACCCTTTTAATTGTCGAACAAGAAAATGTGTTGAAATAAGCGGGCTGTGGTTGAAGGATGCCTATGTGCTCCAAGCATAACAAATAGTAATACTCGGTTCATAACTTTTTCAGGTTGTCTTCTTGCACATTTTATTAGTTAAGAGAAATAACAATTAAGCATTACAACACCTAATAAATAAGTTTATATTATGTATTTTATTTCTTATGTCAGTTTTTCCTTGTGTAGGGTATACAAGTTCAGCTGTTTTAAGTTGATTAGCTGTATGGTCGAAAGTTTTAAATGTTGAATAAGCTGTATGGATTTTTTAATTCTAGTCTTTTTAGTGTACGTACTTAATAACAGCCGGGTTCTCTTGGAATTCTTTTATTTGTGTTCATTGTGTGTACACTGTATCAGTATTATGTCTGATGATATGTGAAAATAAAGTGGCTATGTCTTATTACGTGATTAGTTCAGATGTGTCAGATTATAGCCAAGACTTGACAAAGTGCCTAACCTCAATTTGTCCTAGAGTCCTGTTATTGTGGGTACAAGTGAATGGTTTTGACACACTTTTTGTATAGCTCTGTCCCAGCAGTATACGGACACAATAAACCTATTTTCACCCATTGTTCGTCTACTTAACCATTATCCTGTACTTTTTTTTCTCATTTTGGCTTTTCTTATCTATATACTGTGTGTGTGTGTGTATGTATGTATATAGCACTATACATTTTTAATAAGGTTCATGCTATATTTTGATAGCTTCTAAAATAATACATTTTTGTCCGTGAGCAATGAAATAAGCTTGAAAGGTGTAAGTTACAATTATGTTTTATAAGAAAGGATAGTTTTCCCAGTTTTTAAATTTACATACTAGTAAATGGGCAGCAAATTTCTTTACAGGTAGACAGGAACACACACACGGTCAGCAAATTTATATATTGCACTAGCAAGTGCTGTACATACACACAACCAGGAGATTAAAATAACTTTATTTAAATATTAAGTCCTTCATATCCACCTTGTATCATGTGCTAAACTCTCAAATCAGTAAGATTAGTTAGATTCGGTAAACATTTTTATACTACTGTACTTGAACAAATCCACAAGGGCCGTGATGAGGATTCAAAGTACAGTAGTTACTACTGTACTTTGTTTCATAAATTCATCTTGACTACATTTCAATCTTTACAGGACTACAGGAAAGAAAATATTTTGCAATTCATTTATTGATAAAGAAATATTCCAATCTGGACCAATTTGTTTATTCTGCTTAGCCATACTACCTAAATGCTTTCTAAAAAGTTTGTTCAGTAAACCAAGTCGGCGTTCTTGTAAAAAATCTCTCTACTTCTATGTTACAAGCCAGCTATCTGTTTCAGATGCATTTTCTTCAGCAGACTTTAATGCAAGCTCGTTTTAAAATTACAAATACTGAGTATATATCACATGAAAGTTGAAGACTTGATAAGGAGGATCATCGTGTGATATAGCAGCACAAATTGACTTGTAGTATATAAATGTGCATTTTCCAACTAATATTTACATAATATATAATTTAAATATAGGTATGCAAATTTAAAACAAATGCTGTGGTGCCATCTAGTGTCTATCTGACTTGCAGAGTTTGCAAGAATTATTAATATTTACTATAGTAATAGATGCTTTACAATATATGCTCATAAATAATTAAAACAAAATTGTGAGGTGTATGTGTGTGTATATATATACAATTATGCACACACAAACATTTTATACTATGTGATTCTCATACAGGGCATATACTATGATACATATAATGTAAACAAAATGATTGCTCACTCTCATACTTTCAGTGCTATCTTGTGTACAGCTGATAATTCCTGAAGCCACTTTTATCACACCATTTAGCAACATAAAATAGTCAGTATTTCTTCATTAATTAATTAATAAAGAAATACTTCATATTGGCTATTACTTGCTAAGATTTTACACTATCCATCAAGTCCAAGAGGTCTTGATCCTCATCATATGGGGCATCATCTTGGAGAGTCATCTCTCCCAGGATCTGACCCAACTCTGGACGTCCATTTCTGTTCCTGCCTTCTATTGTGATAACATCACTAGCCAGAACAATGTCGTCATCACAGCTTCACAAAAAAAAAGAAAAAATACTTCAATTATGTCTGTCCTTAAGAAAAAATTAAAAAAATTTCCCTATATTTGTCTTCGGTAATTATTTTTCAGTACAGTTCACCATTTTCATTTTGTGCTAGTGTCCACTTAGCTCAATCACACAATGTCTGTTACTATTTTTAACATGCTCCTTGCCAAAATGTGTACTTATGTCACTAACTTGACAGTACAGGTACTGTACTTAATTCGCTGTTCGTACAAATGACACGGATACATTTGCTTGCTTTGTGGTCATAATCAAGAGTAAAGCTTGGAAGGAGAGCAAGGCCGAGAATCTGCTGGGAGTTGTGCTGCTGTTTTCCATTTATCCCTTCATTGTCATTGTCACTATCTCTCTAAAAATTCTATTTATTGCCATTGTACTTAGAGGTCTATTCTTGCCTTTTGAGTGTAACCTGTATGCTAAAATATCTTTCAAATTTTTTCTTATGGTGTTCCTCATGGCTGCAGCAAATGTAATTCAATAGGTTTCTAATTTAGTCTTTCTGTAAACTATCATATTTATCTTAGACTTTCTAAATATTAAATTTGTTCAAGTTTTCCCAATACACTGTACTAGGACCTAAGAACAGCCCATTGTGTATTCCATCAGAAATTACACTAGCGTGAATGATAAACTAAATTGGTTACATTTTTATTGTGTAATATCTATTAAGTTACATTGTTCTTCATATTTTTATCCAAGCTGATTTCTCTACCCAGTGTAAGTGGGACGTGGGGTAATAGCAATGAATGAAGAATTATCAGTTAAAATTTATGCAATATACAAATAAACATTATGATGATATGGCTAAGTGGATCCTTATATAAATTTAAATTTCTTGAAATAGTGTCAAGAAAAAGTAATTTTCTACCATACACTATAGTAGAAATATTGAATTTTTCTTTAATTTGTAAAAGAAATTACAAAATTATTGCAGTGCTAATATAGCAATTACAGTACTTTGGTTAGAAATTACTTAAGTATGGCTTTTTGAGTACATATTATTTCAGAGCCTTAAGTGTACGTAAGTGGGACCTGTTGACAAAAATTACTTTACAAAATATATTTAATAGCTTATATTTTACTACAGTATCTTCAAAGTACTTATTGAATCTGATTTCACTCACCTGTTGTTATCATCAGCATAGAATAAGTTTAGTCGAAACTCCTTTTTGTTGGAGGGCACTGAGCCAATCAGCTGAGCTAGGAGGTTTAATTCATCTTGTGCTCTTCCACTAGCTAAACTGCTGCTAATGATGCCATCATCACTAAAGTACAGTAATGACAATTAGCACATCAGTGAGGTATAACTTAATGGACAGCTACATGCATTTAAATTGTATTTTTCTAACCTTAAATATGGAAATCCATAAACCTGTCTTTGCCTTTAACAAGCATAACTACCAGGAAAGATTAATGGACAGTTTGTAGATCAGTATGACCCAATTAATGATCAAGGGCATTTTATGCAATACTGTATGTTAATTTTAAATTGGTCTCAATTAATTGTTGGTTAACTTCTATGTACATTAAACTTTCCTGGCACTACAACAGACTTGAAAATTAAGGGTAATGTTGAGTAAATATGGTTGAATTTGTCACTTAATCTGAAGTAGTTATTTAATAGTGTGTGTGTTCATATAATAGAGAATAACACATGTTGGTTGTTCATTGGTTTACTACACAGTACCAACATGAGGAGTGGATTATGCCAATCATGACTCCTGGGAAAATGTGGGCTCAGACTGGAGCTTTCCATTACAAAAAAAAATAAACAACAAATTGTGGAGACAGTTCATTCCTTTTCAAATTCCAAGCAGAATTGGCCAATTCCGAGACTATTCATACAGAATCTGAGGGGTAGAAGCACATGGGCCACAGAAATCATGAACCCCCAGTCTTTTTTTCCAGATTACTCTTAAATGTTGATATTTTGAGGTGGTTTTGGGTGATGTGTTCCTAGATATAGTCCTTGGTGATTCCTTTAACATTTTTTTGTTTTGTTTTTCTGTTCCTGTGTTGGTATTCTGAATTAATGATATCTAGGAGCTCTTGAATATGCTGTAATGAGTACACAGACCTTGCTATACAGTATAGCTTTCCAGGCTAAGCACTTTTTTTTTATAATAACTTACTAACTTGATGTTTTTAAAAATCCTGTAGATTTGAAAAGGATACAGAATCAGAAAATTAGATATTGTTAAGTAACTTCACATAGAGATGCCTTCTTACTAAACAATCCTAGATCTTGTGACTATAAATTCATTGTTGTATAAATATACAGTACAGTACTGTATTTTATACATGATTATTTGTTCCAGGTTCCTTCTTGTACTGTACAGTTAAATGTAGATGTAACTGTAATTGAGTTAAGTATATTTATATATATATACAAGAGTTCTTACAATCTTGTGTAGCCACTAGCATGTATAGCATTTCAGGCAGATCCTTAATCCTAATTTTTACCCGAATACGACGCGCCAAATCATTTAACAACCAGGTACCCATTCACTGCCGAGTGCACAGAGGCTACAGTTAAGGATTGGTGCTCAGTCAATCCTCCCCGGCCAGGATACAAACCCAGGCCAAGTGCTGGCGAAGCACTGGGCGAGTGTTTTAGCACTGCGCCACGGATAAAAGTGTTCAGTCATTAGTGAAAGCTTGTGAATGTGAACAGTACCTGGAGGCTGGAGTGGGCTGGTGGTTGGCGTTGCTGAGGGCACCAGCACTGTGGTCTATCAAGAGTGCCCGTTCATCACCCATATGAGTTGCATACCTGAAATGTTGAAGCTAATGTATGTATATCCTTATTATGAACGGTATTATAGAATTATACACTTGTAATCATCATCTATCAAAACTTATTTAAAAGTTTTATACCCAACTTTGTAATGTTAATGATAACTGATGAATTGGAAGAAGCATGTTTAAATGAATATAAAAAGAGAGAACATACATGTTAGTACCAAGTGTTGTACCCCTGTGGCCTGTGGATGCCAAGGAGCCATGAGGAAGTGCTGCTGCATACTGCCCACCTGCAGGGAACCGCATCACGCTGACCACCTCTCCTCTACTGTCAAACACCCTGGTGATGCCTGCCACCTCACTGCCTGAACAGTCACTAACTCCATTACTCAAGGTATTATATCTTTTATATATATTTAGACTAATACCATGAATTTGATCATAAAGATCAAAAACAGTTCTTAATTGTATCAACTAAAACATTCAGATTTCAAATTTTGAGAAAATTATTATTATTAACAGTATTAACATTATTAACTTAACATTATTATTAATTTTTAAAACAGTAGAGGTTAAGTGACATACCATAGGGAACGGGGCCACCGATGGGAAGGATAAAAGTGCCATGTGGAGTTTGCTGCTTCTCCTTCAGAAAGACAGATACTCGAATACGCAAGTCCTGGACAAACCCCAGCAGTGCCCTTCTGGCCTCGGCTAACTCTCCAACACTCATGCTGCAGAAGGTCTGCACAGAAAGATTTGTCTCCATTTGTACCATTTTTTATGGTGATTTGAGTAACTATACTAGAAAACAGTTATCCAGTTTACTTTGACATAATTATTCCCAGATTATCTTTAGATTTAGATTTATAAACCAAATAAGCAAATCGCAATTAAGGAAATCATATGGGATATTCCTAATTAGGATAGTTCAAGTTCAAGTATGTTTATTGAGATAAGCAATAAATACATCTCAAAGGGATAGAGTAGCTTAGGCTATTTCTACCCCCCCTCTTTAGGATAGTTACCTGTCTGAATAAGTTAAGTGTGGATTCTACATGTGCCAAGACAGTGGGTGATGTAGCAAAGCTAGTGAGAGCGTCGAGGTGGTTCAGGGTCATAAGCAGAAGGTCTCCCGGCTGTGTGCACATCAGCACCTGCTGCTTGACTGCCATCACCATCAGATCATACAGCTGTACCAAAAGTAGCCACCATTAATAACCCAAAAATAGTAAAATACACTCCCACACCACTGACTGAAACAAGGCACTTGGCCTGGTAAGAGAGCAAGCCATTATGAAGCCTTAGTTAGCTATCACTTGTGATGCCTAGTGAAGATTCGGAAGGTCTATTGAGTTTTTATGAACGGTCATCCCCGTCAGAATTTAGCTTTTCGTGGCGATTAGGCCCTTATCACATTCAGCATCACTCTGAATGTTTGGGAAGATTCCCGTAACGTCTGTTCCAATAGAATGTTGTCCTGCTTGAGTGTTCATGAATCCGCTTTCTAATGCTCTCTAACACACTGGATTCTTACCCAAGAGAGGAAATGGTCACTGCTTGCATCACAAGCGGGGATGTTTCTGGCGGGGGAGAAAGAAACAATTGCGCAGCGCGTTGCGCGGGCAGTTTGGGGCCGTATAAATACGGGCGCACACCGGGGCTCCGCCTCACTCCGCCTGCCCTCGCCGCTGCCCTCGCAAAATTTAACTTCCTTCTTCTAATTTAACTTAACTTCTCAAAATTTAACTTCCTTTAAGCCCTTCTCAACATTTAAGCCCAGAAGAATCTGCAGCCTCCCGGCTGCTGGCTTATCCAGACATGTGTGGCCTCCCAGGACGCTGGTTATCAGACGTGTTGTCTGCTCGGTGTAGCCCGGAATATACTGCGGCCTCCCAGGCCGCTGGTTATCAGACGTATTGTCTGCTCAGTGTAGCCCGGAAGATACTGCTGCTTCCCAGGCCGCTGGTTTATTCAGACGTTTAGTCTGCCCAACGTAGCCAGGAAGGTTGACAGCCGCTGCCGTCTTAGCTGACTGCGTTCAGGGGCTGCTCCCTAGCCGAAGTCCTTCCTGCGATGAGTTAAGCCGACGTCCTTCCTGCGATGAGTTAAGCCGACGTCCTTCCTGCGATGAGTTAAGCCGACGTCCTTCCTGCGATGAGTTAAGCCGACGTCCTTCCTGCGATGAGTTAAGCCGACGTCCTTCCTGCGATGAGTTAAGCCGACGTCCTTCCTGCGATGAGTTAAGCCGACGTCCTTCCTGCGATGAGTTAAGCCGACGTCCTTCCTGCGATGAGTTAAGCCGACGTCCTTCCTGCGATGAGTTAAGCCGACGTCCTTCCTGCGATGAGTTAAGCCGACGTCCTTCCTGCGATGAGTTAAGCAGACGTCCTTCCTGCAATGAGTTAAGCCGACGTCCTTCCTGCGATGAGTTAAGCCGACGATGTTCTACAGGTATTATATTTATATTGGTCATATAAATACACGGCCTTTCTGGCCGCGGGTTTATCCAGACGTGTTGTCTGCCGGTGTAGCCCGGAATCTACTGCGGCCCCCCAGGCCGCTGGTTTCTCCAGACGTTTTGTCTGCCCAATGTAGCCACGAAGGTTGTCATAGCCGCTGCCGTCTTCGCTGTCTGCGCTCGGGGGTTCATGTCCAGCCGACGTTCTTCCTGTGGTGAGTTAAGCTGGCGATGTTATTCAGGTATCTTTTACATTGGCCATATAAATGTGGTCTTTCAGGCCGCTGGTTTATCCAGACGTGTTGTCTGCCTGGTAGCCCGGAAGTCACAGTGGGCCCCCCCCCCCCCCCAGGCCGCTGGTTTATCCAGACGTTTCATCTGCCGGTGTAGCCCGGAACGTTTCCACAGCCCCGACTGTGGAAACTTAAGTGTTAATCCCGTTTCTCTAACGAGTTATAGTCCAGCTTTATTTTGAGCATACTTTGTTTTGCAATTTATAATTATTTATGTTATAATTGTATTAATTGTAATTATGTTATAATAGCACAGTTTGCCTATTTTCCTCAGTAGTTACAGTACTTTCGTTTGGCTCTTGCAGTTATTCACGTCGCTTATTTGGTTATAGTTATGTTATGCATCTCCTCCGTTCCCTTAATGTAATATGGCTATATATCCACGCCGATTGTATACCCTTATTTTGTACTTGCAGATACCACGTGCCATGCCTTGCCCTATTCATAATTATGTTCTACATCTCGGCGCTAACATGCCTCCTGTTTTCAGGTTACCTCGGACTTTCTTTCCCAATCAGCCTCCTTAATTTACTCCGACAGTTGATGCGTTGCTCATGTCGCATGTTTATTTTTGCGTTGCTGTGTCCAGTATGCTTGCCCACTTTTACCCTGCCTTACGTCATCAAGTAAAGACAGCCAGGATGTGCTATTTGCAGAGTTACCAAGTAATTTATTAAGTAAAGTCAGACAGGCAGTGCTAGTTGCAGAGTTACTAAGTAAATTATTAAGTAAAGTCAGCCAGGATGTGCTATTTGCAGAGTTCCTAAGAATTATTAAGTAAAGTCAGACAGGATGTGCTATTTGCAGTATTCGCGGGCCCTTATTTTAGCTTCACGTCTCCTGGCCCTGCATTTTTGCCTAGTTTCATCGGTAGTTACAGTAGTTTATGCTTAGCCTTGCAGTTTAGTTTCCTCAGTGGTTACAGTATTTACGCTTGGCTCTTGCAGTTTATTCACGTTACTTATCAGGTTATATTTGTTATGCTTTCCCTCCGTTCTCTTAATGTAAAAATGGTTATATATGCACGCCGATTGTATACCCTTATTTTGTACCTGCAGACTTCACGTGCCATGACTTGCCCTATTCAGGTGACCTGGACAGGGGGGTGGCCCCCACGCTGCCTGGGGCACGGTGCACTCCAGCAGATGGCGGCGTCAAAGCGTCGTCGGGAACGTCGTATATTTAATGATATCCCGTTCTTTGCCTTCCTAAGACAATGTAATTTAAGATTTTATACGCTTATATGGAAGGTTTCTTATTTTGTACTGGCAGACATCTCGCGACATGCCTTGCCCTTCCTCTTAATTACGTTCTACATTTCAGCAATAACATGACTCCTGCTTTCAGATTACCACGGATTCCTTTTCCCAAACAGCCTACCTTAATTTACTCCGACAGTTGATGCTTTGCTCATGTCGCATGTTTAATTTTGCGTTGCTGTGTTCAGTATGTTTGATCATTTTCCTTGCCTTACGTCATTACGTAAAGTCAGCCAGGATGTGCTATTTGCAGAGTTACTAAGTAAATTATTAAGAAGTCAGCCAGGATGTGCTATTTGCAGAGTTACTAAGTAAATTATTAAGTCAGCCAGGATGTGCTATTTGCAGAGTTACTAATTACTAATTACTAGTCCTTTGCTGGGCTACCTTTATGCTTCTCCCCTTCCTGTCTAGGTATGTTTAGGTATGGCTAGCGGTGCGCGAGCCGCGGCTTATCGGTTCCTACTACGTCTGCGTGTCTGTTAATTTTGTTATTGTTGGACTCTCAATTTGATTTGTATTTATTACGGAAAAATTTTTCTCCCGCAATTTACTCTTTGTTTAAGTTTCACGTTCAATTTGTTATTAAGGGACTATCAATTAGGATTTGTATTAATCTATTGCTTTGCCTCTGTGCCTTTAAGTTATTTTCAGCTAAGGTACGCTAGTTGCAGTGCATTCGGGGGCCCCCCCCCCCACAATTTTTTTTTTTCTCCTCCGGTTATTTCGTCCTATTACACCCGTCTCCCTCATTATATATTCTATTCTGAATTTTGTGCATTATATCTGACCACCCATTCTTCATCGTTTCGACAGTACATTAAGTTACATTTGGATGCTACAGAGAAGTTTAGCATGGCCTCGCGCACGGTGTCATGCAAAAAATCTGGCCATTCGGCCTTCCTTTCGGCAAGCTCAAGCCAGTCAGTTAGCATGACGTCGGCCAGCTTGTGGTTGGCCAGCGCAGCCAGCATGCTGTTGGCCATAGGTCGCTAACGTTCTTTGGCCATCCGGCCTTCTGGGTTATTTTACTCTTCTTGTTCCTTCGCCATTGTTGTTTCCTACTACGTAATAGTATTCTATTTAATTTTACCTCATCTATCATTAGGTTAGGGGCCCCCCTTTTCCTCCAACCGCTATTCCTTCCACTGCGCTCTGCCTGCTTGGCGCTCAATGCCGGTTTCTTCTGTTCCCTTTATTCGCAGCCACGACAAGCCGGAACCCCCCCCCCCCCCCTTCACACCCTACTGCGGCGAGGAAGAGAACGCGAGCCGGATATTCCTCTGATCACCATCAACGCACGCAGCGGTGCCGGGATGCAGCCGCCCAGGGCCTACGTTAATACTATTATCTTCTCTTTATTTGCTGGGCTATATGGCAGTATTAATATTACTCTGTACCGTTACTGTCATTCCAGTATTTTATTAAAATATAAATTGTTATTATGGTTTGGCGTTGCTTTCTTAATTTCTTCCATTCTGCGGCACTTGCCGTCATCTGTTATTTACGATATTACATTGTATTCTTCATTGTACGATTATTTACGACATTGTATTCTTATTATTATCCTTATTACAGTTACTGAATGGCAGCTCCCTGCCGTCGATTTCACTTTGCTCCTGTTCTAAAGATGTTGCCGAAGTTCACGGCGTACTAGCTGCGGCTCGCAGACGCTCATTGACAACACAAGACTACACTCAGCGGCCACTCAAGGCAGACTCCTTGGCTTCTATCCAGCCCAATCACCCGTCTGGAGGCAGAGATGGGATAGAGACCAATGGTAATGTTCCCCGCTCACATTCTACATCCGATTAGGACACAAGCATGTTATAGATTTGGCTTTAAGAATTGGTTCTTATTCCATTTTATTGTTTATGTATATGTTGCTTAGTTGTTATACCTTTTCTTGGTATATGTATTGTTTATATTCAAGATTTATAGTGTTTCGTCTTACCCTGTTATAGTTGCTTTGTGCCTCCTTGCTGTTCTACCGGTTTTCTCCCACCTTTGCTCTTAGCAAAGGTACTTCCCCCTTCCGTTTGCTGGAAGATTCTTAGATTTGTTAGCCCCCCTTCATTGCTACAGTATAATTATTCGGATGCTCTTTATTCATCCAGGATTGTTAATTAAGGTTTCTCTTAATTCCTGCTGCCGGGCTCCCTCCCCCGTTTTTTCGTCTCCGTATTGATTCGGCTAGGGTTTTCCCTCTCGTCTGTGCTCTTGCCTGTCACGATAACACTGCACGCCGCTTCTGCCCACCCTTACTGCCTTATATCTTTCAGCCCGGGGGAGGTGAGCTACGCGACAAAAAATCGACGCACGCTCCGACTGGACCAGGTATCGCTTACATGGTCAGGAATCAACACTCTTCGGATCCTACAAGCACAGATCCGACAAGCGCTCCTGTCACCAGGCGAGATTTCTCCAGGATCCTACGCGCTGCCCTCTCGGCGCTAGGCTTGACTTCAGATGACTACGCTCCGCACCCAGCTGTCTCCGGACGGGCTCGCCACATCAGAAATAATGGCAAACGACAGGCGGAAGAGTAGTGCTCACATCCTACGTCAGGCGGGACGTTGTTGCTCTCCTACATTGAGTGCCTCACGCGGCCAGCTGGCACTCGCCCTTCGGGGGGGGGGTCCGGCCGCTGGCCTGCGGTGGGGGTGCAGCGCCGGTCCCCAAGTGTCCCGCTGTCCGCAGCTAATACTTTGCCCAGTCTAGGTGCTAGTAAGCCCTACTTGTAGTCACACCCCCTTCTCCTTATCCATTAGGTCTTTTACGGCCTCTTGGCCGGGTACATTACGTGTTATGTGGTCTCTCACTTATTAGTTATTCTTTGTGTCCTGCCTGTTATATCCTAGTGTTATATAATTACTACACATTTGCACTCGGCCTTAATTCTAGTACCAGTTAACCTTTAGGTTTCTGCAGAATTAGTTTCCATGTCACTATAGGCTAAGGTCTCATACTTACTACGGGTGTACCTTTTAAGTTAAATCTAGTCCTTGGAATTGTTACTGTTAATTCTTACTTTATATATTTACTTTATATATTTACTTTATATATTTTAATATAAACGTTATATATTCCTTAAATTATATTTGAAACTTTGTATATTTACATGTTCAATATTAAGTTTTATATAATATCAACTTTGTTAAGCCTATAATATAAACCGTGTTTAATATAAACTTTATATAATTACTTACTTTATGTGAACTTTATATATTTACATGTTCTGCAGAATTTAATCTTCAATAAACTTTAACGCCCCAATACTGCCAGTATCTTTCTCCCCCTGGTCAGAAAATGGTCACTGCTTGCATCACAAGCGGGGATGTTTCTGGCGGGGGAGAAAGAAACAATTGCGCAGCGCGTTGCGCGGGCAGTTTGGGGCCGTATAAATACGGGCGCACACCGGGGCTCCGCCTCACTCCGCCTGCCCTCGCCGCTGCCCTCGCAAAACCCCACCCTCCCCCCCTTTTGCAAGCGGCTGCTTTTGTACCCCCGTCATGCTTTGCACAGTTGTCCCGTTTGTCTCCCCACTGCATGTGGGAAGGGGGGTGCAGCGCCGGTCCCCAAGTGTCCCGCTGTCCGCAGCTAATACTTTGCCCAGTCTAGGTGCTAGTAAGCCCTACTTGTAGTCACACCCCCTTCTCCTTATCCATTAGGTCTTTTACGGCCTCTTGGCCGGGTACATTACGTGTTATGTGGTCTCTCACTTATTAGTTATTCTTTGTGTCCTGCCTGTTATATCCTAGTGTTATATAATTACTACACATTTGCACTCGGCCTTAATTCTAGTACCAGTTAACCTTTAGGTTTCTGCAGAATTAGTTTCCATGTCACTATAGGCTAAGGTCTCATACTTACTACGGGTGTACCTTTTAAGTTAAATCTAGTCCTTGGAATTGTTACTGTTAATTCTTACTTTATATATTTACTTTATATATTTACTTTATATATTTTAATATAAACGTTATATATTCCTTAAATTATATTTGAAACTTTGTATATTTACATGTTCAATATTAAGTTTTATATAATATCAACTTTGTTAAGCCTATAATATAAACCGTGTTTAATATAAACTTTATATAATTACTTACTTTATGTGAACTTTATATATTTACATGTTCTGCAGAATTTAATCTTCAATAAACTTTAACGCCCCAATACTGCCAGTATCTTTCTCCCCCTGGTCAGAAACCGGATGAAACAGCTCAGAAACTAGCTACACCCACAGAGACCGACTTTTACAGACAAATATAATACAAATAAATGGAAATATGAAGAGGAATAGCTAGAGGGGTAGTAATAGAAGTTACATTAACATGATAAAAAGCTCATCTTGCCCAACCTTGTCCATACTGGGAGCGTTGAGGCGCATGATGGAGGCATGGGCCAGCTTGTCGAAGACTGTGCGGAGAGCGCGGCGGCTGTACAGCTCCTGGGGCTTGAATAGCTCCTCCACGAAGCGACGGTTCAGCATGATGCCAATGATGTCATTGCGTACTGTTAGTAGAAGAGTGCGGAAAAAGGATGTTCTTCATTTGAACAGTATCACATTGTTTTTTCCCTCCATCTCAATCTCTCAATTCCAAGTAGAGGACTAACCAGTGACAGTAGTTAACTCAAAAGTTTACTAAACAAAAATTGTATATTTTTTCTGGGACGAGCCATTCAAGGTGGGATAATTATCTACATCTATAAGAGAATATCTGTTCAAAGTTGCAAGCCAGACGCCTGGGGGTTAGCCTCGCCTAATTTTACAGGATGACTGGTGTGGGGGATGGTCATAGGTAGCTTGAGGTTGACTTTCATGCTGGCCCATTTTTTTTACATGAAACGGAAAATTATCCCAGTTTCTAAGGGTAGGGAAGGTGGTGAAGGGTAGGGAAGTTCGTGAAGGATAGGGAAAGTAGTAAAGTCATGACAATAATTCTTAGCATACCAAAAACGATCAAAATATCAAATCCACAAAAAGAACTAAGTGTTTCTAGTGTTAAAACTAGAATCTAGGATTTTTAAGGCCATTGGGAATCGAACAGCGATCCTGCAAGAATCCAAGGGTATATAAGAACAAAACAAGAAAAAAAGGTCACTGACCTTTATTAGCTCGATCAGGCAATATGTTCTGAGCCCTGAGACGCTGGTCAATAATGTACAGCATCTCTCCGCCCAAGTTGAGGAACTGGAGAGGCAGTGCTCGCAGTGACATCTAGATAACTTGGTCCCTGTTGTGTGAAGAGGCACCAGCGGGTGAGACGGAGTCATGTTATTTACTTATTTATTGTTGAAATGTTCTTCCTGTAGTGTTTGGCACCCAGCCGGCGAGTGTTGTTTAATGAGCGACTGCGACTTGCAGCCTATGGTGTGTATGTGCAGTGATACATGTTGCAGTCTATGGTGTGTATGTGCAGTGATACATGTTGCAGCCTATGGTGTGTATGTGCAGTGATACATGTTGCAGTCTATGGTGTGTATGTGCAGTGATACATGTTGCAGTCTATGGTGTGTATGTGCAGTGATATGTGTTAAATGACCTTTATACCTATACAGTACTTGTATACCCATTCTACGTAAACAGGCGATGAGTCACAATAACGTGGCTGAAGTGTGTTGACCAGACCACACACTACAAGGTGAAGGGACGACGACATTTCGGTCTGTCCTAGACCATTCTGAAGTCGATTGTGAAAATGGTCTCTCAATCTCACAATCGACTTGAGAATGGTCCAGGACGGACCGAAACGTCGTCGTCCCTTCACCTTCTAGTGTGTGGTCTGGTCAATATTCTACGTAAGTAAAGGCACATGCATCCGAACACAGTAGTTGTGCCAAATGATGGGGTAAGGGTGGGGGGGGGGGGTTCCGGGGAAGCTCCCCAGGCCGGCTGGCGCAAAGCCCCATTCCGTACTCCCCTGTGCTTGCGGGGGTTAAGCTCTGGCTCTTTGGTCCCGCCTCTCAACTGTCAATTAACTGGTATATAGATTCTGGACCCTATTTGACTATCATATCTAAATTTGAAACTGTGTATGGAGTCAGCCTCCACCACATCACTGTCTAATGCATTACATTTGTTAACTACTCTGACACTGAACAAATTCTTTCTAATGTCTCTGTGGCTCATTTGGGTACTAAATTTCCACCTGTGTCCCCTTGTTTGTGTTCCACCCGTGCTAAATAGTTTGTCTTTGTCCACCCTGTCAATTCTCCTGAGAATTTTGTAGGTGGTTATCATGTCTTCCTTTATTCTTCTGTCTTCCAGGGACGTGAGGTTTAGCGCCCTTAGCTTTTCCTTGTAGCTCATACCTCTCAGTTCTGGGACTAGTCTGGTGGCATACATCTTTTCTAACTTGTGTTTAACTAGGTAGTCTCCAGGTTGAAGCTGCATACTCCAGGATTGGTCTGACATAAGTGGTTTTACAAGGTCCTGAACGACTCGTTACAAACGTTTCTAAAGGCAGTTCTTATGTTGGCCAATCTAGCATATGCCGCTGATGATATCCTTTTGGTATAGGCTTCTGGGAACAGGTTTGGTGTGATATCAACCCCATGATCTTTCTCTCTCATTTTTGCAGAATTTCACCTCCCAGATGGTACCTGGTGTTCAGCCTCTGCTCCCTTCGCCTAACTTCATTACTTTACACTTATCTGAGTTGAACTTTAGTAGCCATTTTCTTGACCATTCCTTTAGTTTGTCCGGATCGTCCTGTAGTCTCCGTCTATCGAGCGTTGTTCAGTGATTATGCACCCCATACCCATCCCGTGAGCATTGTTCAATGATTATGCACCCCATACCCATCCCGTGAACATTGTTCAATGATTATGCACCCCATACCCATCCCGTGAGCATTGTTCAATGATTATGCACCCCATACCCATCCCGTGAACATTGTTCAATGATTATGCACCCCATACCCATCCCGTGAGCATTGTTCAATGATTATGCACCCCATACCCATCCCGTGAACATTGTTCAATGATTATGCACCCCATACCCATCCCGTGAGCATTGTTCAATGATTATGCACCCCATACCCATCCCGTGAACATTGTTCAATGATTATGCACCCCATACCCATCCCGTGAGCATTGTTCAATGATTATGCACCCCATACCCATCCCGTGAACATTGTTCAATGATTATGCACCCCATACCCATCCCGTGAGCATTGTTCAATGATTATGCACCCCATACCCATCCCGTGAACATTGTTCAATGATTATGCACCCCATACCCATCCCGTGAACATTGTTCAATGATTATGCACCCCATACCCATCCCGTGAACATTGTTCAATGATTATGCACCCCATACCCATCCCGTGAACATTGTTCAATGATTATGCACCCCATACCCATCCCGTGAACATTGTTCAATGATTATGCACCCCATACCCATCCCGTGAACATTGTTCAATGATTATGCACCCCATACCCATCCCGTGAACATTGTTCAATGATTATGCACCCCATACCCATCCCGTGAGCGTTGTTCAATGATTATGCACCCCATACCCATCCCGTGGGCGTTTATTTATTATGCGGCCATGCACCGGGCAACACAAATCACTCCACAACCATCATCTCTCATACCAGGAGCGGTAAGCAAGCCAGGCATGACAAAGCTGATCTCTGAATTTCTACCTGAATTTACCTCAGGGCCACTAACACTCCAGTGGCATCGACGAGGACAGGAAACCGGCAGTTTGTCAAAATTCCGCCCCCCCCCCTATTTATCCTGATCATCTCATTGAAACTTTTAAAATAATGAACAGTTTGGAGGATGTTGATCTGGACAACTTCTTCAGAAGGTCAGATGTAACACAAACAAGGAGCAACGGTTCCAAGCTCAACAAGCCACAGTGTAGGACTGAAGAACAGAAGAGCCTTTTTCACCCACAGGGTTATTATTAACCCGTGGAACCGCCTACCCGCCCAAGCCACAAATACCAAAACACATAAAAACATGTTTGTAATCGTTGTTATGATAAACCTATATTGACTGTTATGCAAGTTTAGTGTTCCAGCGCTTATATTGTCTATTTCAATCATAACATTTCTGCTGCATTTTTAATGTTTATAGCTATTGTGTGGGAGCTTAAGACTTAACTGAAACATTGTAATAAAATATAAATATTATATATATATATATATATATATATATATATATATATATATATATATATATATATATATATATATATATATATATATATATATATATATATATATATATATATATATATATATATATATATATATATATATATATATATATATATATATATATATATATTCGATAATGGAATGTTAATTATCATTCTGTAACAACAATGCACTTTACCCCTGGCAATTATATGTAATATAAACATTTTACAGATACATGTGTGCCAAAGTAAACAGGCATATAGTAATATTAATATTTACGGAGTATCCCGGGAGAGATGTAGATAAGACAAGAGTCCAACAAGTAGACTAGTACGGGTCGTGTGGATCCCGGCGACTGTTTACTCTCTAACTCAATAATCACAATTGAAACTTACAAATAGTTATGGCATACGATCTCCTAAGTGCAATCATAATATTTTGTATGTAATAATATTTATTTAGATGAATACAAAATAAAATATGTACACTAAATATTAAGTAATTAATTTTATCGTTGTTTTAAAGAAAAACATTTGTGTTAAAAAACTTTACTAACGCATTCGTAACCATGGCAACATCACTGCATGCCATAGACTGAGTCACAGCTATCGAACCCCTCCAGCGAACTTTCAAGTTTCTCGCTCTCTTGTGCTGTACCTAGATTTTGCTGGTGGAGGCTAATAGATCAGTCTTACATTTCATGTTCTCTCCTGATTTTTAGTCAGAGTTGATTTGTTTTTGTACTGAGGCTAGTATTTTCTCCCATGATTCTATGTATTACTAAACATCCTGTGTGATGGGAATATTAGATGAACTTATAGCTAGTTTTTGATCTACACTGTGTAATCTCTCATATAGAATGGGGAAGCAGCACATTGCTATGTATACCTAAGCGTGTTAATACAAAAATTATTAATTACCAATTATATTTGGCTTGCAAACACACTGCAAATACTGGGGTCGGGGACGTTGTGGTTCCCGTACATGCAGGCTACATTTTTAACATCTTATACATCCTAATGAGCTTTGTGTCGTGGTTGTGATTTGTTGGCGGGAAAATGTGTCACAGAGTAAGTTTACTTGTAAGGGTGCAGGGAACAAGGTAGTGTTGCTCACAGGGTGTAATTAAGTCTGTCGAAGAGCGTATACTAGCTTAAAAAAATCCTCAGGAAGGAGATCCACTCAAGGAAATGGATTGAGAATGACTACATAATTAGTGTCATTATTCACGATTGGTTTAGGTTTCATTAAGTTTGGTTACATTAATGCGGTATATATTATTGATGATATTGTGAAATATGGAATTAAACAATTATTTCAGTGTACCAAAGAACTCCGTTAACAGAAAACCAAATTCTTCAAACGAAAAGTTTTCAGCAATTACTTTTAATGTTTTATAGCAATGATTTATATTACAATGAAGTTATAACTTGAGAATAGTCTCTGTTTATGACAAGGTTGACATGCCAATTTACATGTACACTATTACTGGAACCATAATATGGTTTCAGACCGTGACAAATATCTACATAACATGTCAGGTGGTTTGAAGGTCGGAGTGATTTCTCATAGTAATGGATTTGCTATGAGGACGGGCTCACAGATGTGTGGTGGAAGTGGTCGCTGGGCTGTGGGTGTATGGTAGAAGTGGTCGCCGGGGTGCGGTTGTGTGTTGTGGTAGGCGAGCTGGGAGGGCGACAGTCTCGGGTATGGAGGAGTGACGCCGCCACCAGTAACTGTGCCAGGATATATCATGGTCAGGTTCAAGAAGCGGTAAGGTGATGGTCTTGTGTACTACGGTTAAGCTCACGGTAATTACCTGGAAATACACTCAGTTCGTGTATCATTATCACGTGTGCTCCTTCTCTTTTTGTTTCAGCTACAAATTGATGTACACAGCAGTATGCTTCTGCCTTATTTTACAGGATATAAGTTTCGGTGCCTACCTTGTGGTGGGTCCGAGGATCAACCCCTCTGCGGCCCGGTCTCAGCCTAGGCCTCATGGTTGGTCGTTTGGTCAACCAGGCTGTTGAGCGCGCCTGCTTTCTTGTATGTTTCTTATGGTAGATGTTGGTCAGTATAAAAAAACATAATATTTACCTGAAGGTCACTCTCTCTCTCAGTGTCCTTGACGAGGACAGGAAGCTGGTGGCTTGTCGAAGGTCCCCTTCCTAGGTTGTCTTGATTTTGTCGAGCTAGATTTTTAATTAACAGTATTTTGGGATTTACATCTCCTGCGAGTTTTCGGTTCCATGGGTTTATGACCCTGTGGGTGTAAAAGCATATACTGTTTTCCGTTCTGCATTGTGGCTGGTTGAGCTTGGAACCGTTGCTCCTTGTTTGTGTTACATCTGACTTTCTGAAGAAGTTGTCTGGATCAATATCCTCCAAATGATAGAGCTTAGTTTTTATTCAAATTTATACAGTATACTGAATTACTCTGGTTTTTATTTATAAATTGTAATATAAATTAATGCACAGGAAGTAAAAACTATTTATATTTAACACACATTCAAATGATTTACACATATTATTTATAGAGTAAATAATTTAGTTATTTATTCTAGGTACTTTATTGTGGAAGTGACGCCAGAAATCCCAACGCACTTTCACAGGAACGGACTTCAGGAGGCAATAGTTTCAACAGTAAAAAGACTTCATGGTGATTATGGTGTTGCAGCAACCACGCCGGGCTTCCGTGGTATGTTTACATTATAACTTCAAAACTACGTGAAAGCAGTATGTTACGTGACCAGCTTGAAATCATCACTATTATGATCATGCATACATTAATGTAAACAAATTTATATCACAAAAAATCACAATGTGTGATGTATCAATGAAAATCATTTTGAGGCAATTGACTTTCACTAGTGTTCAGGGCACCAGCCTGAACTGACTCAAGCATACCTAGAGAGGGTTTCAGTTTTTTTTACTCCCCGAGCCCAGCCTAGGGCCAAGCTCAATGGTGGCCATCATGAACCAGTTATGATGGGCAAAAGTCAACCAGCCTGGAACTCAACTGAATTTAGTAGGTGGTGCTGGAGGCCCCGAACCAGACCCCAACCAGGATTTTACAGTCAATCTGCCCTCACTCTGGCCTCCTTGAAGCAAGATAGCTTCAAAGAGCCTTCAAAGCTCTACCAAAAAAGAAGCCTTTCATTAAATTAAACACTTTTCACCAAGTTATTCTTTAGCTCTCATTCTCCCAATTTAAAAGAAATTGTTAACTATTATATACTGTGTATAGAATTCATTACATATTTAAATCTTCATTGATTCACAGCAATCCATTTAGCATGCAACACCTTTGCAGTTTTTATGTATGACAACATATTCCTTCAAATCTGTTCCATTTTTCAGTTAAGTACTTGAATACCGAGACACGTATAGCATTTATTAGTGTGGGACGTGGTCCACATCAGCTAGTGGCCTCGGCTCTGCCCCTCATCACCAAGATCAGCGGTCAGGCAGCCACAGTGCGAACTATTCATCTTGCAGCCTCAATGAGACATGGCTTTCTGTTTGTGAAGGTTAGTCTGTTGATTGCATGTAGCATATAACCTTAAATATATTATTTGTGTTATTTATGGTTAAGGGAGTTCAGTTAGTTTATGAATTCCATAACTATGCTGTGGGAAGTGGCAGAAAGGTTACTCGCATAATAGGTTCATGAACTGGACTCCAATGCCCTTTAAACTAATTCATTAACATTTATGGTAAATTAGTTACATATCTCATTTGCTTCAAAATGTGATCATATTATTAGGGTATTAGTTTAATTACAGTATACTATGTATATAGTTGTGGGGCCTTCAAATGGCACCCACAAGAACAAGGCCAAAGATGGCCGGCACTTGGCTTCAAGCAGCGGGGCATGCCACTGCTGAAAGACCCAGAACAAAAGTGTACAGCAAGACATTATAAAAAAACTGGCAAAGCTGCCTGCAACAGCTGGGCAGCCTGGTGGTGGCATTTGGTATTAGGAGCTATGCTCTAATTTTGAATGTTTCTCTCGCTCAGTGTGAATCATTTGCGGAGTTGTTTGGCATTTTCACAAAATTGGTCTTTGTTAACCTTCCAGTTGTCTGTTAAGTCTGACTTTCTGGATGCTTTCCCAGTGTGGTGGCAAATTGTCAAACTCTGCCTTTGTGAGGGAAAGGGGGAGGACCAGGTTTTGGTGCTTCTCTCTAGTAGGCCAAACAAAACTAGTCTAATGTGACCTATTTGCATGGAGCAAGAGAGCTTGAGAGAGCCACTGGGGGCTCCCCTAGAAAATGAAATTTGAGTTAAATTAACCAACTCCTGAAAAAAAGCAGCTCCAAGCAAGCTAGCCAAGCCAATACTTCAAGAGGAACAAGTCTCACAAAAGTGAATGCAAGTTCAGAAACATGCCCTCAATGCAGAAATCCAAAAGTTTTAAATACGAGGGTCAGAAGAACAACTGCCACTGCAGATAAGGGGAAAAACTGAGCTTAAAGCAAGTAATAAGAATGCATTGATTACAGACTGTATTTAAGGAAATGATCCTTCCTCACCGAGAAGCAAGAAAAACAGACCAATCTCTTGGACATTACAAGCAGAACCTCCTCAGTACCTTCATGTAGAAGTCTACCAGCTAGCCATAAATAGGTGAAATGTCCGCTTCCCTTTCAAACTGCATCAGGGAAATAAACCTTAAAGGAGCAGGAAATAAGACAAGGAAACCTTCCATGGTAGCAACTGTGGTTATCTTGCTTTGCATAACTTTCCCTGCAAATTTTCCCAGGACATTTAGCACTGCCCACCAGCTGTGAGGAAGTGGACCCAGTACAACATGCCTAAAAGCAAATGTAGACCCAGTCTCAGAAAAAAAGTATAGTTCAGATGTGTGGTTTTTATAGCATTGTACAAAAAACTCTGGGCTCCCAGCCTGCATAGCAGTAAGGCAGACCAACTTACATCCTTGAACAGCCAGTTATCTTTGTAGAAATGATAAACCGAGTTCAAGGCCAAAACATAGTTATCTAATGAAGTGAGATTTGGTAACTGCAACCTTCCCTCGTTGGAAGATGTCCCCTTATGTCCTCAAAGAGGAAGAACTTAGGTTTTCCTGTGGAGCTCAAAGATAAGATAACCTAATTGCTGTTAGTGTGAATATTTATGAAAGCAAGTAATACCTAGCAGTAAATAGGTACCTGGGAGTTAGCTGTCACGGGCTGCAGGCCTGGTCGAGGACCGGGCCACGGGAACACTAAGCCCCGAAATCATCTCAAGATTGCAAAATACTGTACAACTTTTTTTACCATTTTTTTAATGGGTATATCATGTTTATTACATAATCACAATGTAAGATGGAGATAGTTAAATGGCTCCAGAGCATCATATTAAAAAAAAATTTTTAATGCCTTATAGGATAATCCGTATCTTTAACAATTAACATTTTTGGTTCTACGGGATTAACTTGCATATTTATTTTCTAATCTAAATAAAAATTATATAACAATATTCAGTAACTTGCTAAGCACCACCAGTTTCACTGAAATTAGATTTGTCATTACAGAAATACCATGAAGAAAAAATCATGAAATTAGAAGAGAGCCTGAGTGGTGGTGAGAAGGTCCGCTGGAAGCAAGAAAAGGACAGGCTACTAAGTCGCAAGTGATACTTTCCAACATTGAGAACTAATTAAGTGTTCTAAGATGAGAACTTGTTTGCTACAAAGTTTAATGGAAGCAAGTGTTATAGATGTGCAATAGTACAAAGCCCAGTACTTCACTTATTTTTTACCTCCAGAATTAAACTTTGGTAACCTTAACCATGTTTTTCAATATACACACTACATTTATTAACCTATTCAATAATGAATGATACTAATGAATAGTATTTGTGAAGTGAAGTAATAATCCTGACCATGACATTGCTTGTTTTATTTTTGTTCAAAGTATCCTAAGTAGTTTCATAGTTTGTTTTCCAGATGTCATTAAAAAAAAGTTACGCAGATAATTTTTTTAAGTCAAATTAATTATACTAACAATACCCTGTTTATAGATTACAATATTTACAAGACATTAATTAGAACTCTATTTCTTAACATTTAAAGAATTTATTTGGTAAGAAAAGAATGTGTAGTATCAGAATGGTAGCACACATTGGATATGGTTTGATCTGTTGCAACCCTTACAAGGTTTTAATATAAAATTATGCCAAAGAAAATTTCTGAATATTAGCAATCATAAATTTTGCTGCATTAGGATTTTTCTTACCTGTAAATGCTCTAATTTAATGTGACAAAACTTTTGTGGCCGTATACTAATTTTATCCTGAAATAGGGATATGAATGGGAAAAAAGTTAGAATTCAACATTTAATATCAACAATAAGTACAATAAATACTGGTGATAACTGATGATAAATTAGTAGCAGTAGGCAATTGGGCTGTGAATGAGTGACCAGTGCAGTGCAGACCATGTCTAGATAAGTAATGGGAGCCAATAGCATTGTACTGATATGTGGCACAATACAAATTAAAAGGTGCTTTTGAAAGGAAAATTTGAATATTTTTCCTATAGATCAGACAATTAAGCCTAGACACATTTAGAGAGCATAGCAATCTGGCGGGGGGGTGGATGGAAATAGAAGGCAAAAGACCTGTGTGTGAAAGAAGCAGTTCAGTGCTGAAGATAATATTCAATGGATGGCTGTATGAATAAAAAAATTAGGTACTTTTTATAAAAATACAATACACATACAGTACAATATATCTATACTTCAGCAACACATTACTACCATCTGGACTGTTAATATTATAGATTAGGACTGTGAATTTTAATATTTAAACATTACTGAAAAAAAGTTAAATTTAATGAAATGCCAATTTCTGGATAAGTCCCAGTGGCTCCCTGAAACTATCATCACTGTTAATGCACCAAATAATAGGTCGCATCAGCTTTCGGACCAGTGCCATAACCTAGCTCCCTCACAGGTGAAGGAAATGCACCTCTTCCCTTTTCATTCCAAGAAAAACTCAGTCCCCCAAGACACCGTGCTTGCTCTGGTACTTTTCCTTATATCAGAGAAGGATATAAACTATAGCACAGTATCATCCTTTGCAGATGACACGAGAATTTTCACAAGTAGACAATATAAAGGACACGGCAAACCTCCAATCTGACGTTAATAAAGTCTTTCAGTGGGCCACAGAAAATATCATATTTACTGCAATATGAAAACAAAAGTATCAAAACAGAAACCAGGTAAGTCAAATCATATCATTGAAAGAAAATGCACTGTAAAAAAAATTTGTTGTTGGTTGAGGAGCGATGACGATTGAGGAATCAGATATGCCTGTATAAGATAGAAAGGGTAATGTTGGAAGACCTTACTTATAAAGACCACAAAGTAACTCACAACTGCAAGAAAAAATTACAGGTTCTTGTTATGTAACCTTTCAAACAAGAGATGCCATAACAATGATACTCTAAGAAATTAGTGCTCTAAGGTGGAATATTGTTACCAACAGCCCCATTCAAAGCTGGAAAATTTGTTGACCTGGTGAGCATGCAAAGATCTTTTACTGTTAAAATCCACTCAATAAAACATTGGGACCACTTAGAAATTTTAAATTATTCCCAAGAACACAGGTGGGAGAAAATAAGTAAAACTTTGAAAATACTAGGACTGGTTCTAAATCTAGAAGTAGAAATAACACCAAATGAGACCAGAAGGCATGACAGGATGTGCAAAATAGCCCGATTGAAAAGCAGAGGTGCAATAGGCCTGCAGAGAGAGAATTCGATCAACATCAAGGACCCAAGACTTTTCATCACACTTTCCCCTACAAATACAGAGCGTAACTGGCCAACTTCTCTGTGATCATAAGAGAACTTTACAAACATCTTCAAATGATATATGATCAACCAGGCAGTGAATCATGTCAGACTGCAGGCAGCTGCATCGAACAGCCTGGTTGATCAGACCATTAACCAGGAGGCCTGGTCGGGGACCGGACCACAGGGACATTGATCCTTGATATCATCACCAGGGAGTGGTTAACACTTATCAGCAGTAGTAGTAGGTTCAGGGAGCCACAAAGGGGGGTCCACACACAAAAAACAATTCAGTCAGCAGATAAATTAGCATGGAACATATTTCTCAGTGCAATGCAATAATCCTTGCAGAGTTTAATTAAAATATCCCTCAATTACATGACACTTACTTTTATACTATACCAGCTCCTACAATTTGTTAATGCATACTTTGTATTTGCTGAAGCCTTTAGCAAGCCTTCTTTATTTACTGGTTATTGTACTTTTATTTTCCTTCACAGAGAGAATTCCCATGATACTTCCCTTTTTCTTTAGTCTCCCAAGTTTCTTGTTGCATAACTGGCATTTATTCATCAAATACCTTGCCACATTCAGCAGGAAATTTGTTTTACACCCTCACTGCTACCCGTCCTTACAATTTTGTTATATATTTAAAATTCTTATCATTGCAATGCTAAGTAACTCTTGCCGTGGCATTCTTCTTAAATTTATACCAAGAATTTAAATAAAATTATCTTCAATCTTCTTATACTAAGTGCATTACAATAATAACTTAATCCAAGTAAGTTTACACCAAAACATTGCAAGCATTGCAATTTTGAGATTAAGATTTGAGATTAATCCCTTTGAGATTAAGTCAAAATATAAATTGTGTGCAAAAGTTAGTGTAGCTACATTTTATACACCAAGACAAATTTAGGTACAATCCACCTCGTCGTCTAAGGTGCCAGTAGCTCGGTCCAATAGTTCCTTAAGAGCAGGTGGCAACTGTGCTTCAGGTGAGGAATCCTTTAGCCACAAATTGAAAACTTCCTTTCCACTGGCTCTCTTAACTTTTGAATCCTTTGTGGGACTACCTTTGAGCTTCATCTTGCCTTTACCAAAATCATTTTGCCATTCTTGTAGAGCTACATCAAGATTATCATTATCACTATCGTAATCACTTATGTTAAGGTCAAAGCTACTATCATCCTCGTCTTCATTTTTACTCGCATCAGCTTTTACTCCCAGTGTATTTAAAGGGTCTACCCCTCTAGTTGGCTCAATACTTACTTCAGAATCTTCTGAAACAATTTTATTCTCCTCAGTTTTGCTAGAAGCAATTGAGGCATCACTCAGGTCACTGCTTGATTTGTCTTCTTTGAGTTTATTGCTTATCAATTTTCTCCTAAGCTGGACTTCTCTTATATAAGAGTCCAATTGGTCAATTGGTATTATTTCTTCAAGTTCATCCTCAGGGTTTACGTACGTCGACATTCTTGTCTCGTGGATATTCTGTGCATTTGTTTCCTTAGAAGACACACCATTAACTGCTAACAATCCTTTGCTTCCAGTAGTTTTACCGGCTTTAGTCACATTAGTTATTAAAGATCTATTCCTTGGCCCATCAGATGTAACAGTGTTCTCTGGTATTATTTCTTCTTCATTGTCACACACTGTACCTTGCACTGCTTTCCTGTGTTGGTTAATAATGGTTTCCTCCTCACCTGCATGTGCTGCTGTTTCATATTCACCATTGCGTTCGACCCCTGTTGCTGCTGCTGTGTTATCGTTAGGTACTATTGAAACATCATTTAAGGAACTACTTGCAGCATCTAATTTTACTTTAGTATTTGGAACATCTAAGATATTTTCACAGTTTCTGCCTAAACTTTCTCCATTTGCAATACTGTTATCTTGTAAACTGTCATCACATTTACCATTTAAATTCTCATTATTTAAGTCTTCATTACACTTTCTTTCTCTTGGATCCTGTCCTAAACTTGTTACACAAACAAATTTTGCAACCCGAGGGTCATGAATGACCTTCTCTTCATTATACCTTGTTATTGGTCCTGCTGGTGGAGTGTAACCATCCATGAGGCCCAGCGAGGCTAGCTTTAGTTCCGCTGCTACAGTAACTGTACTTGCACCTGGCTCATCCATTTTCATCTCTTCAAGGCTTACAATTGTGGACAATCTTCTTTCCAGCTCTGATATTCTTCCCACCAAAACTCTGTTAAAAAAGTTCCACATCAATATTTATATCTGCAAAACCTTATTTACATTTTAAAATTATTTTTTAGATAAAAAATAAGTAAGACAATTTAGCAAACTATACCATATTAAATGTAATGATTTTTTTTTACTAGTGAAACAAAGCCTGTTTCCATGTAAATATTGTCCCCACCTGAAGATGAATTTATTATTACTGTAGTAGCTTGTTGGCACAGAATTGTGTCTTTGCAATTCAATATGTCTAAGATTAGTAATACTAAATTTTCTTTATATAAAGAAATCACACTAACATGTATATCAATGAGAAAAACAATTGGCGCAATGAGATGACTCGAACCAACTCTGGATTGTACGGTTGAAAAAGTAATTTGCCTTCACCACAGTGCTTGGGGGTTGTATGTAAAACTTGGACTGGTTTCAATAGAAGTCTCCAGACTTCCTGTGGAATCCCAGATTCTAAAACGTGTACCAAGTCACAGTACAGATGTAAGGTGTGTGATTGGGAGTTCCCTGATTGGTAGTTTGAGTCACCACATTGTTCCAATTGATTTTCTCACTAAATCTTCTACATATTACTGTATATGTATTAATTACTGCTGAACAAAGAATGCTAGTAATTAGTTAGAAAATATTTCTTAATAGCCTTTAAGGTTTCCCTTTTGCCTGGTATTTAGTGTACTGTACTTACCAACTGAGAATCATTAGGCAAATCTAAATCATACAGTATGCCGATGAAGCATCGAAAGCCCAAGACTGTTCAATACGCTCCCACTACACATAAGGGGCATATCTGGCTGGGCTCTCACGGTATTCAAAAGAGAACTTTATATACATCTCCAAATGATACTTTATCAACCAGGCTGTAATTCACATGTGAGGCTGCGAGCAGCCATGTACAACAGCCCGGTTGACCGGACTACAAATTAGGAGGCCGGGCCACAGGAACATTGATCCTCAGAATCATCGCAAGACTAAGTACAGTACATAATTACAATTCTATATTATAGTCTTTCATGCACCAATGTGGTCAAATAAGGTGAGGCTGGATAAATAAACAAATAATGTAAGGTAGAGAGGTCCTTGTAGTGAACATTTGAAACTATGCTGTTATTGGGCAGAAAACATTTGAAACTCCTGCCATCTGAGAACCTAGCTCTGGTTATGCACAGTACTGCATTCCCCATGGAAGAGCTGTTTTCCCAATAAAGTAAAATATCATGTCATATCTAAAAGAAAAATTCCAAGTACTGTACATTCTATGATTGGAAAACATAAGATGCAATGAGGCGACTTGAAACAAATATAAGTGTTAAATGTGGAAAGCCAGTTAAAAAAAAATGAGATGTTTTTTAAGATGTGGAATCAGAAAAAAGCATTGGAATCTTTTAACGGATGAAAATAAACATGTGCACACAATTGTAACTTGGGTGAGAGCAAAGGCTAACTACGGTCGTACCAGCAATGGACCTAGGAGGGCTAGAACAATTTCTGTCACAATGTTCAAATACTCAGCATAAAGGAAAATTACTTTACATGTAGAATAATGGGCATTGATCATATGAATTCATCATTATAGTAACTTACTTATTGGCCGAGCGTTGGGTTCGTAATGCTCGAGATCGCTGGTTAAGAGCATCAACAAGTGCTACACACAGAGACCTCAGATCACTCTCTGCTGCACCTCCCACTTCCCCACGGTAGTCATGAAGCAACTCGCCCACTGATTGTAAAAATTTGTGGGTCACTTGGAAAAAAATCTTGAACAATGGAAATATGATAACAATCACACTCTTCAGTACAAAGATTTGGTTCTACTACATTAAAAGGGAATACAATGACTTCCTTAGTTGTTATACTGTTGCATATACATAAAATGTTAGTCTGACTAAAGTTCTATTTCCATAGAATGTTTAGACTACAAGATAATGAAGTGGAAGTGAATATAATCATACCTACGGTATTAATATAAGTGTTATGAGAAAACTAGCATGATTACTGAAAATTAGTTAGCTGTGTAATTTAATATATTAGTAGAGAAAATTTTCCACATGTTATATGCACACACAAGGATGACTAATGTCAGGTGTTTTATAGTGTACAGTGGTACCTCACCTAAATGGAACCTGATCTGTTCCATTTTACCCAAGGATTTTGATCCACCAAGAGTTTTGCTATTTATTGCAAAAATAAGTTGTCCTTGTGTAACAGAAATTTCTTTTGTGAATATATATATAGAAAGATATATATATAAACAAACTATGTAAAGTATTTTAAATGTACATAAAGGTAAAATGTAGGGAGAAATGATAAAAGTTAGGGAAAAAATAGACATCAAATTCTACTTAAAATTTGAAGAGTATTAATCCTTGTTACTGTTTAGCAGGAATGTGGATATACAGAATACACTTTTACAAAGTATTCAACACAAAACATGTTACAAAACTGCCACACTTGCTGTATAAACCATGTATAAGCAGCCTGACTTAACTCCTTATGCTTGGATTACTTTCTTACTAGTTCTCTCACTTCCTCACTTTTTTTTTATTAGATTATTTTATACAAATATTTATTGTTGTACTATTTTCCTATCTTTGGTGAATGCTAAAGTAAAAACTTTCAAAACAAAATATACAGTATTTTTTCAGTATAATACAGTTTGTGGCCCAGTTAACCAAGACAGTTTGGTGTAACTGTCACCATACTTCACATCACTAGAGTTTGTCCACTGGTCTATTGTTTCCGGCCACTACAGTTCATTCAAGCAAGCTTTCACTATGCTAAAATACACAAATGAAGGTACTGTACAGTCATTATGGTTACTAATGAATTTTTTTTTATCACAAGTAATGACTAATGAGATTAAACATCAAACTTTCTAGAATCCACTAACACAATGTTAAAATATTATATTTTTCAATTTATTTATCATGTTATGCAATAAGGAGTCTCAATTCTCTTAAAAACTGATCAAAATGAAAGTACAGTACTGTGTAAGTATGAAGTCATACTGTCAATCACAGATGTAAGCAATATATTCATATTAAATACATAAGTCAAAATGATTGCCAACGTCTTCAGGCCAAATTTACCTCTATAATTAGAACACATTTTACTTGAGAAGCAAGTAAATCCAAAACAACTGCCAATCCAATTTTCTTGCACAAGTACAAAATAAGATAAAAGGAGTAGTACCTTGTTGTGGTGTAACTATGAGGCTGTGTGAGGTGCCAAGTTTGAGTGAGCCCTGTGAGCGACACTTCTCCAGTGCAGCCTTATGGAAACACAAGACGAGACAAATGATCAAATGTGAGAGATGTCAGAAAGCTTTTGATTATCTACCAACTGATACACTCATAAAGCTCACTTAAGAATTCTTAATAAAAAATACACTAAACTTAATATTGCAAGCTAAATTAGCTGGTTTTAAGTAATAACATTCCATATAAGGAGTCACTTTTAATGAGTTGAAAGAAAAGGTTACATAGAGCTCATCTTGGGTGACAAAATGACCATTATTATTTTAATTACATCACCCCCATCTGACTGAAATATCAGTTTCTGACTATTTACAAATGTAATACACAAGCCATTTCACAAAACAATAAATTACATCTATGAGTTAGCACACGCATGAAAGTGTACGAGCATTTCCACTCAAAGTTTTAACAATTAACTGATGGTCTTCCTTCTTGAGTGTATCACTGTTGTAGGTATGAACTAAAAGTGTATACCTTCAACACAGTTAAATGTTATGTCATGCAATTAGTAAACTAAGATTACCAACTTAAAACTCTTAAAAGAATTAATGTGTTAATAATGTTAAATTGTCTAAGGTTAGAAATAAACAAGGCTAAAAAAAATGCTCATTGGCATGTATACAACATTACCCCATTCCCCACTTTCACATGCTGAAGGAGACACGAGCCCAGAGAAAAAAGATGAATAACTGTGAAAAGCAAGGTTACAGAGCAAGAAACAAAACAAAAATACAAATGTCACTCATAAGAACTACTACACTCGAGCAGTCATCCACTGCTTCAAGACCAGGTGTACAGTGCTCAGGAAATGTCATTTATAGGTACCGTGTAATAGCATGTCCCAATGATTGGAAACATTGCTTTTCCAATGTTCAATGTATCAAGTCCCTTGGTAAATCGGATACCTTTGACATTGCTTCTCTTGTGCCTTTTTTGCTCTCTTGTTCTGTGACATTGACAGTGCTAAATAAAATAGTCAAAGACCTGGTGAACTTGGGATATAATTGTCATTTGAAAAATGGGGCAAAGATGTACCAGTTCAGCCCCAAAACACCAGGTTTGAACCGGAGCTCTGCCGAGTCCTATTTCAAGACTGGGAAGAAACAGGACACCCACTGAAGCGATGAGGTCGTCTTGACCACCACAGAAGCAACCCACTCAGAAATTACCTGACCAAGACAAGAGAAGTAGCCTGCACAGAAAATCCCGACCTCTGCTTGGGAACAGAACTGATCAACTCAACTGGAGGTCACGTGAGATGCGAATAGCCCCATCAAAGGGGTGAACCGCATAAGGGCCAACAGGAAGCAGCCACAGAGGACAAGAACAAAGCAACCATCTTCTCCAGAAAGAGAAGAGGTAAAAATGAGGAGGTGGACTAGACGACCAGGGGGGCCCATGCCAAATTCAACGACTGGGCCACCACAGTCTGTTGACATACAAAGTGGGTGGCATAGAAAGCAATCACTGCCTCGCAGAGAATGGTCACATACAGCATGGCAAAAGCTACTGATAAAGCCAGAACAGACACTAAAACTTCCTCACTAAGCCCTGAGCTGAGCACCTCAACGTCCTTGCAGAGCCAAATCATAATAAGACCAGAACTGCACAACAGAAGCCAAGTGTGAGCAGGTATGAAGATCCTCCACCAATATTGTTCCTGACCCAGATCAAGACAGAGGGGCCACAAGACCCCTGACTCACCCTTGGCAAGGGCCACCTCAAGCAAGGAGGACCCTCCAAAGAAACAACCCCAAAATACACTAGAGAAGATAACTGTCAGTCTAAGTGCAATGCTAAGGCGCATCCAGGAAAGGCAGCCCAGTGTGGTTGGAGCACATGCAGCTCCACCCACACTAAATGCCAGGCTCATGCTGCACAACTGTGTACACAGAAATTCTGCAAAGGGCAAAGACCTAAAAGCACTTAGCTAAAAAGGTGGAGCCTGCACAGCAGAGAGAGAGAACCTGGGAACCCTACAGCATTCATGTGGTTGTGACCACATCTGATAGTCCAAGCCCTTGGAGGGTATGGGCCCCTCCCCCTTGCCCCTCATGTGAGTGGGGGAGATGGGAGTGAACAATCACATGTAGTTTCAAGAGATTCTAGTTTCTTTACTTTAGTTGGGGAAGTTTATTAAGCAAGTTGCAAGACTTTGGTCTCTCTTGAACCCAGGAGTTGTGTGTTTTGGTTCACTGACTTTTCTAGATGCCTTCTCCAGTGAGTTGCTGGACTGATCTCCCTGTGCCTCTTTGAGGGAGCCAGGTTCTGGCTCTGATCCCCAAAAGGCTTAAGAACTCCACAGCTGATGCAACCTAGTTGAAGTCGCAGTACTTTGTAAAAGTAGGGAAGGAACCATCAAGAGATAAAAGTGGTTACTCTTTCACTTCCTCGAAGGTACTATAGCACTGGGCAGCTGCAATAAACTGATTTACTGGTCTGAGCTTAACAATTTGTCTTTTATTCTTTTTCACTATTAGTGTATAATATTAAGTATACTGTATACTACAATATATAGTGTATTGCAAACTATTTCACTTTCTTCTGGAGTATTTTATTTTTACTCTTAACTGTGAAATACAAGAGAATGTTGTGTAATGGTGTCAACTATAATATTCTTATATACTATATGTATGAGCACACCTTACTTTATCTTAAACCATTCTTTTGAAATACTTTATAGTTCAAGCATGGGGTATCTTGCTTCACTTAATTTGATAATCAAAACCAATACAGTATTACAATTATAGTTTAAAGTTTCCAGGCACTGCTGTTAGTTTGTTGATACTTTAAGCATTAAATATGATGGACATTCATTAAATTTAATAGTAAATAATTGTCCATAGCCATACCTTATATTTTGAGGCATTACTTTTTGCTAAGGCTTTTTCTTCTTCCGACTGTTTCAGACGTTGTTGTATGTATCTGGAAGAGAAGACGACAAAGCATTAACTTCACATAAACTTATCATATTTACCAACCAGGGCAAAGCACACAAATTTTATGAGGGTCACTGCATATCATACTTTACTGAATAAGGAAACAAGAACATCAAATACTGGACAATCTCCTTGGCTGAAGTTCAGTTTGGGGGATGGGATTGTAGAGGCTAAAATACATAATATTTTGTAGAGCAACATATTGTATTGGAGAATACAGACTGTAGTCACATATAGCTCTGAGGGATAGTAATTAATAATATATTAGCCTTATTTCCTGTTTAAATAGGTAATTAATTGTTATATTGGGTCTGTCATTGTTATTATTTTGTTGTAAATGTTAATGCAATAACAGCATTAACATAGTGATTTCTAATAGAGAATAAACTGTACATTATTTAATTTACAACATACAATAATTACTGTGTAATAATGTTTAAATAGTAATTACAGTTACTTTACCAATTAGTGTTACAGTGAACATACACACACATACACACACACACACACACACACACACACACACACACACACACACACACACACACACACAGACACATGTGGGCAGTAGAAATGCCAGACCAACCAACTCAATAGCAAGGCAAATTCTTGTAGTATTTTATATATATATATTTTATTTTGTAAAGATGGGATATTTGTCCTATTGTGGCCAAGTGGGTTAAGGCAGGTGTCTGAAAATCACCAGAACACCTATTCAAGTCACTTCAATGCCCCAAAATGATTTTCTCATTAGTGTACATGTATGTATAGATATGTATGTACACACACATTATATATATATATTTTGTAAACTTTACTTTTAAGGTTATAAAAATAAACCCATTGTAAAGTTCTAACCTAACATTGAGACTGATCAGTTTCCTGTCCAGGTATGTCCTCTGGGACATTGCCATGTAACTTGGCGTAGTTTATCGCAGTATCTCTGAGGAGGACCTGCTAGTTTTCAAAATGATTATATTGCTGTGTACCTGAAGTAAGGACGGGTGCAGACACTCATACCCTTATACGAGTAGAATGAAGCACATGCCCTTACATAGTCTGTTTGCATTCATGAACTGCTAAGCATCTATGTGTACTGTATTGTATGTATGCACAGATACCTGATCAACCAGGCTGTGACTCATACGTCAGGCTGCGAGCAGCCGCGTCCAACAGCCTGGTTGATCAGTCCGGCAACCAGGAGGCCTGGTCGACGACCGTGCCACGGGGACGCTAAGCCCCGGAAGCACCTCAAGGTAACCTCAAGGTAACAAATGTGAAATTCTGCATAAAAGTATACATAAATATGTATAGATAAGTACTTAATATGAAAACTTCAGATATATGGTGACTATGATTTATCTATGAAAGGATTCCGTCCACGCCACATTTGTGAATGGTAACTAACCTGTTTTCTGTTATGATGGCATCAAGATCTATGATACGTTTTGGAGGGGTTGGTGCGGCAGCTGAGATACTGGACAGAACTGTATTAAGAATGTAGTTGAGGCGATGGAGTTTATGTGAAGAGGCATCTAACTCCCTCACCAGCTCCTCTCGTTCTTCCACCAGGCCTCGCACGTCTCCCTCCAGAGCTTGGCACTAAAGTATGAATGTCACCCAAGACTAAACATTTTGTAGCAAATCACACAATTTTGTTGGGTGAGAATACTAGTTCAAGATTGCAAGGCAAGAAATAACTATGGAGCATATTTATCCACACATCATAACTGAATCAATACCACAGATCTTAGTTTCATCAAGATAGAATGATCTCTAAAGTCATGATTCTAATTGTTTTATAAATTACCCAACAGTACTAACTTTAACACTAAGCTCCTCCATCTGTGATATGAACTGTTCTCGCTCCTGATGAGCCAGATGACTCATAGTGGTGTGAATATGGCTTTTCCTCCTACCCTCGTCACCTCGTGACCGCTGCACCTCCTCACGTAAGACCTTATGAGTACATCAAGAAATATTTAGACAAAGTAATAACAGTAGGACGAGGCATAACTTGCACCCATTAAACTTATGGTTCATAATAGCAACATATGTTAATACCGGTACTGTGTTGCAAGAGGTCAGACATGTAGAAAAATGCAGAAAGAAGAAACAAAGCATTATGAAGTACAGTAGTGTCCATATACAGAATGCTGCCTCTTTTTACATGACTGACTGTGTCGAGGAAATTAATTTAATGAAAAAACATCAAGCCAAGCACCTAACCTTTATATCAGCTTGAGCATCATGCAGCTTACAACGCAGTTCGGTGGCATCCTGTCGCAGTATCTTATTTTCCTCCTTGGACTGTGAGAGCAGCTGTGCAAGAGTACCATCCGATCCACTCAGCATTGCTGATCGACATGGGTCAGAATATGCTGGCTGCTCATGTACATGCATCATAAAAAGTATATATGAAAAAATCAGTCAGAAATTAAAAAAAAAAAAAAAAAAATTGGGTAAATATTTTCTCTACAAGGCAATATTTTCCCTGAAGGAAAAGGAACGGTGGTAAAGGAAAAAGGAAGGGTTGGTGAAGGAAAATGGAAAGTGGTGAAAGAGAGGGAAGGTGGTGAAGGCTAGAGTAGATGGTGAAGGGTAAGGAAAGTGATGAACTGTACAGAAGGTGGTTAAAGGGAGGTAAGGTGGTGAAAGAGATAGGTGGTGGTGAATAAGAGGAAAGTTAATAAAGGATAAGGAAGTTGGTGAAGGAGATGGTTGTAGATGGGGCACCCATCATTGACCAATTAATTAATTAGTTTACAGTGATGAAGACAGTACAGTATGTGACTAAGATAGTTACGCTGATGATGATGGCCATATGTAATGTAGAAGGTTACAGAGTTGAAGGTTGTGTGCAGTGAAGATAGTTTCATTAATGATGGTTGTGTAGTAAAGATGGCTACAGTGAGGAAGATAGTGTGTGGTGAAGATGTGGCCTCCATCACCCAAGAAACACCGGGTACCTGCCCCTCTAGTATTGTATAAATATAAGTTCAGTTTTATTAATGACTGAGAATTCTAATGGTGTAGGAATGTAGTTTGGTAGTAAGATAAAGATGCACAATATTGTTTTTCAAATACAGTACAGTATTGTATTGATCATCTGTATTTTCACCTTCAAAGCAGAAGAAAATGACCGGTGCAATGTTCCTTGTTCAGCTAATGTTCGAAATTTATCCCTTTCTTTCTGACACTCCTGGAGTTCTGCTCGAAGAATCCCAACTGCTGCACTCTTGCTCTCCACAGCACGACGTAAAACACCAACCTGTTTACACGTAAAAATATAAATTACTATACTAATATAACACCACCTGGTGTAAGGGCACAAGCTTGTTGCTACGTGCCCTTACTAAAGTAGGGGTAAATATAACAATCTCATTGGGGATTAGTAAGCTCTCTTCAGAGGACGGCAATACTAAGAAGTATGCCAATGTTTTCATGACATATCTTATACAGAACTCATACTTCATATGCCAAGGTAAAGACATTTATCTTGGATAAAAGAGCTTTTAAAATTAATAACATCTGAAATCATGCAGGTGTTTATTTCTATAGACTTAAACTTAGAGATACAAAATATATCTGGAGTGTGGCTGTAATCTGTAAATACGAGAATATTACTCCCAGAAAACCAATTAATCTGGTACATTTGAAGAGTGTTCTTACTTAGTTCTAGTACACAGTGATCTCTTATTGTACACGGGGAATTATGAAATGCGGCTTTAATAAGCCACGTGTCCCAGGCCACCAAATAAGGTTGTCACAGTCTACACAAAAAATGGAAAATCATAAAATTGCCAGCCATCACTGGGACATGTAAACAAACAATCCAATTCCTAGTACTGCACTGTAGTGTATAAAATAGCACCACAATTTCAATATTGTAAATAAATTTACCTGAATTTATCCGATGGCCATCAACACACTAGTGGCCTCGGCGAGGACAGGAAGCCGGCGACTTTTCAAAGGCCAAATAAATTGTAAATCAATTTATATTAAAAAAAATCAAAATGTTTATTCAGGTAAAAGTACATACCAGTACATAGAAGATAAGCTACAAACATAATGTTGGATTTATAGATAGCGTTAGTACTGTACATACAATACCTGAAGCCACTAATACACACAGCGTTTCGGTCAAACAGCCATATAACGGTAAAATAAATTGTATTTCAATTTATATAACGGTCAAATAAATTGTATTTCAATTTATATAACGGTCAAATAAATTGTATTTCAATTTATATAACGGTGAAATAAATTGTATTTCAATTTATATAACGGTCAAATAAATTGTATTTCAATTTATATAACGGTCAAATAAATTGTATTTCAATTTATATAACGGTCAAATAAATTGTATAGTACAGGATACAATCAGTTGCGTCAGTGCAGATTTTGGTGATAAATGGGTACATTCTCACAAAGCCATCAACGCCTTCAGTGTGATCTCTCTAACCCTTTCCACTACCGCCCACAAGATGGGTTTGGGGGGTGCATAATAAATGAATTAAACTAAGGACATTCAGCTATAAATCATCTTACTTCATTTCTGAGATTTTCCAGTTCTTCCTCAGGTGTGATGACCTGCAGCTGACGTGGTCTGGCCCGGCGGCTCATGCTGTTTCATGCAACCCAAGTTATTTTACACGTGTCTTGTGTGTTCTTGTGGCGTATATTAGATGATCACAACACATGCAGCCTGCTTGAAGGCCTTCTCTCCCACTCAAACACTGCAGCTGTTCAAGCTGAGCTTCATGTGTGGTGAGTGTTATCAAGTGTTGACATCTGTCAGCTGGCCGTCGTCTGCTGCTCCAGGGACCCCTCGTATACCTCTGCTGCCCCAGGGACTCCTCCTATACCTTTGTTGGTAAAGTAATAAATATTTTATTACTTTACCAACGTAAAGTAATAAATATTTTATTACTTCACCAACACTTACATCTGGATTTGTTTGGAATTGATCTTAATACCCATCCCGCACGTTGGGTATTAAGGCCGCGGCATTGGCTTACTGACCAACTAGCCAGTATACTTTATTCCTGAACATACTCTAAGATTAAAGTAAACTTTTAGCGTATATACACAGATAAATGTAGGTACACATTTATTTATATTATTTATTTATTTATATATATACAAGAGTTCTTGCTTGTAAAGCCACTAGCACGCATAGCGTTTCGGCGTCCTTAAGCCTAATTTTCCCTGGAATACGATTCACTAAATCGTTTAACAACCAGTACCATTCACTGCTGGGTGAACAAAGGCGTACAGCTAAGGATTGGCGCCTAGTCGTACTTCGTACTTATATTCGTACTTATATACTCTAGGATCGCCAGCCCACGTGGATTACCGAGGCAACTTTTAGGAATTAAGCAGACTTAAAATTACAAACATATATGCTTTAGCTTTAATACAGAGTAAGCAATTATTTTATACATAATTCATTATCTGTTATATTATTGTACTTCTAATTATACCACATATAATGATTAATTAGCGAAAATAAATAAAGGTAAAAGCACAATATTGTCAAACGGTTGTGTCCGCAGGGTTGCCAGATTGGGCTACAAGTAGCGAATTGGGCTACTTTTGAGAGCCCCGCGCTCCCAAATTTTTAATTTCGCTACTTGCTACTTTTTGGGCTAATATAAAAGCAAGATGGTTATATCAACACATTGAGACCTCATCTTCAGAAAGGTATCACATCTGTCTTGGAAAAAGTTTAACACCAGACGACTAAAATCTTTTCCGAACTAAGTCAACTTTCATACCAGGAACGGTTGAGGGCCACAGGGACCAGACAAGACAGGGCTGCTCTCAGCAAAAATTTTAAATTACTGAACAATTTGGAAGATATTGACCCAGAACACGTCTTCAAAAGGCTAGATGTAAGACGAACAAGGAGCAACGGTTTCGAGCTCATTAAGCCACACTGAAGGATGGAAAATATTTTTCACCCTTAAAATTATAAAGTGGAAACGCATACCCGCCGAAGTCATAAATGCCAAAACATTGCTCGATAAAATCCCCAAAACAAATGGGAAGGGCCTTCGACAAGCCAGACAACCTTCTTGTCCTCGTCGAGACCACTAGAGAGACATACATGAATTTGCCTGAGGGCCACCCTCGAGTAAATTCAGGGAAACCATGGAACCACCTTCCCGACGAAGCCGTAAATGATAAAACATTGATCGATAAAATCACCAGGGCAAATAGGGGACATTTGACAAGCCGCCGGCTTCCTATCCTCACTGAGAAGTAGTGACCCTCTGGTAAATCTTAGCTAATTAAATAATCCTGAAAAGTTTGCTTATTGAAGGCAGGGCTGTGTTAGCAGCATTATACTCTCTGAGCAAAGCAATGCACTGTTGCCCCCAACCCAGATAATGGGCACTGGGGCCCATGTGAAGACCTATACTTACAACCACTGGCTCTCGACCTTGGTAGTTAGGGCCACAGGTGACTAGAAGGTGAAGGGACGACAACGTTTTGGTCCGTCCATGGTGAGTTTTCATTCTCAAGTCGATTACAGTCGATTGTCGACTTGAGGAATGGTCCAGGACTGGAGGCCGAAACGTCGTCAGAGCGTCCCGATTGGGAATTCTAGTGTGTGGTCTGGGGAGCAAGCTTGGGGATGCCAGTGCCTGTGTGACCTATACCTACAACCCTACGATCTCGTCTGTGGACCCTCCCTACAGTGTTTGTTTGCTAGACCTTATTATACACAACTGGTAGGGATATGGTCGTTTCGGACACGAGACGATTCGGCTAAATTCATTTTCTCTTTTAAAACTGGATGTATTGTTATGCTAGGCTGTATTAAAGTTATGTTATTAGGGTTAGGCTGCATTGGGCTCAGTTGGATTAGATTGGTTTGATTTGGGTTACGTTTGGTTAGGTTGAGCTAGGTTAGTCAGATTTCAAAATTCAAAATTCCACTACGCCACGAAGCAGTCTCTGTGGCGTAGTGGTAAAGCGCGCGCCCGGCTCTTCGCCAGCGCTTTGACCTGCCGGCCGGGAAGGATTGACCGGGCGACAATCCTTAACTGTTCACCCAGCAGAGAATAGGTTGTTTGGCCTGTTTGGCGGGTCGTATTCCGGAGAAAAAAATTGAATTAAGGACCTGCCCGAGACGCTATGCATGCTAGTGGCTTTACAAGAATTTAAGAACTCTTTTTATATATAAATAAAAAAATAAAATACGCTTACGAATCTTCTTGTGTGCGATGAGACTTGACGAATGGTTACCTGTGTGCGATGAGACTTGTATCTGGCATAATTAAAATATTGAGTTAAATAATTCGTTTGTTAGACAATATATGATATTCAGATCTATAAATTACTTTAGAAAGGCCTATAATGCACATATAAATATTAATTTACACACTCTTGGCGCTATACGCTAGGAATTTCAATATGGCATTCAAATAATTTTAGGCAGAGGGTCCCTGAGTCGGTTGGACGCTTACGGTTCATTGACTACGGGGCCGCCAGTCGTCAGGAAGCAGCGGTGGCGTGAGTATCGTCGCTCCCGTGTAGGTAAGGCTGATCATTTTTTTTGTTTTTTTGCTATCTGAGCAGTTGGGAGGTACACATGAATATATAGTCTACCTCCACCTACAATGCTTAATGCATTATACATTTGTTCGCTATTATAACATTGAGTTTTTGTAATGTCCTCCGAGGATCATTGTTTCCGTATTTTTTTTTTTTCATCCGGGTTCTGTAGTATTCAAATGTTTGTATTCCACTAATGCTAAATAGTCTGTCCTCTCTCGGATATTGTGGAAGATTTTGAGGATCATGATTTGCCAACATTATATGGGGTAGGATATTATGTAGAATACACTTCCCCAGTGTTAAACCACCCCGTCGTCAGGCTAGGCTCGTTAACGCGGCGGTCGACCCCCCCCCTCCCAAGACGCATTTATTATCGACTTTCATGTACTGTGTATTAAAAATAGTTTTTATCGTGTATAAATTAATTTTATATTCTATGTTTAATTAGGCGTATAGTAGGTTCGGTATTTAGGTTCTGTTGGCAATTATTTGCACTTGAAGTATGTGGAGGGTGAAGCATTTACAGTTGCCTGTCCTCAGGCCAGGCTCGCCTACGCGGCCGCCCAACCCAAATTTTATCCGCATTCGCGTATTCAGAATTATTTTCGCGTATGAGGTAATATTATTTCATCAAGTTAATAGTTTAAAAACTAAGTTTAGTGACAAGCGACAGTCCTGTGTACACTGTAATAGATGAACTTCCCAACGGGAAGGAGCGGGGACACCCCTCCAGGAACTGAATTTACCTGAGGGTAAATGAGGACAGTAAGCCAGCGGCTTGTCAAAGGTTCTCCCCATTTGGCCTGATCTTTTCCAGCTGTATTTTAAAACCCAGCAGAGTTTTGGCGTTTACGGCTTCTGCGGGTAGGCGGTTCTACGGGTTTACAACCCTATGGGTGAAAAAGCATCTCCTGTTTCCTGTCCAACATTCTGGCTTGTTGAGTTTGAACCCGTTGCTCCTTGTTCGTGTAACATCTGACCTTTTGAAGACATTGTCCTGATCGACATCCTCCAAATTGTTTAGTATTTTAAAGGTTTCTGAGGTCCGCCCTGTCATGCCTGATTTGTGTTGATAGCCCTGTGGCCCTCAACCGTTCCTGATACGAGAGATGACTAAGCTCTGGTATGATTTTTTGTCGTAAGACACAGCTCCATAGCTCTGGTAAGACATGGCTCCAGAGCAGCTATGTCTCTCTCAGGATGAGGCCTCCATGCCTGGATGCAATAATTCATGTGGGGGCGCACCAGAAACTTATACAATTGAAGGTCTACTTTCTTTTCCTTGAAGGTAAAGGTACGCATGATTATTCCCAGGGTTTGGTTTGCTTTTTTACTGCCGCTCCCACTTGTTGTACAACTGTCAGTGATTGGTGGATTCTGACTCCAAGATAATGTTGATGATTTGGTAGTTGTGTTGTGTATTGTTATGCCTCACGTGATGGATTCTGACTCCAAGGTCCTTTTCTTCATCTATCTGTTGAAAGGTAGTGCTGTCAATTTGGTAGTTGTGACGTGGATTGTTATGCCCCACATGCAAGGTCTTGCATTTATCGACATTAAAAAGTCATCTGACCATTTGTGGAGTTCATGTAGATCTCTTTGTAAGGTTTCAATATGGCTTTCACTTCCCACTTTACCATAGATCTTAGTGTCATCTGCAAATTTGATGTGGTTTGTAATATTCTCATCTATGTCATTGATGTATATGACAAAAAGGGTTGGCCCCAAAATGGACCCCTGTGGCACCCTACTTAGCACATTGGTGGGGGGTTGGATGAGATATTTGCTTACTAGGCTTGCGATTACACAACTGGTCGGGCTCCGGGGGTGTGACTTGTTGGGCTTCTAGTTGTTCATGGTCGGGCTCCGGTTCGTGCATGGTTGTGCACCAATGGTTGTTTGTGTACTAGTGCTCCAGGTTTGTTTGCTAGGCCTCCATGGTTGTATGTTTGCTAGAAATCCGGGTTTCTTTTTTCGTACAGAGCTCAATTTTTGTTTGCTATGGCTCCATAGTTGGTTTCTAGGGCAAGTGGAGGGTTTTAGGTAGGGCTAAGGAAGTGTTTGTTTGGTAGAGCTAGGAATGGAGTTTGGTTGGGCTCTGGGGCTGTTTGTTTAGCTTGGTGGGGGTGGGATGAGATGTATACTTGCTAGGCTTGCGGTTACACAACTGGTCGGGGTCTGATTACACAACTGGTCGGGCTCCGGTTACACAACTGGTCGGGCTCCGGTTACTTAACTGGTCGGGCTCCGGGGGTGTCACTTGGGCTTCGGGT